AATCAGTTTTTGCATAAATCTCCGGATGTACATTAACAGATTTAAAAAAAAACTATCGGAATGTATGTGTAGGGATAGATAATCCGTTATGCTAATTAAAATAAATAGAATTTCTATAATTTCGCCTCTCTAGTTAAATTTATGTGCTGTACATAGAATTTTACTCTTGCCTAATAATAAATTTTACCAATATCAAACATATACACATCGATCACTTTCAATCTTAACATTTTGGTCTACTCATGTATAACTACTTCCTAGTTTACTGTATGCATTTATAGGTTATGACACACTTGTAACAACTCTAGAAGATTACTGATGCTATCCAAACTTCAACAGGATTTCAATAAAATCTATCTTCATAACTGAAATTATTTTTAAGAATTAAATACCTGGCAAGCCTTCATGAACTTCTCCTTTCCATTGACTGTAACACAAACAACATAAAAACATATATTTATTAAGTGCATGGCGTAAGAATTTTCAAAGTCAGTTACAGAATCTGTTATCATCAGCTTAATTATTAAATGAAAGTAGCAGGAGTTTAGTTCATCATCTTAAAGCGATTCAATGATTGTCATATGAGAATATAATAAACAAGATTATTGCAGTTGTACAATATGATGATGGAAATGTGTAAAACAGTATAAACTGCTTCAGGCTTATTCTATGGCTGTAGGCAAGTCCAGATTAAGACCTTTAAAATACTGTATTCCATAAGAACGCTGTCAATGCCTGGAGATCATATCGGTTTCAGGAATTGGTTAACGATAACTACTACTTACAATATTTCCGCTAATTCTCCAACTTCCCCAGTCTATAGTGGAGATAAATGCAATCATGTTATGTGCTGGCTAATTATTGTTATCAGTCATTAGCTGAAGATGAAGAATTTAAATTTACAAATTTTTTTACGCTAGTCTTTTTCAGAAAAGACTTGCTATCTACAGTAGTCAAGGTCGTAGCTATGATAGCCCATTAAAACGCGAGCACAAACACAGTAAAAGGATTGTCAGATTTGCGACCATCCCATTTGTGAAATTTCATTGATTTCTAGTACTCACTAAAGCTAACAATACATTCCGAGGAGAGTGGAATTGATCCCAGTTTCTTTCTTCAATAAATTTCTTTTGAATAGCTCGGCTAAAAATAAAATTATGCAATTCATTAAGTGTTATTTAGTAGCTTATATCCAATCAGTCATTTATTGATCATTTATATGTTGTAATAAACAGTCTCATTTAGATTCTACCAACTCAGTTTTGTGATAAGAAAATCACCTAGTAAATAAATGAGGTGCTAAGAAAAATAGGGTTTAAGTAGTAAGATGACCGTAACACAAATAGTATCAGATGAAAAATTCACACAGGCTAAAGTGAGACTCTAACTTGTAGAAGTTAGCAATTGAATTAGTAGAATGATAGAAAAGCAAGGATTATAACCGCTGTGCATAGGGAATTTTAACATCTATATTAAGTGTATTAAGTATACAGCGAATAGTATGAAAGTAAAATATAAGGTAATGACTACCGAATTCAGTCTGATCTACTAAGCAAGATGCAACATTGCACTTGTGGAGTCTATGTTGAGTTGCATGCTCCATCTAGTAGCTCAAGCCTTGCTCCTACACTGTACACTACTGAAACTGTATAGTATAATCGTATGCAACATCGCGGTAGATATAGGAAATATTTTACTTTCTATCCCATGCCATACTACTTTAATTCATAGTTACATGTTCTCCAAGGAAATATTTTGGGTAAATTGAAATTTTTCCTGTTCTACGTTGTTGTCCATTTCCATGTGAGCTTGAATTTAATTTTTCCCGCGAATCTCCAGGGACTACGGTCTACAGTACAGTACAGTACAGTACTGAGAATCAGTAATTTGTACTGTACACTGTACAGTACAGTACCGTACAGTAGTTGGCATTCTGAGTTATGTACTGTACACTGTACACAACTTGTACTGTACAGTATGTTGAGCTGTGTCCCTGGAGTAAGTCAATCCAGTATTTATTTTACTATTGTATGGGTAATGCACGAAAGTTTCCCGTATCATTTTTCCAGTCAGTCTACTATACTATACGCTACCACTGAAACCAGATACTGTACTGTACTACACCTACAAAAACGCCATTAGTGTATCGTTTTCGATGTATATTTCATTCTAATTATTTTAAAGGACTTCTTCTCCCTCTCTTTCTTTACTGGGAACACTGTCATGGAATACTAGAAGAAGCCTTCTTCTAGTATTCCATACGCTGTATACTGTACAGTGGACACTGAGTGTTCAGTCACGGATTACTAGGTAATGGAGCGTTTCTACCTACTGTAGGTACTAGTCTCCGCATGCTCTAAAAGAAATGGATGGGAATCACGCATGAGTTGTACGGATCAATCGTCGTCAAGCAATTGTTGCTATGCAACGAGATACAAGTTAAGTTAAGACGGCCACTGTATTGCATACTACTCAAGCCGGATTTGTATATTGTCCATCTTTAAGAGGCATAACGGCTATTACAAGCGACAAGCTAATGCAACATTGTTGGTGTCTACAACTGCGGTAAATTGCTGCTTAAAAGAATTACGAGTATAGATATACGAACTGCTATTACATACTCGTAGTAGTATATTATTTTATTAAAGTTTCATCATATTGCAAACGTTGAACAACACAAGCTTCGAGATTGATCTCCGCCACGATCCACCGACCGAGAAGTTATTACGTGGCTTGAAACGCTAAACAATTGAGAATTTCTCATCATTGATTACTTATCAACGCTGAGATAGTGTTTACTCGTATTTAAGATAGTAACCCTTGACATCAATTTTCATATAAACTACAAATACTGTCCATTATCCGTTCATCGTTCGATTGAATTACGCTACTGCAAAAGAAACGATCAAGATGACTGTCAACTTAGAGGAATACTTTCGCACTACCTTCGAAGATAAACTGCTGGTGTAAGTACTAAAGCGATCATTTCACACTGCCTCTTTTTGGCATAGTGGACTATTATAGTTCGACTTTCAGTAGAGAATAACAGTCTTATTGACCATATAGACGATTCAATTTGAAAATATTTATTCATAATAGTAAAATGCCTGAGCGCGAAGATGACCATCTTACACCAGCAACAAGACTATTGGAGAAAAGAAGGGAAATGTCTGAGGTTGAGCAGGCTCTGGCTGCTCAGAAAGAGGTTGATCAATTATATTTAGTAACCCATTTTGCCATTCAAATTGGTATATTCTCGAAGAAATATTAAATAAATGATGATTAAAATAATTAGGAATTTCAAATGAAAATGGAAAGTTTACAACAGCGAAGAGAGGAATTAGAGCGGAAGGAATACCAACTGAAAGAATCGCTTCTAAAATTTGACAAATTCTTAAAGGTTCTATTATGACAGCAAGTTAAATTGAGGAAATAGTGTGATGACATAGCATCAATTATTATTAATACAATTGGGTTTCGTTCTGTAGGAGAATGATTCTAAACGAACTAGAGCACTTAAAAAAGCACATGAAGAAAGAGATTTAATTAAGAGTAAGGATAAAGATATTATAAAGTAAGTAATGAAATTCCAATAAAAGGTATAAATCCATTGAATTTCAGGATTCCTAAATTTATTTCTTTTTCGATTCGCTATATCAGATTGATAGATGAAACTCAAACCATGATCAAACAGAGAGACAAAATGCAAAAGAAATTACTGAAATATATCCTTTACTTATTTTTATCTTTAGTATTAAGTACACTTAGCATATGAGCATTGCTTGTGGCAGTACCATTACAAACGATTCTTCCGGTGAAAGAATTATTACATTCTTACTAAATTTAGCTATTTTCTTTAACATTCTTTACACCAAGCTTATCAAGCTTATTTAGAAAAAGTTTTAGAGAAGACGGAAGAGGTATGCGAGTTATGATGTTATCGTCTTCGTTTTAAAATTCTCAACAATAAAGCGTATCAGCACGAATTAGTCACATTTTTGATGAAATGTTCAATAGTATAGAATTAACTTATTTAAATTAACTCTCAGTATAGTGAAATTCGAGAAATTACCGCCAGATTCGATACCTTGGTAGCGACTTATGATGTAAGTAGAATAATATAGCTTAACTAAAATTAATCATATTTATGATATTTATTTAAGCATCATTAATATTTGACTTGCTTTTGTAAAATTTTAAATTGGGTAATTTATTTCAAATCATAAAATTAGGACTTAATTGAACGAGAAAGAAAGAATCAAGAATCAACAGAGGTAGAAAAGGGTCGGCTTTTAAAGTATAAAGAGGTACATAGATATGTATTAAAAGATGAAATAGACATTTGTAGCGTAATCGATAATACGTGATTTTTAATATGAAATTAACATCATGGTAGCTTTAATGTTTTCCTTATCTTTGAAATATAAAATAGGAGAAAAATAATGAAGTTATGTATTACAATAATAAGGTAATGTATATATATCATTAACTACACTCTAAGTAACCGCCATTAAAAAATAATTCATCCTGTAATCTATGTGTTAATGGTTTATTTCTGATATCACTTAAAATAGCTTGCGAATCTGCAGACACAGTTAGAAAAAACTCAAAGTGAAGCGGCAAAGTGGTAAATTTTGATTACCTATGCTCGATTACTATCATTTTGGACTTCGTAGTACACAGCACCGTAACTTATTGATTTTTAATTTTACGTAATGGCAATTATAGGGAGTCACGATGGACTTTTATTAAAAATACCGCAGCTAAAAAGACTCTTCTACTTGGCAGGGTTAAAATGTAATTGATAAATATATTATACATAACCAAACAATTGTAACTTTCGCAAATAATTGATGACATTTGACGATATCTGTTTCACTGATATATCCAGCTTTCTAATACCTATATCATCAACTATTATATTTTAAATACAGGGCAACTCACAATTTGTATACCTTGGTCAACAAACACTTAAAGCAGACACCTTTACCTCTTGATCAAACAGTTCTACAATTAGACAAGGTAGCTTAATTATAGAATATTTCTGATAAATTTTGGCCTAAAACTAAATTTATAATATTTTACGCTGAATTTAGTTAGAAGGTATAATTGTTTATGTAAATAGTAGTCCCCTATAAATATTTCTCTCATCTGATCATTAGATTCAACTGTTCATAATGGACTTGACGCAAATTACTCAAGATATTAAACGCTCGGAACAGTTAGCGGCATCTATTGCCGCTAAACAACAGCAGCAACAATTACAAATGCTATTAGATAAACAAGCATAGCGGTTTAACTCTATTTTGTGTAGTTAGAAAAGAAGGGAAGAGTATATTTTCCTAAGTTGCATTAAATGAAAGCCCTTTGGTTAGCAAACATGATCAATATCGCTATATCTCGTATAATGATGAGCCTTTATAAATGAGACTGTGATACTATAATAGGAGATTTAGTCTAATATAATGATCATACTGTACAAAGTAATGATATAAACTTACGAATGATCTGAATTGTTACACTTGATGAATTTGATAATATAATCTGAGCAAAACTATCCTTTATAATTTGATAGGATTTTGCAACTTACGTTTTAATTACACGCCTTCACACTTAGATAATGGCAGATCTCGTAGTACTTAAAGTCTTTCAAATTAAATTCAAAAAATCTTTTATTGATACTCAACTAAGATTGTAAATATACATTTAAGCATACTATATTAAAGGAAAAATAACTTTTATTTGCAATTTATGGTATTTATTGTAGTAATTAGGATATTATGGCATTATTAAGATTACGCAATATGTATAATGTGATGTAATCGGAATTTTTTATTCACTTTGATTATTTGAATACAATGTTTCTGCAACAAAGCCAATTAAGCAATTGAATTTTACTTAGCTCCATATACTTTCATTCTATGAGATTTAAGCATAGAAAATCTGCAAAATAAACTAAAGCATATACGGATACCCTATCTGGAAACAATGCATTGCGATACGGAATGGAAATCATTTCATAAAATAGTACTACTTTTAAATCAAGTAAAACCTAAGCCCAACCCTATTCGATAAAAAAACGGTTTGAGAGTAGTATTTGTCACTAAAATTATTTTACAGCCATGTTAATTATTTCAGGTATAGTAAATGCAACTTAAAAATTTTATTTGAACGCATTTCTGACAGTTTTAAGATTGTGATAAGCACGTTTGCGATTGTATCGTATCATACCATTAATCGGAATAACAATTTGAGGTCTGCGTCATTACTAAAAATTTCCCAAGTTTATCGCAAATCGACAGCAGGATGCGTTATCGTGATATTTATGTAAGAGAATACTTAAGGTAATTCAGTAAAAGAGAGAGAAAATATTAATGCCTATAAAGAATAAAATTAACAATAAAGAATATTTGGATAGTTACAATTTACTTATTTAATAGATAGCCAATAGTACCCAAAATGATAATATTGGATATAGGTCAGCCCTAAGTTACTAGTCTGGATCAAAAATGGACTCAATTCATAGAGCAGTTGCTGAATTTGTACGATAGATTAACTGGTCATTTTTACTTACCCTGATAAGGAAACTCTATCTAAGATGTTGTAATAACATGGCAGTGATTGAAAAGTAAGTAAAAATGATTTAAAGGGTTCTTCTAAGCATAGATGTCGATACATAAAACATTTAATCTAAATTCTTATTAAGATCTAGATTACCTATGGAGCTGGCCGCTGTATAACCATATTGAACGAGATAGCTCATGCATAGAAGTCATAAACATATTATTTAAGAGTGCAGCAATGCACTTCATCAAACTATAGTAAATATGTATCAGAGTTAAACCTATCTACTATCAAGATGGTGCAATAAAGAGATTTGAGCCGATGTTGCTATTTGATTGTATATGCATAACAGCCGAGCAAGGACTGTAATTGTAACTAAATATATTTATCAATCGGTCTAAGATTTCAAATGAAATACCGAATTTTCGCCTACTAGTTGATATAGCTATGTTAAGCACAATGATAAAAAAAACATTTTTAGGTATTTGTCTAAAATTAAACTATGTGTTGTCGAAATTAATTTCTGTGCTATTATATGTGTAAATATGGACTGGTATGTGATATAAAATTTAAGTACCTATGTCTCATATTGGCTATTCACTGCTGGTACTAGATACTGAATGGCGTATTACCTACATTTAGAAGATGTAATCGTCAAAGATAAAAATACATCCATATTACATCAGTATTGATCAAGGCAATTTATAAAAATGACAAGATATTGATTGATTACTGTGTAGTATAATTATACAAGTAATACAAATTTAGAAGGATTATACGCTGAAAATTTAAAATTCGTAAAGATTTATGCGTCATAATCGATAATCTGCTATACATGATTTCAGATTAATGACGAAAATAAGTGTAGTGACTCTGAAAGATAGTATTAATAAATTTATGTTATTAATTGAAGTCTGAAGACTGGATATATATAATCGGAAAACTTTAAGAATTATCAGTTTAATATTTTCTAATTTTTCGAACAAAATTATTCATTTCTGATTTGCGAAAGTGAAAAATTTCACGTCTAAATTTCAAGAAGATTATCAGGAGAAGGTTAATATAATATTCAATTGTATTAGAACTTAACATTTTATGCTTAGAATTATTCAATATTTGCAAATTGATTTTGAAGAACTCGACACTAAAAATACTTGATTTTACTAAAGACATATAGGATAGCAATCAATTTCTAAATTCATAAATCAAACTTGAATCTACAGTACAAGAACAAGCATTAATATTGAGTATTGATTGGCATTGCTTATTCTAGAACATCAAGATATCCAATTTAAGCCATAGAACAATTAAGTCTTCAATCAGTTACTCACAGAAACCAAAGATCGCAAGGAGATCAAATCATTCCTTTTGATCAGTTAAACCCTACAGAGTGTACCATAGATCGGCCTTGCGATAATTTTAAGCCTACTGTTGCCAAAATAATTCGTCAATTTTATCATAGAATAGTTCGCAAAGTACCGCTTCAAATTTTCACAACGATTATCACCAATTCTGGTATGATGAAGGAGGAGGACAAAGATCAAGGCATAAATATGTGTGAATTTATTAAGAAATTATCAAAAGATGTGCGAATATTTACCAAGTTCTGCATAGAATTATATAATTACCCCGATTCCTCCGAATATATTAAAGAACTAGCCGTAACACCAGCATCTAAAGCAAGGCTAACACATATATTCGTAGGTACGGAATGGAGATTATCATATTTTAATTGTACAAATGTTTAATTCAGGTTGCACATAAATATTAGTTATTAGATTTAGCAGCATTTGCTAAAATCATATTTTTAGGATATTTAATTAATTAAATGGTAAATTTTGATTCGCATTATATTAACGGAGAATTGACAAGCACTGTACGCTGTAACGTTATTACTCAGGGCTAATAACTTAGGGGGCATTAGTTTTGTATTAGTTGACTCGAGAAATTTACTGCGATAAATTAGGTGAAAATTTCAGCTGGTCTTTCATTGATGAACTTATTTACATTATACTTCAATCCGTGTAACTGTATATTGACTTTAAACTTTACTCTTATGGATATTTCTCTTTAATAGCAAGTGACTTTGCATACCAGAAAGCCTTAAATAATAACAGACATGACATAACTAAAGTATGCCTAAGCTCGAACATCAATATCATGTATGTTAGTGAAGAATTAAGAAGTAAAAATACTATTAATGAAGCTGACTATCGATTGATATTACACCAGCAGAAGCAATCAGAATGAGTGGGATAATAATATCGATAATCTTACTTATACGATCAATATAACGTTGCAAATGACAATTTTATCAATACATTATCATTTTTTTATCGTTTTGCGTAAATAACTTATACTTTTTAACTAGAGAATTATAACATTTTATGATGATAGGCAAATACAATATCTGTTGTGCTTGCTATCCACTCGTAACAGTGAAGCTATTCAAAGATTCTTGAAAATTTGGGAGGTATGGGATGAGAAATTGTCACAAACTATAAAAAGATAAGCTTGGAATATGGTCATAAGTTAGTATGATGTTTTGAAATCAAAATTGAATAGAAAAATGTAACTTTAAAATTGTTCTACCATGGAAATTAATGTAACTAATTCATATTGCTTCAATTTCTAATTTATGATTTGCTATCGGCGATTTTATACACGTACCTTGGATGATACGATTAATATGAAGATATGGATAAGAAACAAGTCAAGAAATTATCTAGCGGTCAGATAGAGCAGAGCGTCTGGCAAAAATTTTATTCAAGGATAAATTAATTAATTATGACTGTTATGTACAATTGGTCAAAAATATGAAATTGAACCATAACTGAATTGGTTAGTCAATAAGTAATTTTTAAAGCTTACTATGAGCCAAGATAGAGTAAATTAATTATCTACAGTTGCCATTAATTGTCACATAGATTATTTGAAATTCTAAGGCAAGATAGGATGAGGTGCAAAGATCAGGACCATCATCAATTTCTAACTATCGCCAGATCCAACGGATTTAACTTTAAAATGTACATTGAATGCCTTCACATTCGTCTATGCAGCTGTTTCTGTGCTATGCTATTGTACTCATTGAGGACAAACTATCGTCTATTTAAAAATAAGACTTTGTTAACTACACAACTAATATTTAGTAACCAATGCGATATATAAAATAATTATACCTAATGCTAAATATGTAACTCAACAATCATCTTATTGGCTTACTAGTTAAAAATAATACATTGTTGACTAGAGAAATACTATTTAGTAACCGATGTAGTCCTTTATTAATTAAAGTAATTAAGCCTTAAGCTCTTGGCTTACTACTTCTATGCCATATCCATGTATTTATTACGAACTGATCATTTTTTCATATCAATTTAAATGTTTAATTCATCGGCAAATATAATATTATTACATTGTAAATACTATTTATCGAGAATAAAACAATCTAATATAGAGTAATACCATCTTCTTCTATAAGATTATGTGACTACTGTATTATTTCAAAATGAATTTTGCTAGTACTGAGCCTATCTGTCTTGTTTTTGCTAAAAATTAAGGTGTGGAATTTATTCGGTACAGTGATGACGATTCGGAAATATTGTCTAAATTTAAGAATAAAAAGAATTCAATTTTATTTATCATGTAATAAATGTAGCATAAATCAGGAACAACTATAACTCTTTCCTATCCGAGATAGAGCAATGCGATTAATCAACAGTACTTCATTTGTAGGAAAGTAAGAAGATCATTTTAGGAATGGAAAATGGACTTTTGATGAAATGATAGTAGCGTTAGAGAATGGATTTATTGAGAATTAGTTTGTGAAGGAATGAGAAGTATTTCAATAAATTTTTACAGAAATGCTAGTTGATAATTTATTGATTGCACGATCATATTCCAGTGTTTACCGGTAAGTAAACGAATATTTAGTATCAAAAAGCAATGGAAATAATGAGCATAGGATTTCGACCAATCATTGATGCAACGATGCTTCCTAATGAATATTTAATATGAGAAAAGCAAAGCGAATGACAAGTATTTGGATCAATCTTTGCAAAAAATGCTAATTAAGTTAATGATTATAACATCTTATCGTAGTATTCATCTGTAAAACAGAGGATAAGAATAATTAAAGATCGGTAATATTCTGTGACAATGATGCAATAATATTCCCTAATGAATGTTAAGGCCTTTGGTTAGAGTTTGCAAAGGTACAAAATTCTTTCCTCGAGTGCCCATTAAACCCGAGTGCAATCACCTCAGTGTTAATTGTAAATGCGCAGTATTTTATTTAACGTGATGAAGAAGAGGAAAAGTGCCTTAGATTAAACAAGAAAATTTGCCGTCGTATATTATATAAAATGTAAAAAGAATGGCCGTTAACGGCCAGTTTTCAACATCGTCTAAACAAAATAATTATGGTAGGTAAATGTAATAAAATTTTCAATGTGTAGAAGTATCAGTATACTGTAGGCTAGCCAATCATAATCCAAAATCAATAAAGTTCTATAATGTCATAAAAATGGAGGATGAAATTGAGGGAAATGATCAGTATGATTTAGAATGAACCTCTTAAGGAGAAAATTGAAGATCGTACAGTGCGGATAAACAGAGTAAGTAATTCTAATCAGTCACGTAGACGGCAGCAATTGATGAACTGAGAAGAAAACAATTTATACATCACTAGTAGAGAATAATAAATTGGTATAGGAGTTGTACAACACTAATAAACTGAGTAATCTGTCAATCGAACAGCAAGTAAATGAGGTGGCTATTTTGAACCATGAAGAATTCAATGAATGCTTCTTCAGTAACGGGTAATAAATCATCAGAAAATGCAATGAATGTTAATATCCATTAAAAACTTGTGTTAGATGCACCAAAAGGTTTGACGAAAGCGACAAAAATTCAGTTATGTAATAAAGGATGCGGTCATTAAAGATTGAATACGCTCAATCTTTAACCTAGGCAAAGTTAAAAGCGATCAACAAATGAAATTTGTAATCGGCTTCATTTTCTGTGAGGTAAAACGAAACAGCGGTTAACTCGTTAGGCAATTCTAAATGGCTTGAGCTTTAAGCATCATGTAAATCATTTTACAACATGTCATGCAACATGATAGCATGAAATCATTTCCTAAGGTAACGAAATTTATTTCAGCATTTGCAGAGTTTAAATGTTTAATAATCAAACAAGGTCGGTTGGTCTTTTTACATGCATGGAATGTTTTGAGCTGTAGAGGCCGATCTTCGGCTTGTTATGACTCAGCAGGATTTCTACTATGCAGGATAATAAATAAACTTTGACAGTCTGCACAATGGTTGGTCTATCAAATGAGCTAATTCTATGTAAGATTGACATCCATTTATATCTATCAGTCATCAACGCCAATGGTAAAACATTCCATTCTCTATTTTACACCTAAATCCTCGTGTCGAGGATTACGCCATCGCATCTTGCAAAAGCATGCTGAAATTTTTGTTATGTTGAGATTCGAAAATAATATCCAATGATCCATATTCAAGGGAAATAGAACTCCCTATTCTTCGGAGTCCGAATAATAGAGAGTCTTAAGGAAATGGGCTAATGAATAATTTCATATCTCTGAAGAAATAAAATCTTGACGTTATAGATTCCTTTTATGGTGAATTCATAATCGATTGGTGAACATTCTATCATATAATATTGTCCAAAACGTATGAATTTAATTTCATGCGTCAGCAAACCAAATCAGTACTGAGGGACTAAATGATATTCGACAACTAAATTGAATAAATATAAAATCATGGATTTGTCTTCCCATAGCTTATTTCCACTTCTTCTTCAGTGTTGTAGAAAGCAGCCACATGAAAGACAATGATTCCTACTGCCAAGCTGCGTAATAAATAGTTCATTTTCAGATAGCAATAGCAGATTAATCAGAATTGATGATTAGGCTTTCTCATGACTCTACTCTATTTCAAGTATGTTACATCAAACTAAAGGACTAATTGAAAATGGTCTAGACCATCATTTCTTAAATAATTTAGAACCGGAATCCAGCAAGCCAATCGCTCACTGTCTGAAATCTCATCATGGCTAATCCAAACTTTTAGCTGCAATAGGATATCATTAAGCACTATTTCGTGACACTGTACCTTAGGAACTACTATATTGGTATAGTGATTAAAACAAGATCAAATACTGGATAACTACTATAAGTATAGTTATAAAATTTCATCATTTATCAAACTGACATTAGTGGCTTAGGTTAATAGTGAGTAGGAGCAATTTGGACTCTTTTTTTAAACTACAAAACGAAGGAGTCTTTTGAAAGGACTATTTTATGATATTATACCTTAGTAACTACTATAAATTTATTAGTATAGCGATTAAAATAACATCAAATGCTGGATAACTATTATAAGCATAATTAATCAATTATCCAACTGACATTAGTAGCTTAGGCTACAAGTGAGTAGGAGCAATCTGAACTTTTTAAGAGAGCAATTAATTAATTATTAGGGAAGCTGGTAAGTGATTTAGTTGAAGGATAGTTTTACGTAGATTGGGTACATTGGGAACTGGAATCAAACATGACAATCGTTCACCGTTTTTATATCTCATGACTGTTAATCTAAACTTTTAGTTGCAATAGGAGGATCATTAAAGAGACTATTTCGTGATATTGTACCTTAGTAACTACTATGCATTTATTTGTACAGTGATTAAAACAACATCAAATACTGGATGACTATTATGAGCATAATTAATTAATCACTTATTATCAAACTGACAAAATCGGCTTGGACTGCAAACGAGTAGCGACAATTTGGACTCTTTAGTAAGTAAATTAAGAGAGCATTTATTAGCGAAGCTGGAAAGTAGCTTGGTTGAAGGATAGTTTCAAGCAGATTGTATACGTTGATGATGGATCAAATAGCACCATTCAAGACTAAATTATATCTCCAGGTAAATGTAACAGGATAATACCCTACAAGGCAGAATAATACCTATTGGTCATTTTGTGATATTTTTTCTACATGGATTATACGTGATTAACACGACGATTGCTTCGCTATCGATTGATCATTTTGCATATCTAATTTTGATATCATAGCTAAAGGATCAGGGAATACTTGCAAAAGATGTTGGATTTAACGCATTAACTATACCATCGGATAGGTTTATATGTGCTCGTCAGCAAACGGAACCTAATCAATCGCAGTTCATTGTCCTTGATTTAGCTTCACCAATGCAAAAAATTCCATTAATTTGTCCTACATTGACTGAGTCCGCTATTATGAATCCGGTGATTAAAGTCATTGCAATTAAAGGTAAAATGACAGAGCTACGTTGAAATTGTTTCCCTTTATCCATAACAATAACAAACGATACATCTTTTAAGCCGACTATTTTCTAGATTTTAGTCAAAAATTCACCTTAAACGATATATCTCCTAGTCTAATATTACGGTGCATATACATCACTTACCTTGAGAATGGTTGTCTTTCTTTATTTTAGCTGTCAGGTACTCTATATTAATAGATCTTTCAAGTTGATTCTATTTATTTGCATGTCTTTAACTTAATAGCTTTTATTCAATAGGATTTTTATTTCCATTCTATGACATTAAATGCGATTTTTTAAGCTATTTGTCAAATTATTTTATACAAGATTATTCTTCAGCTTAGCGGCAATGCTAACACCTAGAGAAATAGACCATAAAAACAAACATTTAATGAACTTAAATACTTGGCACAGATCTTTCTGAGTAGGTTATGATTAACATTTTCATCTGCTCCCATTTTGTAGAGGGTCAAAAGCTTCAAACATTTGATTTAGAAATGAAAATTTGTTTGAAAACGATTTTCCTCCAGGAATATACGACATTCTGGAAGTGGATTTCTGTTAATGTTATAGCCTTAGTCACTCAAACAAAAGTATATCACTGGTCTATGGAAGGTAAAGTACTGTAGTAGCAAAATCGGGAATTAACAAGCCTATTTCTCGATTGCCATCTGCAAATTTTAAACGAAAAAGTAGCGAATAAAAATATTTTACTTCGATTTGCTGCTTTTGATACAAAATTTGATTTTATACGCATTTTAATACAATCTATAACATGAAAGAAAAGGATAAATCGACTACTGCCGCATATTTTATGACATGATGGAACTCCATCCATACTACTATTATAGCAATTTAAGTAAATTATCCTTTAGAGATGGCGGCCTAAAATCTTCTATCTCATCAATCATTGCTGTAATTTAAACGATATTCAGGGAATACCCAACTGAATGAAATCCATGCTAGGCATCAAGCCTTAAACGGTTACCAAATCATTAATTATCACGTCGATCATACTAAAAAGTGGTCATTATTGATTGGTATTAGAGTGCAAGTGAGTTAACTACTCGCTTTTTCTACATTTTAAGTCATTATTGAAACCATGAACGCTATTTTGACATCATGTATTAACGTATGGAGAACTTGATTGAACTTAAGTTATTTTTCGGTGCTATTAGAATCATCGAGTTCTTGGTGTTCTACAACTTTACAATACCGAAACGAAAATAAGTCAATTAATTGAAGGACATGTAGCAGCTTTTGCTTCCGTAAAACTGGGGGATAATTATGAACCTTCGAATCTATTAATCATTGGTACTCGTCGTCTCAAAGGTGGAACGGTAATAAAAGATTACGAAAACGAACTAGATTTTAAAAGATTATAACTGCATTTATATACGCTTAGCCATCTCTATTTTTCATAAAATGTCATCAATCAATTCTAATTACCATGATAGCTACGCATTTTGGAGATTGGAGATCCACCTCTTAACAATGAACCATTCCAGGAACAGACATTGGAACTACTTTTTCCTTCAGAAATTCAAAATGACTTTCCCGTCTGTCTTCAGGTCAGTTTTATGGGATTAGTTTAGTGCAATTGGAAAGTTGCTGCAGTGATCATGCTTCCCAAGAATATTTTGATATTGTTCTTTACTATTTTTATCAACATGCGGAAAGAAGCTTAGGGACTGGAGAAACAAAATGATATTTCTATTTTCTTCTTCAGATAAACGAAAAACATGGTCTAATATATCTAATTACTAAATATAGTTATCTCCATGTGTGCACTATTGAATCTATGCAGTGTATTTATATGGGTAAGTTAAGCAACGCAAATACCTTTGCTGCAACGTTAGATACATCATCTCATGGCATTTTAAGTGTCGACGATAATGGGCAGGTAAAATTGGCTAGATGATTTTTTGAGTGCCTTGCTTACTTGAGAATGATTTTAACTAACTTGGGTGTAAACTTAATTACTTTTTTTCATTCCTTTTCAATACTGATTCTATATCAGGTTTTTTCTACCAGCATGAATACAGAAAATATCGTGCCCTACATTATCAATACCCTCCAAAATAAGGCCCTGGCCAGAAAGGTGGCACTCCGTTGCAATTTAAGTGGTGCTGAAGATCTTTTTATCGAGGAATTTAATCAACTATTTGACAGTGGTGAATATGTAGCAGCTGCAAAGATTGCAGTCTCAGCGCCAAAGGTTGGCTTTCTAATTATCTATAATTTTAACGTTTAGAAACTATGCATGCGAACAAGTATCAAGTTGATGAGAATTTTGACAGATGTTAATAATTTACTGTTTTATAGCGCTCTCCAGTTCTTCATCAATGCTGGAGTATTCTTTACATTCTTACTATTCTTGCTGATATAAGTAGAAAGTATAGTTATAGTATATAGTATATCATCTATAATATAGTATACGTACTATGAGTATCGAATTGACGAGAATTTTGACAGATATTAGTTTAACTATTTTGTAGTGCTCTCTAGTTCTTCATCGTTGCTAGAGTATTCTTCAAGTTCTTACTATTCTTATTGATATGAGTATAAGTATAATCATAGCGCAAAAAGATCTAACATAAAGCATCCACACGTAGTAGTATTCAAGCATTAATAATTTCATATACACTTTAAAACACGTTTGTACACTGTACTAATACTCATGTAGAAGGCAAGTCAATGTCTTGTTTAAGGCGACTGATTTACTAATATTCAAGTCAAATTTTCACATTCTTGCTCGTAATATGGATTAGGGCGTCTTAAGAACATCACAAACTATTCAAAGATTTCAACAGCATATTCCAAGAACAACTACCGCTTTAGCGATATATTTTGATGTCTTATTAAGGCAAGGCAAGCTGAATCGTTATGAATCACTTGAATTATCCAAGCGATTGATTCATACTGGCAAGAATCAGGCTTTAGAACATTGGCTGAAACAAGCAAAGGTAAACCAGTATTTCGGTTACTCTTATTTCACTTTCCATTATGAAGAATTTCATGAATTAAAATTTTCGTATTCATTCTAAATCACCACGAAACACAATTGCATTCGAGCAATAAATCTGACATCTATAGTGCGAACGTACGCCAAGTTTTAAAGCTATGTTTCGTATCTTTCTTTTTAAAATGAATTTAATGCAACATATCTTAAATATCTAGTCTCTCATTTTAACATTTATGAGCTATTCTTATTTCAATTGAGTTTTGTTGCAGATTCTAAATTCTTTCTAAAATATTTTTAATAGCTTGAAAATAGCGAAGAATTGGGAGATTTACTTAGGTCATCGAATCCCGTTACTGCATCTTCCATTTATCTTGCTATTCAAAAACCTAAAAAAGTAATTATTAATGCCTTGTTTCGGCTTATAATTGCAATAATTAGAAAGTAATGCAGTAAAACATCTCTCTACGGGATAATTAATGTTACGGTATTCTAATGTTTTCAGGCAGTGGAATGCTTTCTTGATGTTGAAAATGAGAAATTGGATCAATATGATGATACAGTCTTCAACGTAGGATATAAGAGTCACTAATTATTTTTTAAAGAATTCTTGCTGTCGATATAATGTAATATTCAATTTTGCCTGCTATTTTTTTAGATTTGCTACAGCAATAGACTATTTGATTGCTTAGCTAGTTATATTATGAAGCGCTGCAAACTTGACCTATGGGCAAAAGTGTTAAGCAACAGTAATGAATGGAGGCAGGAATTGATTGATCAATTATTTCCCGTTGCCATTACGAGGCAGCATAATAGCGACGAAATTACTATAATCATCAGAGCATTGATTGCAGCTAATTTGCACTATGAAGTAATTAAAATTATAGGGAAACTAATCAAAGACAATTCAATATATGCTGAGAACGAAACACTGCAGAATTTGCTGATTTTAACAGCTATGAAAGTTCGTCATCAATATTTATTGGACTTTATTACAAACCTTCAACATTACGATCACATTGAAATTGCCACAGTTGCTACAAGAAATCGTTTCTATCATGAGGCTTTTATAGTATTAAAAAAGTTAAAGAGCAAGGCAATAGCAATTCAGGTCTTAATCAATAATGAATCAAGTCTAGCGTATGCTTATCAGTTTGCAGAGTATTGTCAAGAGCCAGTAGTGTGGAGCATTTTAGGCAAGGCTCAACTAGACTCTCATCTGATTAAGGAAGCTATCGATTCTTACATTAAAGCTAAGGATGTGTCTGCGTATAAAAAAATTGTTTCAGAGGCTCAAAAAGCAGGTCATTTCCAACATTTGCAACGTTATCTACGTATGGCTGAGCTAAATACTTTCGATGCATTGAAAGAGGACTTAATGTATTAATCAATCCGATAATATTGGAAGCTAAAATTCTATTGATGATAATTTAACTGGAGCTATGATAGTTCTGATAATATTTATGCTCGTATAAAATATCAAAAATTATGATGCAATTGAATTTCATTCTTAGTAGAAATTATTCAGAGATAATGGAAATTTATGCATATGTTGCGTTCAATCCATATATACTCTTATGATGCCAGTTAAATGTAGCGATAGGTTTCAAACATCCTTCTGCTGGCATTGGATGGAGTTATAAATAAATATTACATTGCTATTTATTGGTTGTATTAGTAATGCCATGTAACCTCTTGTTCTTCAATGTCTACTGAAAGGTGGTATCTACTTATAATTTAGATTTACTAGGATAACACGTTAATCTAGGATGCATATTTTGATTTTGATAATTTGACATAATGGTACATATCAGAAATGTAAATTGATGAATGTGATAACGTAATGTGTCAAATTTGCAGTACCGTATTTATTCGTTACTGTATATTAATCCGTTTAATATCGGCTATAATATATTAGCCTATACATACTACCTACAAAATGGAAAAGATTTTGGGTAAGATATTGAATGTCTACTTTGATTGTGATCATCGGAGATAATTTTATGAAGGGTGTATAATTGTTATAGAATTGATCGCTACATTATATTACACAATTTACTATACTTATTTTTTGAAAAAATCTGTTATATTTAATCTATTTCAGTTAGCACAGTGTCAACTAGATTATCCGCGTATACAGTAAGCTATTACATTAATTAGCGAGAATAACTTTCTTCTTTATAGATATTCTATGCTTAAAAGATGACTAGACAATATACAAGATATGAAAAGATTATTAAATATTAAATATAGCATCAACCTAAATATTCGCATATCAGCTACTGCATTAATCAGGGAGAAAAACTTCTACTTTAATATACAATCTGTAGTTAAAAGGTGTCTATACAAAATAAAAGATATGTTTACTTACATATCAGCACTTTAAATAATGAACGAAAGTAATTTCGATTTTAACATGCGCGTATAGTACAATCCGTACTCGAAAATATGAAAAAGATGATCAATTATTGAATATAACAACAACTAAAATGCCTACTCGCATATAAACTACTGTATTAATTACCGGTGATATCTTTCAGTTTAATTTACAATCTATACTTTAGAGATGATTAGATTATAAACGAAAAATGAAAAAGATAATTAAATATTGAAAATAATTTCGACTAGAATACCTGCTGACATATCAATTACAGGATTAATCACCACGAATGGCTTTTATTTTATTATATAATCTACATTTTAGAGATGACTAAATGAATTATATGCCTGAGTAAAACAGGAGGATTAAATGAATATATAATATCATCGATTATAATATCATCGATTAGAGTACTCGCATATAATCTACGGTATTTATTACTAAGGATATCTTCTATCTTAATATACAATCTATACTGTGAGGAGGACTACGCAATATGCAAGCTACGTGCATGAAAAAAATAATTAAATATTGAACGAATATCGACTAGGATACTTGAATATCAGCTTGTAGCGAAGTGACGTTAAGTCATATTAATGCTGATAGTAAGTTGTACGGATGTGTAATAAATTAGTGAGTACATGATGATACGATCAACCGGAGTGCGTACTAAAATTTAGACTCGTGTTACGTACAAGACAAACTTAGGACCTAGCATAATAGCGCAAGCTATTACACAGCTATCGTATTAATTGCTGAGGATATCCTCTATCTTAATATGCAATCTATTCTTTAAGAAGGACTACTCAACATACGAGCTACGCATATGAAAGAGAATAATTAAATATTGCATAGGATATCGACTAGAATACTCGCATATCAGCTACCGTATTTATTACTGAAAACATCTTTTATCTTAAAGTACAATCTATACTTTAAGGAGGACTACGCAGTATAAGAGATACGAAAAAATAATGAAATATTGAATAGATTATCGATTAGAATAATCAGATATCAGCTACAGTATTTATTTCAGGTGATATCTTTTATCTTAATATACAGTCTATGCTTTATGGAGGACTACTCAATATTTGAGACAGGAAAAAAGGATTAAATTTTAAATAGCAAATCGACTAGAATAATCAGATATCGTCTACTGCATTGATTACCAAAGCTATCTTTTATCTTGATATACAGTCTATTCTTAAGGAGGACTGCTTAATATACAAGTTAAGCGCATGAAAAGAATAACTAAATACTGAATAGAATATCGACTAGAAAACTCGGATATCAGCTACTTTATTACCAAAGATATCTTCATCTTAATACTAGATACTGATAGCCTATGCTTGAAAGACGACTACGCTACACCATATACAAGATATGAAAAGGATGATTAAATATAGATGGATATCCATAATGAGGAGGTAGTGACGAAATGATTACCATGGTGAATTAAACTGACGTAATGATGAAGGCTTTGTCAGCTAAGCTGGGCCGCTCCTATTCTCTTTTCTCTTCTTCATCATTATCAAGTGTATGACAATCAAAAAAATGAAATAACTTAATTAATATAGGGCTGGAAATAAACTTAGCGCATTAACTTTGCTGTCCTAATCTTATACTATATTAGTATAGCTTACAATGACGCATAAGCTACTATAAATAGCGATAAATTATTTATACAGCGAAGTTAATTTGTTATATGCTTGGCAAATGAAAGTTGTTATTCGACATTTCAATCATTTCTTGGATTAAATAACCTCATGATTTTCATTTGATTCAGAATCTTTCGTTTTACATCCTATTCAAAGGTAGGTAGACCGTTAAAGTTTACTTTATTACGCTGCTTTTCTAATAATTTCGTTTCGAAATTATTGGTAGTAAATCATTTTTCGACTGATTACTAAAGTTACTTTGTGGCAACTGTTCAATAGCTGAGTTGTCTTGATTCTTCGATATTGATCACAAGAAGTCAATAAATATGACTTGGTTTATTTTGAGAGAAAATGAAGTTGCTATTTGCGTCTAAATAGATGGAATGAGACAGAAGCATCATTTTTATCCTGCTATGTTTTGAGAATGATATCTTGATTGAAAGGATGTAATCTATTTTTTTATTTTGACTCATACTGATATTGGATATACTGTACTTTTATAAAGTTAAATTATAATCACTATGGAATACTGTCTTGATCGATGTCATACCGTAAAATTTTTTAGAATGAAGGTGTTCTAGTTTTTGTTTAGCATGAGTCAAAGTACGCCATCGAATTAAAGTCCAGTTTCTTTACATTTAAATAAATCCATCCATTCTCGTTCGAATAACAATTGAGGAGAGGAATCGAAAGAATTTTCTACTCCAAGTAGAAATAGTGGCAATTAAAAATACCATCACTAATGACACAATTTTGATTTAAAATACTTATTTCTACAATCAATTGTTTACTTCAATTTGATATGGTTGTAATCTCAGTATTCTTACATTTATTTCACAAGCTACAGATATTTTGTTTATCAAATTGAGCTAATAATGGGTTAAAGGCTACTCTAAAAGCTCTAATATCCGAAAGATATACTCTAGATTGATGAAGAAAGTAGTATTCGCTAGTATTCCCTGACAGAAGAATGCTTGCCAATGTTATAGCACATACCAGCACGTTATTAAAGCTGCTAATCTTTGATTTTGTCAGGGAACAGGAATGATATTTTTCATTCCTTTTTTTAACGATAGTAAAGTGTGTTAAGAATTCCATCATTTATTCTTGATGTGTCGTTAATACTGACTAAAACATGTTTAATTCAGCTTTCTGTCACATAATATAATAAGGATACATTTTATGTTATCCTAATGTCAGTCATTCTTTTATGAGCACGGAAGGACTTTATTAACTAAAGCTTTTTTGATTAGTAAGGACGTTATCACCAGGCTATCAAGTATGAATATCTTTGTATACGACATCTTAAATAATCTTGTGCAAGTCGATGCTATTGATTACTGATTGTTTAACTAATGTACAAGAACGAATCAACAAGACATTGAATTACAAATAGTAGAAATTCATAATTCACTTATAGTATTAATGCTATGTTAGGAATTGTTGTGCGCCAAAAAATCGCCAAATTTAATTTTATACTGTTCTTTTTTGTGCAACAGATTCAATATGCTCCATTTCCGTTGCCTGTGCTTGATTATCGCTGCGATATTAGCGATATTTTATCCAATATCGGTAATTGGAAATCGACCAATGTTGGACCAATTCAAGAAATACGATGTGATCAATTATGATGCTGAAGAATTTGCTGAACATCATGAAAGATCACGCCGTAGTCCATCCGCTCATACCATGTTAGAATTTCACGCATATCACAGACATTTCCAATTACGACTTAAACGGGATACAAGTTTATACACCGATGATTTTATGATCGAATCCGGTAATGGCCAACCGGTCGAATTTGACATGCATAATATCGTTTCTGGACACTTGGTTGACGATGCAAAATCACTTGTGCATGGGACGATAGTCGATGGCATCTTTCAAGGTAAAATTTATACCGGAGAAGAACATCCTGAACAATATTATATCGAACCATCGACTCGTTATTTCTCCAAAGACCAGCCTTTCCATTCCATTGTCTATCGACGATCGGATGTTCGAGTCAAGAAAAGCTATCAAGTGGGTACATGTGGTTTAGATGACAAGGAAAATATTCGTATGAGTGATATATTACAAAGTTGGGAACATTATGGACAAGCTTTAGATACCAAAAGAATTCCATCGATGTTTCAAAATCAACCATCTCATTCTAAGAGGAATAAACGAGCACCACCAACTAGAAATACTTGTCAGCTCTTGGTACAAGCAGATCATACCTTTACCACCTATATGGGTAGTAAAGAACAGGCTATCGCTGCTTTAAATGGTTATCTTCAGGCAGTCAACAAAATTTACGAAGTAATTGATTTTGATGGCGATTCATCAGCTGATGGTATCGGATTTATCGTTCGTAGGATGAAAATTAATACAACAAGTGATGCCAGCCAGCCTAATAACCCATTTGCTCCAAGTAATATCGGTGTATCAAGCTATTTGGATATTACTTCTACTGCTAATCATGATCCCTACTGCTTAGCTTACACCTTTGCTGATCGTGATTTCGATAATGGCGTCCTGGGTTTAGCTTGGGTTGGTAGTGCAACGGGTAATGCTGGTATTTGTGCTAAGAATAGCGCCTATAAGGGGCAAAAAATGTCTTTAAATGCTGGTATTGTGACTATTTTAAACTATGGCACAAGGGTTAGTACAGCCGTGACAGAAGTTACATTTGCCCATGAGCTAGGCCATAATTTTGGGTCGCAACATGATCCTACGACTAATACACAATGTGCGCCTGGCTCGCCTCAAGGCAATTATATTATGTATCCACAAGCAACTACAGGCCGAGATCCTAACAACAAGCAATTTTCAAGTTGTAGTAAAAACTATATGCAACCTGTCATTAATGCTAAAGGAATTAGTAGCAGTGGTTGTTTTGTAAATCGAGCTACTTCTATATGTGGCAATGGGGTCGTTGAAGGCAATGAACAGTGTGATTGTGGTTATCGATCGGATTGCCAAGATAACTGTTGCAATGCTCCTTATGATAATCCATCTCAAGAGCCTGCTGGTTATCAAGCATGTACCCTTAAAGCAGGCTCTGTTTGTGGCCAAAGCTCTGGCATTTGTTGCAATCCTACAAATTGCCGATACTATGAATCAAGTGATAATCAGTTATGCACAGTATCGACTGAATGCAGCCAAAATGCTTACTGCAATGGTAGCCGCTATCAGGATAAATGTCCAACACCGGCATCGAAACCAGATGGAACATCATGTCGTAAGGGGAGTAATGTATGTAGCAATGGTGATTGTGATGGATCGATATGTTTAGCTGCTGATTTAGCCAGTTGTGCTTGTACTACTCAAGCCGATTATTGTAATACATGTTGTAAATCTGGTAATACTTGTGTTTCAAGTAAGACGATTAGTGCATTAGCCAATTTTAGCGTTCAACAAGCACCTGGCTCTTCCTGTAACAACTTCCAAGGCTATTGCGATGTATTTGGTAAATGCCGTGCTGTTAATGAAAATGGACCGCTAACGAAATTAACCAATTTATTATTCTCGGCAGAAGGTATAAGAAATATGTTGGATTGGATGAAACAATATCCATGGGCGGTTGCACTAATTATTGCTGGTTTTATAATCTTGATGGCCTTATTTGTCAAGTTATGCAGCCGAGCTACACCAAGTGATAATCCAAAATTTAGCTCAAGGGTATCAACACCGCGACGAGTTGATGTTGCTCCAACTGGTCATAGTCAAGAAATGTCTGATCATCATTATTATGAGCAAGAGGATCGTTACGATTATAATAAAAGGCGATATTAATTAATTCATTTATGAACGACGATAGCCAAAGGTCTAGATAGTATCCTACTGGTATTCTAATTCAAATCAATAATTAGCATAGTTTATCATTTAGTCATTCTCTCTATCAGTTCTGATAGTAATATCATGGTTTGTCTTATAAATTACTGCAATTTAAGATCATGAACAAAAGCATGTCATCAACAAGAATCAAATTTATTTTCCAATATTTGTATCATATTCTTCTTTTGCTAATTCAATAATTTGAAATATAATCATAGTAACCTATAACTCAAACTGTTGTACTTAGTTTACTTATGAAATTTTGATCGCATAATCTTTACTATCTCATTCTATGCTACTACCTTAGACAAGATATCGATGTTTTAATAGGGGTGATTGGATTTTACTGCCTATTGCAATTAAAAAACCAATCGCCTATCCTATATCTAGCAATCTCATTCTATGCTACTACTTTAGATAAGATATCGATATTTTAATAGAAATAATCGGATTTTACTACATTTCCATAAGTAAAAACCAATAGTCCATCTTGTGTCTAATCATCTTTTTCTATGCTACTACTTTATAGACAAGATATCGCTATTGTAATAGAGATGACTACATCTTATTACATATTGAAAACTAAACATCAATCGTCTGTCCTATGCCTGATGATCTCTTTCTATGCTACTACTTTAGACAAGATATCGATGTTATAATAGGGATGATTGGATTTTACTACCTATTGAAAAGTGAAAACCAATAGCCTATTCTATATCTTATGATCTCTTAATCTGATTTTAGTCTTAACTTTTCGTATATTATGGCATAACTTTAGTTGATAGCTTTTCGTTGTTACAAATCGATATTCATTTTACTCTTATATCAATTTGTACTTAATATCACTTTTAATTGTTTAAAGCCAGTGCCTATGATAGTACTTAATTTAACCATATTTCTTTTTGCATAGATTGCCTTTAGCAAAGGTTACTATAACATTTCCATTGTAAATTGATGCTTCTTACATTATTCTGTTCAAATATGCTTTCCAATCTAAGCTTATGTTGGTCGAGAATAAGTAAAACCAATCTGGAATCGGCTCAATACTTCAGGCCAATTGTACGGGAAATAATCATAGCTTATAATATAATTACAATTATTGAATAGGATGCTGTATTTGCATTCCCATAGGATGTAAAATTTCTCATGACTATTTTCATGCACGACTACCAGCCGATATACGAACGGCTGGATCTCTATATTTGTCAATGTTTATGCCGACTGTACTATAATGATTCGCTTCGTTTAAAGCACTTTCGTTAATTATAAGAAATAAAACTACTAAGAAATGATCAATTGAATCGAGTTGTTTCAGCGTTATTGAATTTTATGTCGATCGGAAGAGTTTTCTAATAGCCATTGAAGAGTGGAATACTCTTGGGTTAGCATACCTATGGTTGTTTTAAACATATTTGTACCTTGAGTTGCAAGATATCTTGATATATAAGGAAATTGGTTAGTGGTTATACTGAACGAAATGGAAGAGTTAGATCTTTTAATAACCAAGCTATCATGATTTTGATAGATTATGTAGTTAGGTACTGTATGTTATACTATAGAAGGTCTAAATACTACTGCTATACGTTAAAGTCTCTGTGTCTTATTATTTACAGTTTGATGATGATTTGTAGATTACCCTCAGTAACTACATTGAACGTGAAAGGTGCAAATAACAGATGTCTATACTATTATCATTATTTTAAACCAGAATTTGTATGAGTCTACTTTATATCTGAGTTTGTAGAGCCTTGTTATAAATCTAAATTTAGAACTAGAAAAAATTGAACTGGTACAAACAACGAACACGATGAGCCAACTGTTAGGTTTGTCCTCTCTAATATTTACTTACAGTGCGACTGCCGTAGTCAACTCACGACAAGGAAACCTGGGTCTCTAAATGTGCGTCAGTACTAAGCCTATAACAGCCAAATGTGCCCCTAACGGGTTACATGTAGACTAGACTTAGTCCCTTTTTAAAATAGTTTATTTGGCGAAGGTAGTCTTGTTATCCAAGACTACTCCAACTAGACGACCAAGGGTCAACTGACTAGCTAACGATATTGGTCTTTTATCGTCAGGAAGAATAGTAATATCGCTAGTCTTTCCTAGGCAAAACTGAATGCAAACTTTGTTGGAAAAACCAGTCAATTTATAGTAAATCGACATAAATATTATTTATCAGTGGATAGATAATATTTTAAAACTACGCATTTATCTATTAAAATGTGTAATACGCCATAGATAAATTAATATCAACATATTCCTAGGCAAGTTATCTTATGGAAACCATATTATAACAGCTAGGCGAAAGTTACTCTGTAATAAGCCTATAGTATATCACAGTTATCATTCAGGTGTAATTCATATGCATGTTCTGTAACTTAACTTATCTTTAAAATTACAAAAAATGCCATGAAAATAGCAATAAGTCGGAAAAGCATAAGTATACGTAAAATTAGCCGTGTAGACGTTCATAAACTCATCAATTCTTAATTCTTGTTTGACCTGTCAACTTTCGAACATAGAACAGCCCAATAACTAAGGATTATTTAATTTTTGCCATTTTTTATTGTATTGATGCACAAAATAGAGTAGATTATACAAAAGCATAGGAGAATAAAACTAATGCACTGCAAGGTCTTACCATAGTGTACTACATAGTAAGTAAAAGTAGCAAACCCAATTATATATTCTTTGCTGGACAGCATGGAATATCATCACGCAGAGCCAATTTGATAGTGAATAGATTAAAATAAAAACAATTGCCTGGTGGTCGTTCTAAGATCTTGCCATATTTGCATTATATAGTAATTTAAAGTGGCTGACCAATTATGCTATTCTTACTGAAGAGATTGGCACATCACGATGTACAGTCAATTAGATGTTAAATGGATTAGCATGGACATTTCGTATTTAATGCATTTGATAGCGAGACACCTTTACTAGTAAATTCTGATTTCAAATAAACTAGTGCAAACTCCCGTCGCTTTGCTGACAGTTTACGATAATGTGCTCATTTAACAGATAGTATTACCATTTGATAGACCTATCAGAGGTTCAGTAACTATTTACCGTGTACTCTGTACTAGAGCAAGTTTTTAAACTTATTTCGTTGTAAATGGTTACAAAATTGAAGAAATGTTTAGATATTCTATTTCAAGCTGCAATCGATTTTTGAACCTTTACTTGAATGCTGGTTCAATTTTCCCTACGAATTTGCTGCAATTGAATGAACTAGTACGGTATTAATTTTCGAGCGGATTCTCTTTTCGATTTCCATGATAGAAATTAGCTCCACTCTTAAATAAGATATTTGTAGTATATTTTATATTTTGCTATTGCTGAATATTAAAAAATCCATTTCCAAAAGTATTAATATTTAAATGATGCTGTCATTGACGAAATTTTAGAGTACTGTAAAGTGCCTTGTTGGCTGAAATTTGAAAGGAATTAAAAAATTTAGTTCTAAAAGGTGATGAGCGATATGACGGCTACCAATACTGACTTTGGGTAATCTTCACTGTTTTTAAACTTTTAATGAATAATTAGACCCTATCCCAAGATAGGGTTATAAGATCAGTTGAGATATTAAATCGCATTTGCACAAAGTATCAGGGTGGAAATTTGCTCATTTTTGTTTAAATATCTCCTAATTTTGCGTTCTATCCACCTTTAAATAATGATTATATTTTACAGACTACTTTAGCTGATCACTCTGATACGCTCTCGTAAAAAGTCTACTAGGGTAATCCTTCAAACGTAGTTATCTTATAATCATTATGGCCTCATTCTGAATGAAGTTGGAATAGTCAAAAACTATCCTTAAAAATCTAGCCATTTTGGCTATCGGCGATATTTGCATCAATATCACTTCATTTAATAATGTCAAGTTTTTCTTAAAGTCGAGTAACCCTTCTCTATTAATATGTTTATGGTGCTTTACCGTAGCTTATCGATTTTATATTAGACCAATAATTAATACAGTAGTTAAATTGCTGGAACTACTCTTCAATACGAGCATTCTTTTAAACGTAGTTATTTTAATGCATGTACACTATTATGGCTGGGCTTTTGGCTCATTAGTCTACGAGATTTTTCAACATCTAGTAATCCTACAAGACTTTTAAAAGGTTCCCAGTTTAATTAATATATATTGAGGCTTTTTCAATTAAGATAAATTAATGAATCTATAATTACTCTTAAAGCCTAGTCGACCACCAATTGTAGTTATTTTACGTAAGTCTAATAGCTCTCTTATTAAATTGATATTGATTAGTCCACGACTTAGTCTTAAAATTAACTACTAACCAAGCATAGTGTATTTAAATTAATATACGTCCTTTTAATGGATCACAGTTGAATACACTAGGGAGATTGTAATGAGGTATGCAAATCAAAAGTTTTAAATTCATTTCATACTTTACTCGAAAGTTCGCTAGCCTAGTAACAACTAGCGTTATTAGTTGATTTTGCAGGAACGCATTACTTTTCTACTCAACTTTCTGTCTATCTTGATTAATTGCTATTTCAAAGCTTATTTAAATTACATTTTTTAGTCCAAGAGACGATATAGCCCGATGCTTCCTTTCTCAAAAATAGATAATAATTAAAATTTATTATGACGACTGCGGTGATAATGGGGTGTATAGGCTGTTTTATCTTTCATTTCAGTGATGCTATTTTATCGCCGCGGGATCGTCTTTAATTCCCTAGAGTATGAACAGTTGTAGTTATGTTGGTTGGTGCTTTGAGGGTATTTTGATATACGTAGAATGACTTAAAATAGTGATTTTTCCAGTAGGATAATCATTCTGGACAGTTTGTAGAACGATATTACCTGATCGAATCGTACTTATAGACGTTGATCACAAGTTGAGTTCAATGACAAGGAAATTATCAGGAGATGCTTTATCAGCGGATGAAGGAGATGATGCTAGCCAGCTTAAAAAATTGGCCTCGCAGACTGACTGGAAAACGAATGATGAGCCAATCGATCGGTAGGTGGATTGTGAACTCAATACATACAAATGAATCGAACAAAAACTATAAAATAGTCATAAATGTGGTTGTGAACGGTTGGAATTTTCACGATTCCAGATTAAACTCCTGCTAAATAAGTCTATCGAGTTCAAATACTTTTGTAGAGACTGCCGATTATTTTTTTAATCATCTAGTTCTACCTAATTCAAATGGCTTACGATACCGGTACTAAAACATGATAATTTTCTACTACCAACATGTTTAGCTTTCACAAAATAGCTTATGATATTGAATGTAGTTTGCTGATGGCAATTCATCTTATTATTATTCCTTATTAACACAACGATTTAGTAAGCAACATCGTTAATAGAATAAAAAGGCCGAAATTGGCGGAAGCAATGCTGTATACCAAAATAGTTATAGAATCTGTTATTTCATCTCGAGTGAAAAATGAAAGGGTTATAATATTTTCCCATAAATCCGACGGCATATTTATGCGAAGGAAGCTAAAATCATACTCTGGCCTGAAAAACAACTGCTTAAACTATAGCTTAGGTTTATCAGATTAATTTCATCATATTTCTAGCATATAGTAAAAGTTTGCCTATACTACCAACACTACAGTAACCATTAAAACGATTGGCAGTGCACCAAATAACGATCAATAGGTTGCATATAGCTTAATTGCGAGAGCATCAGATGCTAGTAATTGCCATTTTTTCCTTCAGCGTTGCTTGGGTGGTATTCTCGATCAGGTTGAAACCCAAACTGTGCTATTGGTTTTCCTTTTACGACATCCAGCCCCCAGGGATTAAGATGTATGTATTATCTATCGCAGCTAGCAAAAGTTGCACTATTGGACACAGAGCAGTACACTATAAGCGTCGAGAAATGATTTATTAATCATCAAAAGATCTCTACTAAAGCAATTATACTTATATCTTTTATCTTATGAAATCTGTGGAGAAAGAGAAAATCATTATAGTAGAAAGTATTTTCCGGTTTATAATGTATAATACAAGAATAATGATCAAAAAGTAGAATGCAATTGTCTGTCTATGTGAATAAGTAAACAATTGGAGAGCTTTGAGACCATGTGCATTTGAATAGTTATTTTATTCTCTCCGTTCTAATGTAGAAAAAGTTCTAAGAACACTCCCAAAATAGCGCCATTATAGATTAACTATCTTATTGTGTCACACTGCAGGCAAGTAAATAATCACAGAATTTTTAGCATAGATTGAAGAAAGATTCTATAGTAACGGAATTAAATATTTAGAATACAGATAGAGCCTTTAGATTCTATCACAGCAAAATTGAATATTTTATTGTAAAGATAGAGCCTGTAGATTCTAAGACGATAAAATTTAAAAATCTATTATAAAGATAGTATAGGCCTATTTCTACTACTACGAAATTAGATATTTTACCCATAATTTAGATAGGATATATCAATTCTACTATAAAAAATTAAACTATAAAGATGGAAAAGATAGATTTAACAGGAACTAAATTCAATATTTTACTATAATTTAGATAGTTTAGATAAATTCTACTATAATAAAAAAAGTTCTAAAGATAAAGGAGGGATATTCTACCTTAATCGAATTAAATGTTTTGCTATCTTTGGATGGAATAAATAAATTCTACTATAACGAAATTAAAGTATACAGATAGAAGAGATAGATCTTGCAGTAACCAAATTTAATGTCTTACTATAATTTAGATAGAATACGAGTAGATGAATTTTAATATAACAAAATAATACTATAAAGATAGGATAGACAGAATGTACGGTAAATTAAATCTAATATTTAAAATGAATCAGAAAGAATAGACAAATTCTACAGTAATCGAATTAAATATTTTGCTATCCTTTGGATAGAATAAACAAACACAACTTTGACAAATTAATGCTATAAAGATAGAACAGATAATTTTACAGTAAATCAAATTCAATATTTACAGTAATTTAGATAGAATAGATAAACTCTACTATAATAAAACAAAGTTGTTAAGATAAAACGAGAGAAATATTTACTTTCATCAAATTAAATATTTTACTATGCTTTAGAATAGATAAATTCTACGATAATTAAATTAAACTACAACAATAAAAGAGATAGGTTTTACGATTCTATGGAGATTTCTTCAAGGAAATCCCACCCATTACAGCGTAAAGCTAAGATTTAATCATTGCAACTTTCATCATCGAGGCTATAAGAGCTAATCTGTCATGGTGCGTTAGTCCTATGAAAGTGGGTACAAAATAGACGACTATTTTTAATATATTTACAGCGGGTGAAATTCTGTTGTAACGTCTTAAATACGGGTTAAATTGCTTGCATTATTATAAATAATACTTCCATTTTGCTAGTATAAAGTCAGCGTGTAAAATCTTAAAAAGATCTTTTATAAAAAGCTTTAAACTTTCAAAATTGGAATTTTTAAATTTAGACATAATTTCCGATAAAAAGATCATAAGGTCGACTGAGTAGATATATTTTAGCAATGAGGGAAAATTAAGGAAGGATAAAATACCGAAATTTTATTTGTCATTCTTAATTATGATGCACTGCAATCAGTAGACAAGGGTTACCATCGTCGTCAGTGAGGGTGGATACATTAATAATAACAAATGTATTAGAAAGTGAAGTAACGACTTTACATTTAATTCGAAAATCTGTTACCAGTGACCCGACGTAACTTGGCTATAGAAAGCCTGCATTAGTATAATATTCCAGTTGTAAATTATTATGACTAACAATATTCCAATAATTTAAACAGCCATCTTAATATTCCTATAAAAACTGGGAATGTTTTAAGTTAAAATAATTCTGGATAAAGGGCAAGATGGATTGGAATTGAAATTAAACTGAGTTTTATCTTTTTGATGTCATTTCTCTTAGGTTTCATATGGTATATGTGATATTCTTTTTTATTGGCATTGGAACTGTACTTCCAATTAATATGTTTATGACTGCTAGTTCGGTATGTTGGTTTGATATGAAAGTAATATCCTATTAATTTTAGGGTATTGGTGATTGGATAATCTTGATATCATGAAACAATTAGCGAATCTTGTACTCTGAAGGAATCGTACTCTTTGAACAGTTTCTATCTGCCGAGATATAAGATGGTATAATATTTATTTTAATTTTAGTACTTTTCAGCGAAATTAGCCGGAACTCGATATCAATATATGTTTGAAGGTTATCTGTTACTAGTTTATTCAATTGGTATAACAATTTCCGCTGCAATTAGCATTTGGTTACTGCGATCGTAAGAAATTTTTACAAAGTTACTTATGACTGAATATTCTTTTTGAATTTTATTGCCAAGCAATTTGTATAGTATCGGTAAAAATTATAGATTTAGAACATATTACGCTGAAACTAAGTAAACTTTTACGTTTTATTTTGGATTCACAGACATAAGAATAATTTAGTTGTAGGGTAAAATTTATGTCCTATTTTCGATAAAGCCATCTCCTTTGTAGAGGAATTAATATTTCAAAAATTTTTCTACACTAGCTTAAAGTATTAATACGCAATTTGATTAGTTTCTATCTTATTCCGTCTTAATGGCCATATTCGATAAATTAATTATCATGCATTACTGAATGGATGGTGTACATTGCAATTCCTATACCTGGCATTGAAATCACAAATTAAATATGAATTTTTCTTCAATGATAGGCTTTGACTTGCGTATAAAATTAATTTTGATCGTTATTCATAAAATATATCATCTTATACAACTGTTCCTATATGCAGTAGATTGCAATCAACCTAAATTTCTGCACAATAATAAGTATTTGTGTATATTTATGTTTAATATAAATTTTAGCATCCGAATTACGTATCGATTAGTGTTTTCGATACTGATTTTAATATCCATATTTACTTTTATGGCTGTATTGGCTCAAGTTGATACCTCAACCTGTAAGTTAAGATGTAGACTGTAATAATCTGCTATCCGTGAGTATAATTCACAGATCTTCAAATGGATGAGTATAATGAAAAGATTAATATTATATTATAGCTATAATAAGTGTAATATTTCAGAGAAATATCTATCAACTCTACTCTATGCTTTAAAAATGTACGGTACATAAATTGACCGATATCATTTTAATTAATAATTATAACAGTCTAAACAAACGTGGATGAAAACAAAATTTTAATATTTTGATCAGTGTTGGATATAGAACTCATTTATTATCCGTATTAACGCTAAAATATATCATAATTTCAAGAGAACGATTATTTACTAAGATTGTTGCCGAAATTGTAGCTGAATTAGCAGTTTAAATTGTTTTCTATTATTGAAAGTTATTATATTGTGTTAATGAAGCAATATCTAAATTTCGTTAATATTGTTGTTATCATGGAACCTTATTTAATTGTTTAGTTCTCTTCGTATACATTGATTTACTGCGGATATCATCTTGTTGAGATTGACATTTTCTGAGTTGGACTAACGCCAACATTGCAATTGCCACATTTCAAAACCCTGTTCATTTATTTAATTCTTTTAATATACATTTACTTACTGTCAATATCATCTTGTTGAGATTGATGATTTCTGAATTTAACTAACATTGCTGTTACTTTAAGCTGGAGATGAAGAACTACAAAACTAATATTTTGATTATTTATTCTTTCTAATACTAGCTGGAAGACAAGCATTTTTCATATTGACGATGGCCGTCGTTTTTATTTTTAGCTGTAAGCGAAATAAATATTATTTCTAGTATGCATTAATAAGAATACATAGTAATAACCGAATATTAACTATTAATTAATAAAAGCATAAAGAAATTGTGATCTTTAATATTTCTGGGATTGCTGAAATTCCGGCTTTAATGTAGAATCTTTTCATAGCTGCGAATTTTTGGTAGTGCTGAATCTTATTTTAATCGCATATTACTACTATTTCTAATACTTCCTTTATGCTTTAGATTTTTCTACGATATCATTTATAACTGATGGTTTTTAAAAATGCACAATCTTTCTATTCTGATATAGTAGCTTAAGCAGTCCACTTATTTTCAGTTATAGCATTGATCATTCTCTCACTATCTTTTATATTTATGTCACGGTCATTACAAAGTCACTTTAATACTGAATTTTATCGATCCGCACTATCAGTTTTTGGTAGCGCATTATTTCAATCAAGCTTTCTAGGATTAGTTAGTGTATTTCCTAGAAGATATCCACAGTCAGTGATATCTGGCATGGTTAGTATTGCGTCAAACTTCTTGAAAGTTGAACAGTTAATCACCGTTTTTTATTATTAAAATGATATTTGTTAAAAAAGTGATCGATAGTAATCAAAAATTTAATACTTTTATCGCATCGTTATTTGCATTTGCTCTCTCATAGGCATTTTCTGGATTTTTTGCTGCTGTAGGTGGAATAGTATCTTTATCTGGTAAGTTATTTCTAGCTATTTCAACAATATAACAGAGTAAATCTATCTTTCTATATAGCAAAAAAATCAACTAGAGTTTGCCTCTTGCTGGACAGTGACAATATCTGTGATATGGTATTAGTTTTAGCAAAGAAAATCATTTATTAAATTCTTTGAATTTAGAAGACAAATGGAACTCATAAATTATGCTAACGCTTGGAAAAAACATAAAGTCTAAAGCATAGTAAATAACAATTTCAGAAATAAGTCAATTTAAATTAACAGTAAATAAATTAGTTTCTAACAAGATTAATTCAAAAGACATATTTTATTCCATCAAAGCCAATTTGATAGCCTCATGAAAGATATAAAACTTATGGTTAATTGAATATAGTAAAATCTTCAACAAACTAATAAGATTATCGGCTCTACCTTTGCTCAGATAGCACTCTCTCATTTCTTGAACGATATCTATTTATATATGCTTCTCAGAGCAAATAAAAAGTATAATAAATTGTAAAATTAATAATATACATATTCTAGAATACTGTTAACAGATATTATATAATAGAAGCTAATTATATGAAGTTTAGGAATTAAATTATTTAGAACTATCTAATAGCATTATACCATTGAGAAATTTTGATAAAATTTTTCATAACACGTCTATCACCAATATGGTAAAAATAAATGTGACTGAATTTTAAGTATTAAATCTTAGATATTTTAGAAAGACTGTTTAGCTAGTAAATCACTGTGACCTCATCACGATATGTAATGCATTTTTAATTGATATGGAGCTTTCTGTCATTATTACAAAATTCTACTTCAACTAACTTCTAATCGGCCTAGATCTAGCATAGTCTAGCTAGAACTATGGTTAAATTTTGGTGCAATATTCACTTACTAGAACAAATTTTAAATAATTTTAAAAGTACAATCAGCCTTGAAAATAGCCAAAATATACATTTTGTAGATATATAACATATGTACAGTATACGTAGGCTATATTTAGGATGTAACTATTTGGCTATAGGAAAATTTGACCTTTCATTTTGATACAATTATAAAATTGTTATAAGTGATTAATTATGCAAGCTGGACTAATGTCTTTATGCTTAAACAGTTGGACGTTCAATGCAAAGTTTTGCAACAATTTACTTTTCTGCGGCTGCACTTTTCCTTAGTTTAATTTTGGCCTTACTGTATTTTACGAGAAAGATGGTATGTGACTTAGAAGAAAGTCTAGTGATTGAATAAATCGAAGTAGAATGCTATAAATTTCTACCGTGTCGTTTTTCAATGATTATAGTATTTTTATGATTGCAGGAGTTTGTTCAATATCATTTGCAATATTTAGAGTTTGGTAAGATTTTAGTAGAAATGCTATTTGTCGGCTAATTTTGTTAGTGTAACTGGTAATAATAACACAAATAATTTTCATTTTAGTTAGAAGCGTAAATTATGTTCATATAAATCGACTACCTATCTGAACCCAATGTAGGACAGAAAAATGCTAAACGTTTCTATCAATACGAGGAAGAATATGATAGCGATGATGATATAAACAGCAATCCTCAATGTGCTAAGACGCATCAGAAATTTAGTTATGTTTGGTATCTTCTAAAAAAGGTAAGAAAACTGCTCTATATTGTGAATAAATTTCTAGAAGTCATTGTGTCTATATCCTATAGAAACCGACATTGTACGATAATATTATGAAGTAATCGATGACTTCAATGATAGATATGGTTATTGGCCTTGAGTCTCTTGCTATGTACAATGGTCACTTTTGCTATCTATCCTCCTATCATGGCTCGTGTTAGACCGATGCAAAGTTATCCTCAAGATCCATTTTTTAGTAAATTTATAAACGTGCATAATTTTATTTCGGCATTATATATATTCAATTCAATATTATCATCAAATCAGCATTAGGAATTTTTATGAAATAGTACTACCAAGTACACTAAAAAATAAAATGATTTCAGTTTGTAATGTAGTATACATATAAAATATTGGTTTAATTAATTGTAGTTTCTGTTAGGAATAGCACCCGGTACTTTAAAAAGGAAGACTACTTAAAATAGTCTATGTATCCTAGTTCTATGGACAGCAATATAAAAGATATCATAGACTTTTATGCAGTATTTATTTCGTTAGCCATCCTTGAATGCTCAATTTATAACAAAGTCATTTAGTTTGACCTAGCTTATATAAGGATAATCAATTATTTCACAGATCTAATTTATTTTGCTAATATACGCGTATTACACAGTAGTAATAAGTTGATTTGATCAAAATCTGACGAGAATTAGATAAATCTAGATTTAAATTCTACATCGAATTTAATCGTAGTGAAGCATTACCACCACCTTTAATAATGATGCCCACGAATATTTTATACAGTGTCTATCTATATTTGTAACCATAAAACAAGAAGTATGAATTTAAACATTTATAGTTTATTTATTTCTTAGTCGTTATAGCGCCACGTGGAGGCGATTACTTCTAATTAATTTGCTTCGCTAATGATTTCGGCAAAGGTTTTAAATAAATTTAAATTTATTACTTTGAATTTTAGGAAAACTATTCGTCCTGTTTGCTTATCTACTATGCGCATTAGGCGATTTCGTCGGAGCGGCAGTTGCGCTATGGATATTATTGGTACTATCAATCTATGTTGTATTTTTATAATTAAAAAACTTGAAAATTAAAGCAATTTATTGCTATATATGATGCTATATTGTAGCCTAGACCTGATCAAGATAAAGTTCTGTTGCTTCTGAATGTACTAAGGATGGTATTTCTTCCAGTCTTTTTATTATGTAATGGTCACCCGCGACAGTACTTACCCGTATTGATCAACAATGATGCACCATATATGATTTTAGCGACAGTGTTAGGCTTATCTAATGGCTATTTTAGAACATTAGCGACGATATATGCCCCAAAGTATGTTAAATAACTAGGATGGATAGCTAATTCATACTGAAGAATTGATCAAATTCTACGTGATATTATTCTCTTAATTAAATATACGTTTTTTTAAATGTACTTTCAGGAAAGTATGTCCTCGATATCGAGAATCTGTGGGTGCAATTATGTTCTTTTTTAATGTAGCAGGCGTAGGAGCTGCATCTTTAGTCGCTTTCTTATCCTGCAGTATTATGTAACACTGTTAATATGTTTATTGTAGTGAAGATAAAACATATGTGTGAGGTATGTATTGTATTTATTTCGATTCTTTTTTCAGAAAGGATTTATTAAAATTTAATCTTTCATCAGATTAAATATTCAGATTAATATTGAGCACGAGTATGTTATTAAGAATGCTAACGAATACTTGTATAAGCGTATGTGATGTGCAGTAATACTGGCTAGCTGCCTAAAGCAGATCATGTTGATCAATAAAGATATTTCACTATGAGAAAATTTCTGGCTTAGAACTTGTTCTCGATGTTTCAAATGGTTGAGTCCCGTTGGTTGGTCAATAAGGCATAAATTTTCCATGGTTTGCCTGCCGTCTTATATCTACTAAAATTCGTCAAAATCACCTACTAATAGCTTTAAATATAAGCGTAGACTCCTGAGTAGAATTAAGCTTGGATTATTTTCTATTTGCTGCTGTTATTCTCGACATCTTTACCTAGACTGCCCTGTATAGTAATTCCATCCTAGTGATATCTAGTACCGAAGCAATTGAATATATGAGTATCGTATGATTAATTAGTTTCGATAAAGCTTATGTTACCAGATATATCAACTTTGAATTGCATAGAATTGATATTACGATAGTTTGCCCCTGTGGATGGAATTGAGTGCCCGTTAGCTGGTCGAATTTGCTCATACAAACAGCATCGAATGCGATAGGCATATTTTCTGACTTGGTTATTGAAGTAAGTATACGCATAAATAGATCATTATGCAGTGTAATAAGAATCTAGCTATTTCGATATAATATGTATTAGCTTTGGATAGTATAGATATGATAGTTTGCTTTATTGGGAAGAATTGAGTATTCGATGTCTTGTTAAAATTGCTTCAAAAATCATGAAATGCTATAGCTACATTTACTAACTTGTTAAGCTAGCTAAAGTAAGTGAGTGTCTATATCGATAGACTAATATGCAGTATAGTAAGGTCTAGCTATTTCTTCACAGTATATATTATCTTTGAATAAGATAGAATTGATCCTATAAAGGTTTGCTTAATTAAGTAGAATTGAGTACTTTCGAGTCAATTTTGAGTAGGAGTTGTCTTGTTGAAATTACTAAACAAAACAACAAGTATCAAAACACCCTCGAATATGATAGTCATATTTTCTATTTTACGAAGCTAACTGAAGTACAGAAAATATGCTGTTTAAGTAGATAAATTGATATGCAGTTTCGATAAGATCTAGCTATTCCAAGCAAAGTATGTATAAACTTTAAATAAGATAGGATTGATCTAACGATAGTTTGCTTAGTTGGGTGGAATTGAGTACTCGTTGTCTAGTTGAAATTGCTTCTAACTTGCAAAGTTAATTGAAGTAAGCCACTATACGTGTAGATAAATTGATATACGGTATGGTAAGAGGCTAGTTATTTTGCCACAGTATGTGTTCGCTTTAAAGAAGATAGAATTGATTCTGCGATAATTTGCATTCTCATATCTGGCTTACAACGAAAAAAGAGTAAACTTGCAATTTCTAAATATAAAATGTCTTGTTTTGAAACTTTTATAGTAGTTACTCTAGTATATCGGTGATAATGCAATCAATTATTTCTAGGAGTCCCTTGAATTTAGTTTCAAGATTTTTTACTCTCAATTTTGCAAGAATGTCAAAGTAGGCCAAATTCTATCTGACATGATCATAGTCATCTTGAAAGCAATGATAGACAATATCGACTCACTGCGATGGCTTGATATCTGTATTTGTAAACAAGATAAGAACTGACTGCAGATGGTTTTCTTCTATAACACACCCATACGAAAACTTTTTGTCACGGTACGAACTACCGTGAAGAAATAGATATCTAAATTTGGTTAATATAATATAGTGATATTATATTACAACTAGTTACTTACAATAGGAATTACTCTAATTATAAATGTGTTTCAGTAAATTTAATACTGTGCTATAATGTGCACTGAAATGATTCTGTGAATGGACATATTGTAGTCCGACTGTGAAAAATTAGTTAGGTAGATGGTCTCACCTAAGTATTTTTATAAGATAACTCGTGAATGTTAGCTGCTGTAGAAGGGTATATAAGCCCGACAGATAGTTGAATAAAGTAGTTCTCAATTGTATAGTTGTTTTAACGTAGAATCAAAGGCGTCTAAATTCTTGTAAGGTAGTTAAGGGATACTGAATCCCGGAAATTATAGTAATTTAGAGATTTGTTTTACGTTATCCTTGTCACGAAGCTGGTTTGTAACACTTATTCAGTTGCCTTTTTTATCCTAGGCTTTCTTTCTAGAATTATCTCGTTCGTATATGTAAATTTGATTTCTGTAATGTTGGTCATATTTATATGACAATCTTCCACTATGAATTTTATAAGTTGCTCTTGATAATGGCATGATGAAAATATTACTATACTTACTTTATAGTTACTCTCAATATTACGTATTTTTAAGCAAGATTAAAACTAACTGTAGATAGCTTTCTTCTATAGCAGCACACCTGCACGAATGCTTGCCCACTTGTCATTTTAATCATATACTTTCATTTTGGAAATATCTTGTCTCGATATGTACATTTAATTTCCATGATGTTGATTGTCTTATAATATTTACCTTATAGTAATTCCCAAGTATTAGTAAACAAGTCAATAACTAACTGTAGATGATTTTCTTCTATAGCATCGAACCTTTACGAAAGCTTGTTCAGTTTTCATTTTTATTCTATGTTCATACTGTATGCGTAGAATTATCTTCTCTCTATATACATTTGATTTCCGTAATATTGGCTATATTTATATAATATTGATCCACAATGAATTTTGTAGGTTGTTCTTGCTAGTGGCATGATGAAAATATTACGAAATATAGATGATGACAATGAAGACAATCAAGACCTACGACAAAAAATCAGTGTTGCTTTCTCTTACACTATTGATGAAGCAAACTCTGAACAAGTTAGGTCTGCTACAATTTATAGATTACATGTAAAAAGTTGCAACAAAAGCGATATTATGCAACTGGATGAAATTCAATAGAATAAGTAACCATCAAGAAAATCTGGCAATATCATGATCTAAATTTATGCTATATAGATTTAGTTCATCTTAAACTGTTCACGGCAAATGGTTATGAACGAGAAAAAATTTATTTGTCAAATGAAACTGTCTGGAATCCACTAAAGTTGACTATCATTTTCTATCAATCGAATTATATAGACACCCCTTGGTATGGAATTAAATTTTTGATATACCTGTAAGTGGCACTTGTGTATGGCTATTTACTTACACATGATGAGACCAAATAATTTTGTGATTATCTTTTAGTTATTGCATGTGTCACTTTATAGAAAATTTTAAATTATTTACACGTGCAAATTCTGATGTTACTGAGTATCTACTGAATAGGAAGATGGCTTCGACATTGTAAGTGAATGAATAGCGTATTGTAGTTAATATCGCAATACATCCTTTCACGAAGGTATTAATAGGTGCAATATCTTACAAGGTGCCGTTTAAAGAAATTATTTTCTTAGCCAGTATCTAAACTTGTCAACAGTAATTTTATTTCGGATACAACTTATAAAGTAGCTATGTTAATAAATGTACCCTATATAAGCATCTCTCGATAACGATCGACAGTAGCTACGCTCTTATTCCCGTAATTAATGTCGTAAGTATTCTGAAGCTTAATCTATTTTCGATCTGTAATTTATAAGTTGAGAACATTTCATTAGCGATCGATTTTCTTGCTAAAAATTACTATTAAATGCTATTCATTGTCTGCTGATCTGTAAGCTAGAATTTTTTGACGATACAATAATTTTCAGTCCTACTCATATATTATTAGTAGCATTTGAAAAATATTTTAAATATTTTTATAGTACTTATCTAGTAAAAGATTAAGATTAATTTAAAAAGCTATTTTGGTGTTTTTACTGGTTCGAAATAGTTGTTTTTATCTGTATTTTCTTTACTATTTGAAACTTATGAGACAGTCTTCGGTAGCAAAAAGAATAAGAAAGAATCAGTGTAAGACAAATTAGTAAAAGTGCTGCTTCAAGAATTAAAATATGAAAATTTTAAGGAATGAATAATTTTACTATTAATAAAGGCGAATCTAAAAATCTCAGTCGTCAAATTTGATGTTAAGTCAATATTTGGATCAACTAAAGTGCGGTGTATTCTTACACTTAGGCTCTTGATTAAATTTAGCATAAATAATTTTGCGATGTAAGCAGAGGTAAGAGATTCTGTAGTTAAAACCTAAATGCGATTAGGTCTAAAGTAATGACGAACGGATTGTAGCATAGGGCCTCGTATGAGAATAGAACAGCAGGCTTTAACTTGTAAGTTTTGTTTCTATCAGTCAATATGCGGCAGCAAAGGCAGGCTTTGTACATCTTATCAAGCTAATAGAACGCAATATTCGATTTTATTTTAATATTCCTTTATCAAATATTACACTGCAACTATGCGGATATGCCTTTATTCAATAACAACAATTTAAAGTTTAAAACATCCATTATCGCTATGTAGACCATAGCTGAAATAGATTATGATACTACAATACAGAAGCTTGTTTAGAGGATGCACTATCGTACATATATCATAGCTGTAAGATTTTAAGTTAATAAAAAATTGATACTATCCTTCTAAGTTGACGATTTCCCTAATTGTCAAATGCAAATTAAGACACCCACGTTACACCGAGAACTATAACTTACAAAATTATAAATTACAGGAGATAATGTAAGGATCAAAGCTATCCATAATGTAAAATTACTTCATAAGTCTACTTAGATGCTATTTAGAAAGATGATTTGACCAAACTATCATATAATAATCTAAAATTGGTCATGATATTTGTGTTTTGCTAGCTAGCAAACTCTATTCCTGATGATCGATTATTGGAATAAATTATACTATACTATTTAGACGGTCGATATATGAAGTTAAGCAAGATAGAGAGGAATCTGACTAACGGAAGTATGATGAGAGTTGCATGATAAAATTGTGAACAAATGTGATCTGAAAATAAAAATATCTATTAAGGTTAGGTAATATAGCTTATCCAACTTACTGATCATCAATTTAAGGGATAGTAGTATGATTTATAGTAAACTATTTATAGTGTAAAACTAAATAAAAATCGTTCCAATGGTCAGTTGTTAAGAATAATTTAAGAGGTCTAAACTATTGCTATTATAAAATCAATTAAGATATTGACTGATGTCTGTATAAGCAAGCTCACAGATGGTCGATAATTGGAATTATTCATACGTTCAGTTATTAACAAGATATTTGCTATGACAATTGTATATGTAATTAATGATGGCTGATATTTGTTGATTTATTCTTCACAATCGACATTTTTAAAATGGATATAAGTAGTTATGTTATACGGAGCTTTCGTGGCTGAAAGCAGAATTGTATTCATGAATTTGCTTACTTTTATGAAAATAACTTAATGTATTTAGTATTTAATTCATGATTATGTTATCACAGCTGTATTTAGAAAAGTAGCCAGAGTAGTAAATTCATTAAAAAACGAAATACTTCCTTACAGATGATTATGGTATATACTGATACTGGATCGCAGACATGTAAAATAGACTCTTACATCTTGCACAAATTATAAAGATAAATTTATCATTTATATGTCTCAAGTATAGCTTGCCATGGTCTTATATTACTGCTAAATTAGGATTATTAGTAACCTGAATCAATACTTGTAATTGATTATGTTCCAGTAATAACTCAGGAAAACCGGAAAATAAATAACGATCGTTCAACTTTTAATTTTGATTTACTCTTTCATAGTTTGATATTGAAAATGTTTTTTCTAATTATTGGATAGTGATATTATAATTTAATTAAATGTATAGGAAGCAAATTTAACTACACACGTTGTTTACGTCTCCGACTTAAGTTTATTAACGTCAATGCAATTGATCCTTTCAATTCTACAATGTCCATACGTTAATTCTCCAATCACCGGTCATATTCTATTTAATAGCATAATTGGATTCTATCATTTACAGAGTCGAGTAATTATCATATTTGATGTTTCTGTTCATTTTGCATCATTTGATCTGTCGTTTCTATTCTATTTACTAAGCTCAATATACTTATGTATACAACAATATAGTTTTAATTTCAGGCGTAGTAAGATAATATTCTAATAAATCTGATCATCACAAACAAAAGAAATATTTTCATAATGTGGAAAATAATTTATTGAAGTTCGTTACTGAGACGAAGTTAATTAAGATAGACAATAAAATAACTATCAAACAGTATCATTGGATAAAGATTTGTTGAGATAAAACTACAATAGTTTTAATCACTACCGATAATATAGTTGACTGCGATTTGAATGTGCACGATAGAATTTGAGATTTCTTTTATTTTTATTTTATTTCTGCTGCTTTTATTCACTTATTAAGTAGAAATAAGAACTAGAGTGTAATGATGTATAGCTTTTTTCTAAATTTATCTATAATGAAATGAAACACTTTATTTTATAACGCTTGACCTACAGCTATTTTAATTATCCAGACTAATTGATAGCTGTAAATTATTAATTGGCAAACTCTTCTATTTGATAAGTCACATACTCTACTTGTAGGAAAAATTTTACAGTCAAGTAAAGAATTCCAAGAAATGGAATCTATTTGTTCGTATTGATGTTTCTTCAGACGGAATAATCTAATAACCATAATTTTGATATACAACTAATTTAGTATTATAATCATTATCGCACGAATATCCAATGTGCTATTAACATGCTTGCTTGTTAATTTTGCCTATTGCATCCATGGTTATAGGAACTTCGAAATAAAATGGCATTTTTATGATGGTTGCGAGTTTCAGTAACATTGTTTTGCCCATTCTTTATACACTTACGTAAGATATTCTATTCGCAAATTGAAAATATTATTTTCCGTGTTTTAAAAATGACATAAGTATGTGCTGTTTTATTTTTTGCAGTCATTACAAAATTAATTTGGATGTTAAAGTCAATTTTCAATTTTTGCAATGATATAAGTACAGCTTAGAGTGTAGTATTTATTTCAATTGTAATTGTATATTGCATTCTAATTTTAATTTTTTATTACAGTAGATCAAAGTAAATGTTGTTGTTTCTATTTCATCCGCAGTATATAAATAATAACTTCAGATGTAAATGCTTCTTTGTTACGATTGGTATGAGGAAATATCGTTCGTTGCTATTTTATTAATTTCCTCTTTAATTTTGCAAAACATTAAAGATTTAACAGTATATTGAAATCTTTATGGTTTGTATTCGCTGGAAATATTTGATCAGATTTTCTTCTAATAAATTTCTAATTTTTGTTATTTGTAACAAAATTTTAATTTTTATAGATAACATACGAGTGAATGCTGTTCATTACATATGTAATAGTATTCCATATTTAGTATGCATCATGTATCAGAGAAATAAGATGTCAAATTTCTAAATAGATACAACTAAATTTTGATATCGAATCAATCTTTTCTTTAACTATTTTATCCGATGCATAAATTTTAGACTGGAAGCCTCCAATTTCACGCTTAATATATGCTATTACTATTTTATTGCTTCGTTCTACCATTGCAGTAGAAGTATAATAGTGATCAAGATATAAAAAAGTTAGATTACTATTATCAATTAATGTACAATGGTGTTGACGACTATTAAGATTTAATATGAAATATTGATTAATCCTAAATGAAATTAGTTGATGGGATTGTGATTATAAATGAAGATATAATATTAGTTGTAGAAAGCTCTTGAGCAATAGATAGTAATCTTTAGAAGAAAATCCGAAAACTTTTAGCCCAAAAGATATTTTTAATAATTAATTTCGTTTGCAATATCAATATGGCCTCGTGATAAAACCAATATTGACGTTATTTTAGTAGAATTTTTGATTACAAATTGACATTAATTTCGATCGTTATTGTTGCCCTTCATATACTTCATATTTATTTGATAGTCCTCGTAAATAGATTAGTAGAATCTGCTGTATCACATGTAGTAATCAAAAAATACTTCCTTCATCCACTTGCATCGCATGAATATAATGTTATTTAATGCAATTTTAGGATAAAGTACTAACTACGCTGTATATAAGGATTTAAAGATTGGTTATTTCCTATTAAATATTTACTATCTTTACAAATGGTAGAATTCATATCAATAGTGTACCAGAAAGAAGATAAAGATAATAAACTAGAACAATGCCTGCAACGATATATTAGCATGAAATTTGAAATGTTGCTGCATGTTATAGCAACAAGGGTCGTAGATACTATTTGTGTTGCACCTTCATAAATTTTTGTCTTATTTTATGGCATTAATATAAATTAGGGTGATTTTAGTAGATAACATGATGTGTCTAGGCATCAGATGATGGTTTGCTAAGACGAAAAGTGAATGCACTGTGAATTACATTTCGTAGTGGGAAGTATGCATTTGATTAAACCATGAATACATTGCCCTCCTAATACATGAGTATTCTCTATAGAAATGTCCACTTATTTTTTATCCTTAGTGTAAAAATTATCATAGTACCTAATCATTTTCCATAATGAATTATAACAAAATGGCCCAATCGATCTCCTCATGAATTATTATCACCAATATTTTTTCTCGCTAATACTATTAAAATACCATTGCTACTGCTCATATAGCCTAGAACTATAGGTTAGATTACCATTAATGGTTTATTGCAGGAAAGAAATAGTATCAAATTCCTACACATTGCAATCCAATAGTTTGAAAGTCATAAAATAAGATTATTAAAATGTTTAAGATTAAAATTTCGACTTATAGTTTGTTATATTTATTGCAAGCAGATCTGCAATTTTAGAATTCATATTTATTTCTTTATCGTTTTTAATATGATTTCATTTCTGTATGTTTCGATAACAAACAATGCTATCAGATCCTTTTAACGAGATAATATTGAACCGGTCAGCGTTTTTCAACTAACTTCACTTAAATTAACTAGGGTTCCATAAGATTTAATGTGCATTTAAGTGTAGGTATGTTTATTCGTCCATATACATTAATATCAACATTAGGTCTGTTATAAATATAATTTATCGTTATGAAGGCTATCTATCATTCCAGAAAGATTATGACGTATCAACAATAAACATTATATAGTGAATCTAATGTAATGCCAGATTAAGTGTACAGAGGAATGGATTGATCGAAATTTTGTCGTTTATGGTGCATGAACACAGCAACAATTAGTTGAGAGAGCATTTTTACTTCGAACATGATAGTAACCGTATAATATTGGATTATAAGCTATAGCTGAGGTATAAATTATAGTTACGATTTGAATTACTAACGATACATTAGGTATAGCCAACAGGCGAAATTCGACGATAATAAAAACAACAAAATAGGGAACATTGTTAACTAGAAAGACTATGCAACATGCGATTAAAATTTTAATCACTTTTCTTTTCCTCAATAAACGTTCTCTTGCATTCTTAGTCATGAATGATGGCCTTTGGCTATTCTCAGGGCTGATCCATAATCGATAGATAACAAGGCTATAGAGGGATACTAAGAGAATAATGGGTATAATAAAGGAAATGGAAATATGCATAGTCCAAAAAGTTATTCGTGTTAGTTCAATCTGCCTAATTGGATAACCGGTAGCATTTCTAATAGTAATATCGGTTGTATTATTTTCAGGATAAAATGGCAGGCAACTTATAACACCATTAGCATTGTAGAGGATAGTATAACGAGCATATTGAATATAGACAACGAAAGAAATAAGCCAGCTAATTGGAATAAAGAGATAAGCCTTCTTGCAGGTCATTTTTAAATATGGTTTCATGGGATAAACGATAACAAGGCAACGATCGGCGCAAATTGTCACTAATGTCAAAGCAATACAAAAAATAGAAGCTACGGGTGTTATGGATCGAAAACGGCACATATCCACGGATTTCGGAAATGCAAATCCCGACTTGGGATTGAATAATTCATAAATTTTAAAAGGCATCAAAAATGCAGCGATAATCAATCCAGCTAATGATAAATTACTAACTAAGACGTTAACGGGAGTTCGGTAGCTTTTTTTAATCATGACAATCATGATAAAGAGAAGATTAAAAGGTATAGAAATTGCCATCATACCAATATATAGGATAGCGATAATGGTGCGCGCTGCTGTAGCCGTTGATTCCATTTCGAACGACGATCGTTAATTTCTAATAGGGATAAAAATTTGATTAATTCATATCAATCAATCTATTGAATAGATTTAGACTAGTTTAAAATAGATATTTCCTACTTACCGCTTATTTATCAATTGAAAAAGGATAACATTTCGAATAGCTTTTCCTTCATATATTCAAGGATTGCTATGATATAGTTAGACAATCGTTCAATTAAACTCTTTCTCTCTTAGCTTCTCTTTTTCCCCTTTTCCTGTGGAATCAACTTAATAGTCACCATCAAAGTAGAAAATCCAAGTATAAAAAATGGATAGAAAACAATTATATCCTTGGCCTATTCTACTAATCTACAAATTGATGACAATTAATTCCCTGAATCAATCGATCACTATAGTTACACTGACAGTTGCTTAAAGAAATAGTTCTGTTGATACTAATCAAGGCTAATCAACTGCAGTCATGTGATGGAGAAGAGTAAGATTTTTTAGAAGATTGTTTAATTATGCTTGTATCAGAGAGAATAATGACATCGGTATCGAATTTTAATTATAGAGAAATTGATTATATTGCCTTTCAAATATCAAAAGATTGATTTTATTCAAATAGATCAATACGCTATGCTAGTTAATAAGACAATAGCTTTGATTCTATTAAAATATTGTTATATCAAGCTAACTATTGATTTCTTTTTACACTACATGTTTACGTTATAATATTATCAATAACATCGCAAGGTATCAGTTGAAATAACAATGATAATAATACACATATATCGACATTAGATAAAATAAATAACCTTTACCGTACATAGTATTAACTGAAAATTGATCGAAGTAGAAAATGAAGCACAAATCAAATACTGCACCCATTAATCTTTGATTCTGAACGATCACCACTTAGATAACAGTCGATATTAAGAATGTCAGCAATGCTAATCTACTATTCAATAGTGATATAAGTAAAATGATAGAAAATCTAAGTTGATCAAACGCCATTTAATGGAAAACGGGATGTCAATAGAGTAATCCGAGATTTCTTAATAGATGACCATGGCTTGCAATGAGACACATTGATAATTGTAATGGACACATGTTCTTGATTTCATGTTTTCTTTCGAGATAAAAATATCTATTGGAGATAAAAGTTATAGTGTAAGGTAAGCTTTTCATTGGCGCTTTTCGTCGAGTTTGATTGCATGAACAGTTCTATCAATTCTTATATTGCCGGTAAAATACGTGTTCTAATCGCTTTCATAGAGAAATAGTTAGGCCTATTAGATTTATTGCTAAAGGGTAAAAGCATTAAAGATAAAGATGGAATGGAAGAAAACTTGTACTATTGATGACGTCTAGATATACAAATAGAATACTAGTTTAATCATGCCTAGATTTAGTATCATTTCGGAATTTGGAGATATTTTATGAACAGAAAAATTTTATTCTACTTTGTCGGTGGAAGTTTTTCGTTTTCATTTCAACTGAGGTAAATGATAGTGAACTAACTTTATCACATTTATTCACTGCAATTTTATTTATGTCTTGCATACAAAGATAAGTATCTGATCTTCCGTTCCACCTTGTTTCAAGGCATAATTTGCACCGCGCTTAGATTGATGCATACGAGAGTATTAAGTCTGTTCTATTTCTAGGTTTGTTAAGTTATGATCAATAAATTTATTATAGCTAACTTGCAGCCTAATAATTAGCGATCAGTATAACACCTCATATCTATTATTATCATGATAAATTACAATTAATTAATGAATAAATGAACTAGTTATTGACTATGTACCGGATTATACCATGAATTGGCGACAAGCAGTCTATAAAATAATGCTAATAGTCCATAAAATTGATGTAGGACTGTTGTTTCAATTTAATACATGTCCTACAGTTCTCCTGTTTCTATTCTATTCAGCAAGCCATAAATTGTGATTATGCCGTTATTAAACTTACAGTATTGCAGCTGTCGCTATTTTTCTATTCTAATTTAAAAACTGAAAGAAATTTACACTTCGTAATTGAATATAAATGGTTTCATTGACATGCGAACGATTTGGGTATGTTAAAGTTCGAATAGAACACATGTTACGCTACTGGTGTTGCTGGAAACCCTGGCACATCTAAAATCTGTGTTAGTTAAGGAATTGCAAGTGAATAAAGTGATTTATATTAATAAATGCAGTACTTGCGTAATATTTCAATCTACCTTGGCCGCCATAAAGTATAATCATGGTGCAGCCTAGGTGAAAGTCTAATAGTGATTATGGGTTGGCTCAGCGATCTTTCGGATATTCCTTGCTGTATTAATGCAATTTTAAAATTTTTTATCGATAGTGTATCTGTCGTGGAACTCAAGTAAAAATACTTCTAGCTGTCGCAAAATACTCATATTGATAAGTAGTGGCAGATTGAATGATAGTAAACGAGCTGTATGTCTACTTTGTCATAAAATTACGTATATATTAGCAACCATTGTTGGTAGTTATTGCACAATGATTATTGCGGCAATTACCTGCAAATACTCTGTAAAAAGTGAGGCGGTATGCACGGTTTGTGCACGAATTTTAGCAATGTTTTGTTGCAGGAAATATTGTTGAGGACGATGAAATCGATATTGGACCTTCTTTTAATAACTCGAGGACGATTTATACGGACTGAGTTTCTCTGAAAAATTTTTGACGGTAGTGGGTAAAATTGCTGTTTATAACGGATCAGCCGATGCTGTGCAGTACTATAGTAGCTTCTTCAATGTTAGGTGTACTAGAGCGATAGCCTACGGCATAGTCTACACACCAATTTTAGTAATATTTACCGTTAGTTCTACCAAATTTTGGCGATGATGATGAATTCGATATTAGAGTATTACGAGCTAAGAATAGTTCTCTCTTGCCATAAAGATTGAGATTGTGTTTTCGCATCTACACTACTGTAAATTGAAATACCAATCAGTTGATATTTCTATGTAGACATATTTAAGGTTGAGCACAGTAAGGTCTCCAATCTCTCTATAAAATCACAGTCTACTTTATTGTCGGCAAGGGCGCAGCTTACATGGCTTTAGGTACCTGAAACTGGTTTAACTATAATAGTTACTTCGTCTTTAAAAATGAATAAAATTAATGCTGTAAAGAATCTCCATTTGCACGGATTAAATACCATCTAATCTATTCCATTTACTGTGTCAGTATTAAATTAATCAATTCCTAATAGCACTTTAAGAAACATATATTAGGCTATCTTACGAAGATATTCCATCTCCACTTAGAAATTGTACTTTCAACTTTGACATTTTTCGAGGTGATAGATACAATCTAGTTCAACTCGTTGCCAATTACTACTTTACTCTACCTAATCCTAAATTAAGCATTACTATCACATCAACTGTTGGGCACTAAAGTCATAGTGATACCGGCATATATCGAACGTCACATGAAAATAATGTACATCCCACAAAAATTGACTTTCATGACAAACCACTCCTTTAACAACTATTTAACGATTCAGAGGGACTTTCTTCCTCTAAAATAGATCGAAATAATTGGTTGTAGGTGGTAAAAATTGCTGTTTAGGACGGCTCAGCTGATGCTGTGCGTCATATATTTGTAAAAATGCGGGATGTAGGGATGGTCTATGCCCGAGTTTTTACAATATTTAGTTTTACAAAATATTATGATGAGATATATACTATATTGAAAGCTCTAAAGCTCCCTTGGAACACGAATTGACGATTCAGAGGGACTGGATTCCTTTCAAATAGGTGTTAAATATTCGATTCTATCGGCTAAAATTGCTATTTCTGACCGGCTTAGTCGATGTTCTTAAGGTGTACACTGTACAGCTACCCTGGTAAAATCACCTTTTGAGGGGGGGAAATTAAATCATAAAGAATTTCGACAATCAAAAATTGCAAATCAAATCATGAATCTGATTTACTTCTTAACAGAATTAAATCAAATCACCGAATTACATCTGAATTTTGGCATGGACAAATTTTTTCCAAGATAGCCTCCAAAATACCTTAGATCAACATGGATAATCGACTCCTAGAGTATTGCATACAAATCATTCTATACTGTACAATGTGTGCATGCTGAAATCATACTGTAGCCTGTAAAACTGGTATTTCTTGTCACACAGGACTACAGTAGAAGAAGGCTTGGACTAGATTGAGCACACTTGGACGGACAGACGTTTCTCACGTCATCTCGTCAAAGTATTATGGCAAACACTTGGGATATGATAGTGTTTTAATATGCAGATGGTCGATTTTAAATTGATTCATTTTTTGGAAATGAAGTAAAACTATGCTGAATCTTATTGTCTGTTACTAAGTTCTGCTTGGATATAGTTATATAAGATCGTCGATGTTATTTAAATTAGTACTCGTGATTTAAAAAAACTGACACGGAAGATCCATATTACCGTGATTAGTTCATTATGATTAGCAAACTTCTGTATCTATTTTTCTGAATCACTTGCTCTAATTTTAGAAGGTTGATGACTTGATATAACTGTTTTGAAGCAGAAATTAGTAAAATAGATTAGATTTCAATATAGCGTTACTTAATTTAGAGAAATAAAGCGAATTACAGAATCGAACAGCCGCTTAATGTTGAACAAGGGTACAGTATGTATAAACCATATCAGAGTTTCCTGTCCATCCATGTACATTGTACAGTACGGTATGACTGTGTCCTTACGCAATGTACTCTGACTGACTACTAGCTCTGTAGTGAGTACCCATACTGTACTACCTACCGTACTCAAATAGTTGAACAACCGTAGTATAATCATCTTAGCAGACCACACCATCCATTGATCGATTGGTAAATGCCGGCTAATGACGATAATATTGGTTGATCCATACTACATTGCTGATCCATTGAGCTCCATTAATCAGCATTACCTGGTTGCGTAGTAGTATGGAAGCATTGCAAGAAATTCAGCAAGAGTTAAGCTCAATTGATGTTCAAGTGAAAAATTTGCTGGATAGAAAAGAGCAATTATTACAATTACAAGATCAATTACAACAAGAAATTGTACAGCAAGCGAAATGGTCAGGTACGAATTGTTTATACTTTGCGTAGTCTAGTGTGGACGACAACATCTCCAAACTGGATGAATATTTTTTAATCTATCAATGATATCTTCCAGTTGTACAATATTTTTCTGTCTTGAGTATTGATTATACGCGATCGATCATAAACTACGAGCGTATCACGATCTATAGTTTGTGATATGTTAATAAATAAATAATTATATATACGCGGATGTTGTTATATAGCTGATACTTTTGGGATATAACTATACGTACTCGTATAGGATATCCAATTCAATCTTTTATAGTAAAAACAATCTACAATATCTACAGGAACAGTTAATAATGGCTACATCAAATGTGCAGTAAACATTGGCAGTTTTTGGTTATCCCAATGCATTAATTATAACATTATACTATATATTCGGATACATGCACGTACATATATATATACATATTACTATGTTAATATATACGTATACACATACTTAGCATTGCGCTACTAGATATACCATCTAGACTAGTAGTCCAACACTGATAAGTAGATCAGATGTGATCACACGGGCTACAGCACTCAATCTTGTCCGTAATTTTTCCTCCTTGAACTAAATAATACTCTTTATAAAAATCCGTCAGTACGTTCGAAAATTTACATGACTATAATAGATAGGATTATTCCTACATGTTGATATGGAAACATACATCCATAAATGAATGGAAAAATCTCATATACTGCATTACATTGTATCATACTGTAGCTTTTAATCGAATGACGAACGTGTACTCAAATGATTTTATTAATGAATTAGGTACCGATTGGAGCTCTGATAGCAATTTTACATGGTCTAATCAACTCTTGCAAATTAGCCGAGATACCTTCGGTATCGAAAATTTTCGCCAATACCAGCTGGAAGCGATGAATGTTACGTTATCTGAAATAGATTGTATACTGATTTTACCTACTGGGGCCGGAAAAAGCTTATGCTATCAGATACCGGCTCTATTGAGTCAAGGTTTCACTCTGGTAATATCTCCTCTGGTATCGCTCATGCAAGACCAGGTAGATCGTTCTACAGTATCTTACCTATTTGATTATTTTATACCAATTGTCTACTTCTTGATCTTTTCCTTGCTTGACTATGCCATGTAGCCAACATGAAGCAAAGTTAAAATAAGCTTTGTACCAGTAACGATGTCATAATAGATGTACAATTTTGGCTCTTACAGATTATTTCCTTAAAATTAAAAGGAGTTGAAGGCGTAGAGATGCTAAGTGCAGAAACTGAACCTAGTCATACTAAGGCCGTTTATCAACGCATGTTATCTGACAACGAAGGGATTTTGAAGATATTATTTGTTACACCGGAAAAAATTGGTAAAAGTAAACGATTTTTATCCAATTTAGAAAAGGCCAATAACTGCAATCGACTTGCCCGGATAGTCGTTGATGAAGTTCACTGCACAAGTCAATGGGGAAATGATTTTCGACCAGACTATAAAGCATTAGGTGTTCTCAAAAGACAATTCCCTTCAGTGCCTTTACTAGGTTTGACTGCTACTGCCAGCGAGGCTATTACTCAAGATATTAAAACAATCCTGTCACTATCTACCTGCTGCATGATATTTCGCGGGTCAATGACGAGAGTGAATTTAATTTATGAGGTTTCGTAACTGTATTCTCAATTTAAATTTTAACTTTTAATCTCATTTACCATCACTTTAAAGTTAAACTACTACATATGTAATTGTTGTAATTAGGTAAGACAGAAGCCATCTAGTCACACTGATACGATAAACGATATGGTCTCCTTAATTAACGACAAGTTCCGAAATCAATCAGGTTTATATTCAATATCTGTTGTGTTATTGTCCTAGTAAAATAGATCTCTAAAGGTATTAATGATGTTATCAAGGTATTATATACTGTTGTACCAGAAAGGAGAGTGAAACCGTTGCCAGTGATTTAGTATCAAAAGGGATTCATGCAGCTTTCTACCATGCCGATATGGAAATGTCCGAGCGCAGTTCCGTACATCGACACTGGATAGAAAACAAAGTTAACGTAAGTATGCAATACCCTTATTGGTCAACTATGTTTAATAGGAAATTGCGTATTTGGTACAGATATTTTATTAATAATATAATTTACTATTATGCGCATATATACACGACGCACATTCGCTTTCCTTTGAAATAGGTTATTGTTGGGACCATCGCTTTTGGTATGGGCATCGATAAGCCGGATGTTCGCTTTGTTATTCATCATACTATTAGTAAATCTATCGAAAATTACTATCAAGAGAGTGGTCGGGCTGGAAGAGATGGTCAGTTAGCGCGTTGCATTTTATATTATCGACCTTTAGATGCTTTTAAACTAAGTTGTATGGTGTTTATGGAGCAAACTGGTCAGAAAAATTTATATAAAATGTTACAGTACTGTAATAACATTAAAACTTGCAGACGGAAGCTAATTGCGGATCATTTTGTTGACAATATAGCCAGCTGTAATTGCTCAATTTGCGATACTTGTTCTAATTCTTCTAATGTGATATCATCGGATCAAAACGAAATATGTCACTTCATTTTACGCACTATACAACAAGCAACTGACGGTGATGTCAATTTAACCCCTTTAAAAATTGTTAAAAATATACAAAAACATTTTAGTAACTTAGATATATTTATGATAGAAAAAGTCATTGTTACCATGACACTGCGTGGCCTATTGAAAGAAAATCTTCATTTTACTCCTTATTCTACGATATGCTATTTAATAGCAGGTATGAAAGCATCCACAAGCAAGCAGGAGAATTTCAAATTTGTTGTAGATACTTTTGAAAATGCTAGTATGAAACGTCAAGCCCCAAAGGAAATTGCTCGTTCGTCAAGTAAAAAGCTAAAAAGACAAAATGCTGTTGTTGATGATCGAGATGTTGTAACCATTGATTAACTCTCCTGTTCACTATTTGTTCTATATTGGTACATATAAAGTTTATTTGGTAATAGTTAATACTACTGCGTTTGACCTCGGTAAAATGTATTCCTGTACGTTATTGAATATTTTCTAAAGATTGTAATCGTAATATCCAAGCTTAATACTTGACGTGCTTACCGCACTTTGGAAATTGTATAGACCTATACCTTGTTCATTGATAACTGAATCGATTTCTATTATGTAGACGCCTTCGAAGTTTCAAATCTGATTACAGTTATTTATTCTTCCAGTTAATATATTGTATCGAAATTGATTTCTATTCCATGTCAAATTGTAACGTTCTCTTTTTGTATCAATAGCCCCGCGTATTATTATTATCTATAAATTAAAAATTTCTCTGTTATAATATGGAATATGTTGTCATATTTTATTATCAACTTCTAGTTCATGTAATTAACAGATCGTGTTATGGATAGGTTGAAGCTTTAGAAAGTCAGTTTGTAGCATTTTTACGATTGTTTTTGATGCATACAACCGTTCCTTAGCTTGGTCCTATGCTTAAACGGATAGCTGATCAATCAACTTTTAACGTTCGAATACGTTTTCATTTTTAAGAACTTCTTATCTGCATGAAACATTTCGATTGAAAGCTTTCCACAGTCAGTTCTAAAAATTACTCAAAATTAGCAAGATTGATTACTGGAAAAGTAATCGTATCGTAGTCTGAGACCTCCTATGGATCATTGACTAATCATTTACGCAGAAACTATATACGTAATTGCTTTATTCGCCTGAACCAACATAAAATAATTTCATTATAATATCTTATTCGAAAAGGGATTTGTATCATACAATATTATTATTATCAACGTCTATGGTAACGGCTGATGAGTAATAAGAATTCTATAATGAACATATTAAAATAGCAAAGGTAAAAGATTACTAGGCAAGTAATCTATTAATCTATTAAAGTTTCGCTATAATAGAGAAATGTATTAATTTTAGCTTTAAAATACAATTCGTAACATTTCCTGATCTATCATAATAGAACTACTTCTAGTAGCGTAATGGTATAACGCTAGCGATAGCGCTTTACCTCAAATCAAGTTGATGTGATACATCAGCATATAGCAAACTTTTCAAAGCATGTAAACTAGCTATGATCGTAACTGAAATTTTGATAGATTTATCGAGATAAAAATTTTAAATGTAAAGACAATTCAATTCGATCGTTTGCAAACGTACAATCCGATAAAAATTTTACTTAGTTCTCTCTCGATGGAGTTGCAATATGGATATGTCAAAACTTGCAACACTTGAATAAATAGGTCTTTTTAATTTGTTTATAACTACAGTACTTTAAATAAGCAATAATAATATTTAATTATATATAGAGACGAATGAAATCAATCTAGAAATCCATTGAAGTCAGCGCAAAATTATTCATTAGTATTTTATCAAATTTTGGTTTTTTAATAACATGCAAAAAATTTCCTATCTAGCCAAAGATATCTTTTAAATCGACCATGTTCTGCGAAGTAACATTCTGATTAATAGGTTGAGTTTGCGTTGTTGATTGTAGAGGTGGACGACCGTATGCAGACTGGGGAATTAAGGGTTGCATTGGTCTCTGAGGTCCCATTCCTGTAGGAGGCAGCTGCATGTTCGGACGTTGTAACGGCCGCTGCTGTTGAGATGCCATATTATTCATCATTTGATTAGGATTACCAGGGAATTGTTGCCTTACGTTGGGATTCTGCAGTTGATGGGGATTTGTTGGTCTAGTTGATGATATTGGCCCTCTTTGGCTGAATTGCTGCATCATAAATTGGTCTATATGTTGAGCTGGACGATTCGGCATGATATTACCTTGTTGTTGTTGTTGAAAAGTGTTCGATGACATTGGTTGATTTGCGAAATTTTGATTTTGCGTATTAAATAAGGGAGGGCGTTCTCGAAATGATTGATCAAATGATTGAGATCGTTGGTTTAGAGTCGGACGGTTAGTATTAGATTGATTTGTCAACGGTTGTCTTGGTGCCCCCATACCAAAACTTCCAAATGAGTCATTTTGGCGTGACGGACGCATCACGCTTGAAGATAGTGGTGCTGCCATAACTGATGATGAATTAACATTAACGGTACTCGAGACATTATTTGAATTCGATAAATTTGTGGCTTGGCTTGGAATTGAAGACGTATTAATATTCAGTGGATTACCTTGAGTATCATTAGCCGTTGGCATCCTAAACCCTTGTTGCAAATTACTATTTTGCGTTGGAGGCGAAGTCTGCGGATTTTGAGGACGAACCAGCCGCATCGATCCTTGACTGAGATTTCCAGCCGGCGTAGGTTGTAAAGTCCCAACTGAAGAAAACGAAGCTTGCTGTGTTTCTCTTTGCAATGACTGCAATTGCTGCAATGTTTGTTTTTGTCTTAGCTGAGTAGGTGGTGTTGTCAATCTTTCACTACTGCTAGTGCTACTAGTGGAACTATTACGCTGATTTGTATTTCGCTGAGCAATGCTATATGGCTGTTGTTTCGCGGATGACATAGAATTTGCAAGTACTGGTGGAGAGGATGGATGATTTGCAGGCATAGTCGGCTGCAAAATTCCTTGCTTCATTGTCATAGTTTGTCTAGTTTCATTTTGTTGCGCCTGTAAGTCATTTAATGATTTTTTTTGCTGTGGTATTGTGGATGATGTAACCTTATCACTAAGTTTGCCCTCAGATCCGTTTAGATTCAACTGCGTAGTACTGGTTGAATTCTTAGTTACAAAAGAAGAAGCTACAGAACTGGAAGAAGTAATTGGATCTAAAGATGGCAGGTCCTAGTATAGAAGTAAGATTATTTCTTTAATTTAGCAGTGTATTACTAATCTAACGACTTCTTGAGCTTTAATAATTATGTATAACTGAAAACAATACCTGATTTGATGATGTAACATTTCCTAAATTTTTAGCATCTACAACAAGCAATACAGTTCGTTTTGTTAAAATATGGTACAAGGCAATATCTTTAAGCAATAAAGGCCTATACATTTTACCAACCTGATCCATCCCATAATTTTTCTAATTTGTTTAACATACTATCAATTTGTTGTACAGCCTTATTGTCCTTTGCGTTATTTCCGATATTAATACTTGTTCTAAGTAAAAATATTATGATATCGAATCTTATTTGTGATCTAGCGAACTTCATTGTTATACCATAAAAATTGTCAAATATTGCTCTTACGCAGTTTCCTCCTGCATTTCGCCAAGCTGCTTCAATTTTGCAGATTGCTCAGATTCAATGCGTCCAAACATGTCTTTTAACAAATTGTTATACTGGCCAAACTGAAATGGTATAGGATGATAGCTTTCAGAAAAACACTTGAGTAAAATTAAAAAAAAATGCAATACGTCAATTATATTGACTTCTAACCTGATTAGCATTGAGACACGATTCGATGCACAACGGTGTCAGAAATGGAATGGCCACGCGAGCTAAGTGTTCCAGATCAAATCCAAGGCGTTTATGCTCAAAGGTAGTTTTATAAATTCCTACATTGGCAAAAAGGATCGCTAGTTAATTGTCTATCATAACTAATTTAAATCCTTATAATTTTGCCTGGCATAAATTAAAAAACTTATTACTTATTCTAAAAGTTAGTGTAGTTTGCTAAATACTATCCTAATGCTAAAGAAAATCTGAATCCAGTTTGATTTCTGGAAGTTAATTCATAATATACGTAATACTGACTTCAACTCTAACAGCAAGAGCTGATACATGTATAAAGGCATTAATTAACAATAAATCCATATGGAAAATGGCAGTTCATAAAACGTGAGAAAACACGAACGTATTTAATGCCGACATTAGCTAGATTACTGGTTATTGTCCATAAATCATTTTCCAATCGTCAATTATTCTAATTTATTCCTTGTGTTATACAATTCCTCTATCTAAATTGCGTTGATAGGCACTTTCGCAAGAATAATAATAAATTACCCAGTATTGACATTAATACACCAGCTTCCCGGGATGGGATTTCTTGTAGCATTGGTAGGATTAAGTCCATCACCGTTAATTTATCAATGATCGGCAACATCTTTCCAAGACATACTAGACAGTTAATACGGACCTATGAGAAAAAATAGATAATAGCAAGATATTTACTGTACGTTTTAGGAATCTCCGACATAAAATTTTTGTTCCTTACGAAGCTTTATTTATTTTTTGCCTATCACTAACCGATAATGCTGTTGTATCCAGGCACAGAGCTTTGATTCTAGGAATGATATTATTTTTTATATATGAATATTCAATATTTTCAGTGTGGTTGGGAAGTATACTTAAACATATTTCCTGTGAATAAAAGATGCTATTTTAATTTGTGTAGTATAGATCATAATCTGAAGCTTTCCAGCAGTATGATTTAGGAATGACACTAAGTGCTCCTTCTGTAACTTTCTTACCTGAATTTCGTATTGGCTACTTTCTAATGCTCTGTACAGTAACGGTAAGACGAATGAGTTGACCTCGTCAGTAGGTGTTAATTTCAGAATTAACTCCATTTTTTGCATAAAAATTAGTAGGATCTATAGCATTCACATTGCAGGATCAGAGATAAATATTTGCTTTAACACATAGCACACAAGTAATTATTTCATAGCAGTAATTTATTGATATAACTGTTTATACTAGTTAAATCACTATAATTAATTACACCATAAAGGAATACCTGAACTGGTTCTTCTAATGCAAACAATGGTTTGATATGAGGAAAAATAAGAGACATATATTCTTCTTGACTAAGATCTTCAGCAATTAATAGGATATTTGGAAGAACGAACGGAATCATGTCCGAATTCGTTAATTCAGTGACAAGGCAAGTTAGAACACGCTGCACTATTACCCGCTAAACCGTGTTAAATGCATTCTTCAGTTAGTATGTAAAGCTTCGATATTTGTTTAAGCTATATCATAGCTCTTCCTATTCGATATTTCATGTTTATTTTATATGTACCTTTGGAAGATTACTAATAACTTTATGAACATGTTTGAAGAATCGCGATTTTTCTACATTGTCTTTCTGAAATAAAGAATCCAGGTATTGCAACGTAATTGCGCCTACGTCTTCAAAAAAGTTAGTCTAAAAAGATGAACGGAAAGCAAGAAGTTTGTCAATGTGTGAAAGATAATTAGACGTAAATCTTCACTAATAGCTTTAGCTAATACTTTGTCCTGCTTGAAATAGCAGTAAGTGATCTCATAGATTATACTTCGTAAACAAAAATATTAATCTTACTTTGATCACATCGTCAGCGTCCATCCGTGATGTTGGGGCTATATTTACTAATGCCCTACAGTGATCAGCCAAAGACCCGGGTATCTTTAGTTTAGCCATATGAGTATTCTTGAGTGATCAATATTAGAATATAATTAGTATCTTTTCATTAGCTTGAAAGCAATAGTTATTTCTTTCTAATGTGTTTGCTTTAGTTTTACAGCATCCAAATAATAAGTGACCAAACTTTAATAAAGTGTAATTGTTGTAGTTTTAAGGGAATAAAGCTTTTTACTGCAGATCATACCTGTTCCATAACACGTCGATATGATGTAAGATTGTCTCCATAATCATACAATGGCTTGCCATTATTATGAAGTGCGTGAATAAGTACGCCACAGGAGAACATATCGGAAGCAACTAGATTACTATCACCAGGGGCACCGGTAATTCGTTCTGGAGCAAGGTAATTTAATTCGGGACGCGTCAAAGGATGCTTTTTGGATTCCCAAATCTACATTAATGAGACTTTATTAGGCTTTCAAACTGGTTGATCTAAATAAGTAAGTGGAGGTTTAGCATCCAAATAAACATTACCACTCCTTGTGGATGATCCTTTGTAACTGTGAAATACAATCCAGCTAGTTTCCATGCACCACTCTTATTAATTACTATTGATTCTGGTGTTACGTTACCATGTATCAAGGACGCTTTCTCGTGTAGAAAGCTTAGTGCTTCACATAACTAAGCAGGTTTACAGTTGTAAGAAAAATTCTTATCAGATTTCATAGTAGATTCAATTCAATTTAATTTGGTTAAATAAAATTGTAATTGAGCAAGTAATAATACATCCAGAAAGAATTACCAAATAGATACTATAAGAATACATTTTGAATTAATACGATAATTTAACTATAGCACATGCAGATCTGATAGCATAACGACGTATCCTGGATGCATGTAAATTAACAATTAACATCTCCAATGAGCTATTTACCTGCATAATTCCATATTTCCTTTCTACGTCATATAATTCGTAGTCCTATAGCAAATGAACATCGGCATCATAGGTATCATTTTCAATTACATGGGTCATGAGTGCAGTCTTGGTAGCTATTATAAACTTGTTACTACAATAAATCTGAATTATATTATAGTACCATTGCAAAAATTTGTGAGGTAGCTGTAATATATTTTCCTTAAGATATTTCATCTATAGTATCCAGTACTTATGGAATTCACATTATGTAAGCACTAAAGATATATTGCATCTTATCGCAATACAAATATGATAGTAAAGTTTCATATTTCATATTCGTTCAATACATAAAGACTAGGATAAGTTTATATAAATGTAATAAATTCTACACCTTAAGTTCATGATCCTGAGGCATATTATGGTGTTCTCCAAATACGTTTGCTAGACTAGCAAATACAGGTTCGGTAGCAAAGGCTAGTGATTCCCTGTTATAAATTAAATTAAATTAATAGTGTAGCGTATATAAAGATTGACCATGACTATAAGGCCAGTGAAGCACGGTACAAAAATTAATGTACTTTATTATCGTACACAATATGATAGAGGTTAGACAGTAATGCTAACATTTATTACAATCCAATCATGGTGTTTCTATCCTATGGATACGCGGTATTACTGTAGTATCTTGTCTAACAAATTTACTCTAACTGCTAGATAAAATAAGTATTATCTACAAATATACAATAATGCAGTAAGTATCATAGCTATAGAGAATGACTAATAGCGATGGTTATTCCGTTTCCGTTACATTACCTTGACTCTTCGACGCCATGCTCTATTGTTAGGAATCGAGGATGCCTCAACTTGGTCAACTGCTTGCAACCTCCTTTTAAGATATCGAAAATTTGTTCTTTCTGTCGTTTAGGCATTTTCTCCAATGATTTTTTTTCAAAGATGAATACTGAAACCGGCTGCAAATAAGTTATTCAAGAGTTAGTATAGATATGATGATCTTAGCCCTTACAATAGCTAGAGCAGAGTAGAATGAAAATATTTTCGAGTGATGAAAATCCATTAAGAGTTTTGGAAAGTGAAGCTCTTAGATGAGTGTGAATTATAAATAATCCTCTCAAGTTTAGCACATTCGTATAGTATAATCGATAATTTATATCATAGCACAAGGTAAATATTTGATACAAGTGCAGTAAGTAATATTATTAGACCATAATTCGGGCTAGTACCCTAAGGATTACATTGAATGACATTTTCATTTGATCGTTAAACCTAGTGTGCAAACGCGTTTTATTTATAAATATTTGATACAAGTGCAGTAATATTATTATACAATAATTTAGACTAGTAGCCTAAGGATTGCATTGAATAAAGGTTTCATTTGATCGTTGAATTTAGTGTGGGAAATGGTTGCATTTATTCGCGTGTACACTATATTTTCGGAGAAGATAGACCATGAACACTATTGTCTTAATAGATTACCAATTCTAAGCTAGCTTTTACTTTGCTAGAGAGATGTTAGATTAATACTACGGAAATCACCTAGTTCATTGCCTAGGTCATGAAATTGATCTGTAGGCCGAGATTGTGCAACCAATCTAATTAAACTCCAAGTGAAATTATTTTGCACGAATGGCGATCGTTTAGCAATGTTTCATACAGTACATGTTATCAATATCCCAACAAGAACGTATGGCCCGGTCTGATTTAAATAGTAGATACAAGACTCAGGGATATCATAGAACTCATGTTACTGTAAGACAGAACATAGTAGAGAATTTAGTAATCTACGAGACGATAACATCCACATTAAGCCATGATAGCTGGGAGGCACCATAGTTACTATTGTTCTGCAAGTCATCCTTGAAAGTATAGTAGACAAGCTAAGCTACTCTTCCATGCCAGTTGATGGCATTAATCGTTTTTAATTACAACATATTATAAAGAATGGACACTAACATGAGGGATGATTAGTAGACCGTATGTGCAGCCATGTCTCGATATTTACCGTATTGAATGAAAATGAAATTGATCCAAGGGTCAGTGAGTGGAACAAGACCTAGAGAACTATACGCTGTCTTTATATCGTACACTACACAGCGTCTCCATAGGCCCCGCTATCAATCAACTGGTTCTCATAAATTTTATACACGGCCATTATGTATTAGTTATGATTCGATCTACCTACGATATAATCCGTATGCTATAGTCAGTAGAACTTATAAAGGAATGATGTAGTCAAAGATCATTTATGATAACATAAATAGTAAATAATTGTCATTTCAATTGATAGAATAATAATAATACGAATAGTAAGTAGGATCGAATGACTAGTAGGTAAACCTTTGAAAATCAATTAGGCTTGATGCATCTCTTGATTAGATCTAAATACATCATTCTCTCATTGAAGTATCCTACCGTTAATGTATAAACTACCTGTTTAGTCGATTTCTTGATGCCATCATAAATTTTCCACGAGAGTAAAGGCCCAGCACTAGCTACATGCTTGATAATTTCATATTCACGACAGACGGGATTTCCCATTAAATTTTCAGCCACAACATTTCTAGCAGTATTGACAGCACTTTGTGCAGTATTAACTACTGTTTTCAATCGATCCACAAATTTACTCATTTTGTCACTGGTTGTTGCCATGTTGTCTGCTGTTTTAGATCATCCCTCTGACTCGATATCTAGAACTTAATAAGTGCCTGAGTTGATTGCTGTTGAGATTTTTTCCTTCAATGAACATATAATATTATAATATGTATACCTATATATATATATATATGTATATATATATGTATACTATATATGTATATGTATATTATAGGTATCTGACTTTTTATCTAAATCTGAATGCATTGCGCAATGACGTAACGGAATAAATGGTACAGTGTGCAGTACTGTATGGTGTGCACTGTACACTGTAGTGGACAATAATCTACAGTACAGTACGTCAGTATGAATGCAGTACTGTACAGTACGGTACAGTGGCGCAAGCAGTCGTACAGTACTGTAAGATCCAGTCGATTCAACTGTAACCAATATCATGATGTCTCAGTACGACGCTCGTACACTATACAGTGTTATATATGAATCAGATCAACAGCAATAGCTGGAGAAGGTTTCTCCCGCTATGCAACAACGAATACAGGCTTTGATTTGCAAGTACAGATATAGAATAAAATATAGCATACAAGAGAGGAACTATTTCATACCTAGATGGAATAAAAACACAGATTATGAAGCCTTGAATATTAGGCGTAAAGTATACTGTTATGCTACTGCAGTGAGTTGAATTAATCGGTTATAATGACTCCGTTGTGGCATGGCAAAGTAAGATAGTCAATTGTACGATACTATCAAGCGACTGCAGTAGTTGAATAAGCTCAATTCCTAATGTCTTAACCAGAATTGAATACAGTATCGAGATCATCTGGATAAACTGTACTATACGCGACAACTAAATCGACTATGATGATGTGGGACATGTATGATAGTAACGACGATCCAAGATTCTGCGAATTAAAATGATGTAATGATTGAATAATAATTATTATACATAATTAGTTAATGTATGTGACATACATATAAATAATAGTAAAATACTGTAATATGGCTTTCATTACTTACATCCGATAAAATAGAATAGAAGATTAGTTAGAATCAATTCAATACCAAATATTTGATAGGCTAAGTGAAAGTACAGTATTCTCTATTCAGAATCTCCAATCTACACCTAAGTAAAGCATAACAAAAATCTATGCAGCTTATATGCAATTATTCTCATTCCCATACAGGATCATACAAGCATTTTCGAATCTAAATTTACAATATAAACGAATTGTAGTCAACTTTCACTTCTTATTAGATTTCTTAACGTCAATTTATATAAAGTTTTTAATTGGCTTGGTTGCTTTATGAAATAAAATTCATTCATTATCCTTTGCGTCACGGTCCTAAGTATAAACATTTCATGTTACAGGGTGACAAAAAATTATCTATCAACGACTTGTCGATACACATAGGTGAAAATAATATATGAATTACAATAATATTGATTTCGTTCTAGACTTCGATTGCCATTCCTTTCCACGGAATACGAACAACATACAAAATGCTAAATAAGCCCAAGAGGGATTGTAGCTTGATTTCACATATTAAATTCTTACAATTATAAGGGAGTACGTACGTATATCAATCCTAAATCCTATACGATTCTACATAAAATTTTTTTAATTTCATTGATTTCATCAGACAACAGTATATTATTAAAGTTTTAATATCATATGGGATTCTAAATTTAACCATCTTGTTATCTGTCGGAGATTTGAATTTTCCAAGAAAAATTTTGATCCATTGGAATAAGTACATCACTATCGCAGGGCATTCTTTCGCTGCTTTTTCATCTTTGCCAATAGTTCTTCTTCTCTTTGCTTTCGTTCCTCAATTCTATCTTCTATGCGTCCAATCTTAGAGCTATTTGCATATAAAATTATTCCCACAATTTTAGATTAATATCCAATGATTAAATTGAAATATCATGCATGATAATCAGTTCTTGCTTAATGTATTATAATTTCAATCCAAGCTTTATAAAATGCTACTACATATACCTTCTGGCTTCTTCCTTTTGTATTTGCGAAAAATTAGATTCAGCTATGCGAATCGTTCTTTCTCGAATTACATATCTACATTGTGGAAGGTTGAAAAATGATAGGCAATTTGTTAACGTTGCCTCATGCTTAGATTTCGAATGATAAGCACTAAAAAAAACGTCAAAATTGTACTATACTTTTCAGAGTTTGGATTATATCCTGTAATCTGACTAATTAAGCTGGATATATTATTCTCGGGAAGTTCCGAAGGTTCCGAATCATCAATGAAGCCATCAAGATCATTATATTCTTCATAGTGAGGCCTCTTACGCGATATAGTTCGTGCTTTAGAACCTACACATTAAGATTATGATAATAATTATTCAATTACGTGAATACATACGAAATGATAAAATTAAGAGTATACCACATTAAAGCATCATGCAGATGCTCATTGCGTACAAACACTACACAGATATGTTAAATTAGTAATTTTGCATATTGGTATATCATTGTTAAATTTATTTCAATTACTAACCCCAATCTCTTTCAGAGACTCCCGCAATACGTCGGCTAGGTATGACGGCAGATGCGGGCTGCCGCTTCTTTTCCTTACTGAAGGGGTTTATCTTTTCGTTCTTACTATTTGAACAAATTCGATCTTTATGAGGTTTGTATTCATGCTTCTGGGGAAGGACCTCCCGCTTTTTCTCTTGTGGTTTGTTATCTTTCCTTAGCAATGTATTTTTTACTGTTTGACTAAGGCGAGATCGATCCTTAGGATCGCCTGCAATAGAGGATGCTTCCCGCAATCTTTTATTATGAGGTTTTGGAGCATTATTAGCAGAGTGGGTATAGACACTCTGACGAATATCCGACTCTTTCCTGGTACTGTCTGTAGATTTTTCAGCTTTAAGCTGTTGTTCCTTGGCATATTGTAAAAGACTCTGATAGTTATCCAGTTTTGGTACTTTCTTATTACGAGGCTGCTTATGATTACTATCAACAGACCGATTAATACTATTCTTGTAGTTTACTTTTGCTGTCTTATCATAACCGCCAGTTGATTTCATAATTTTTTTTTCACCCCCTGAAGGTTTACTGTAATGAATAGCTTTAGAGTTTCCCTTTGAAGGCTTGGCGATTGAGCTATCCTTAGTCGATGGGGTAAGGTTACTTTTCTTGTTACTTGTAGGTTTTCGGTCTTTTATGTTCCTCAGATCTTGCGGCAACGTTTTATCAGACTTGGCAGTTTGATTGTTGCTTCTATTTACTTTGGCAGGTTTAGCTGCTGCAGCTTCACCTCTTCCTACTATTCAATTCGAGAGAAATTTCGATGTCAACGACAGGGAGATGAGATGTATCGCCATTTAGTAACATACACTACTTTATTGATAAGTTTTCATGAAAATGCTGAATCCTGTTAGTATGAACTTACAGATATCAAAGAAATATGCGCATTTACAATTTATGCAAATAAAGTAGTATAATATTTTTATAGTATCCACGTCAAACAATCATAGCAAATGTTATTGGTACAGGCGTCAATATCTTGGTAAACTTTCAGGTTCTATATTAATTATATCTATTGAATATCATATGATTTCAAATGATGAAAAAAGTTTAACGGATAGTAGTTTTCTGATTTATAGCTTGCTTAGTTACCAACAGAATTTGAGATAGAAAAGAGAGGTACATTAGATTACATGTAAAAGCAGTAACTCCTAACCTACGATAGGATTTTTCGGTTTGATGCGATGATTTCTGATGGCATGTTCCGTTATCTGAGGTTCTGCTTGCTGATTCTTTTTCTTTTCTTCTTCCTGTAGCTGGCGTTTGTCTTCCTCCTTTTGAAACTGTAACATTGGACAATAATTCAATTGGGATAAACCGCCAACAACAGGTACAGTAGATAAATTTAAGATACTATCTGCACTATACTAAATTAACGGATACTGAAGTTGCAGCCACTGTATACTATAGTAGTAATACGCATTACTGATGCGCTTACTTGTTGTTCTTTTTTTACTTGATTTTTCGTAGCCAATGCCAATAACTTCTTAAAATCCATAATGACATTATTTATGCTTGGGAGAGCGATCTCGAGCCAATAATTAATCTGCTATTTTTATGATAGCTCGCTTATTCTATCTACAACCTATATGCGCGAGAAAAAGCAAATTAGTAGTGCACACTACACCTGGCCTATGAATGAAATTGCATCGCACAATTTGATACATCTACCTAACGTTAATACTTTATTTATATCATCTCCTTTCTTGATACTCATATACGGACTCAGTCGAAATGGGTAATAAAGATCGCAAGTGAACATTACGATTTGCTATCATTAGCTGATACTATGAAATCCCAAAATAACGACAAAACCCTACTTAGTATCAGTACATTAAATGCAATGTTGTCTCATCGAACGTGATCAGAGACAACGTAACAGATGAAGAGTTAGTACTGTACAGGGACCACATCGCAGGAATCATCATGGCACAGTCAGTACTCGTACTTAACAAGTTGACAAATTGACAATCCATTCATTGTCAAGACCAGTATCCTTGCATACAAATGTACGCATTCATACCGAATGGTACCACCATGTTTCCTCTGCATCGATCTAAAATGGTACTCCCCATTTGGCATAATTTGTAGCAAATGATCAATCATACAATTATAATCATTGCCCATGATTATAATACGAATCAAGTCTATCAGTTGTGCAATAAAAGTATCTTGACTAAGCCTACTTGATGATAAAATAGGTATTGCCATGCAGTTCAATCTGAATGTTACTTTGTCTTCAGTAAAAATACTGAACCCTTGCTTCAAATAGTTAACCCTTAAGGCGATATGCTTCTAGCCACTTAGAACAACTCTATAGAGCATAAATGAATCCAGTAGGTTGCTCAAGTTACCTGAACCGAACGATATCCTGCTGCATGTTTATTCCGATGTCGTTGTTCCTCATCGCCATCCTTTTTTTAGCACTGCCGTATTGAAATGACTTTGCTCTGGTTCAAGCTTTTACTTTTGTGGGTATATTACCCTAACAAGTGCTGTACCGTATTACTGTACTCGTCTCAGTCTCCGTCGTCTTAGTAACCAGACGGTTCAGTCCACGGTCCCCTATACTGTACAGTGTACAGTGTACAGTGTACAGTACAGTCGGTCAGTCGGCACCAAGTTGACGTTCATTCATTTCATTTTAATTAATGGTTTCCGTACTTCCATCGATGAGGAACTACGCACTCTCTTTCCGTTCCATTCCAGATTTTACAGTACTCTGTCCCAATTTTACAGCTTTATCGTACTGTACACTGTAAACTGTGCATGCTCCACATTCTCCAGCTCAAGGGTTCTGTGGACTAGAAAATATTCAACCTCGGAACTTGAGCAAGTATGGGGCGCAAAAATAAAGGTATTCACAATCATTCTTGGTTATTTTGATAGTGGAGATTGACACAGACTATCAGATTGATATTGGTGATTAAAGGCCTACAACATGTGCTGTAAAATAACTACAGTTGATTGTACAGTATTGCGTATATTACTTGAAGAAGTTTGGTATGATAGCTAACGATGACAAGCTCAACTTGCAAGTATCAGATTGATATTGGTGATTATAGGCCTACAATATGTGCTGTAAAATAACTACAGCTGATTGTACATTATTGCGTATATTACTTGAAGAAGTTTGGTATGATAGCTAACGATGACAAGCTCAACTTGCAAGTATCAGATTGATATTGGTGATTATAGGCCTACAACATGGGCTGTAAAATAACTACAGCTGATTGTACAGTATTGCGTATATTACTTGAAGAAGTTTGGTATGATAGCTAACGATGATAGGTTCAACTTACAAGTATCAGATTTATATTGGTGATTAAAGGCCTACAACATGTGCTGTAAAATAACTACAGCTGATTGTACAGTATTGCGTATATTACTTGAAGAAGTTTGGTATGATAGCTAACGATGGTAGCCTCAACTTACAAGCATAGTATATGCGTATGCTTGCCTAATTAATGTCTGGCTTAAGTTTTCGATAAGACCAAACCTTGAGTAGGCATAGTTTACTAGCGATAGTTGTGAGTGCAGTTATTTCTTCCTTGAATTGCGTCTATAAATTCATTTTCTTTTTAAGGCTCTACTAAAGATAGCGGAGACAAGCTTGCTACTTCTAAACAACCTGCTCAGCTTCACCAAAATGATACTGCAACCTTCTCTGATGACAAAAGCGGAATGGTATTGAGTCTATTGACACATAATTCGTGTATTAGAGAACTTGAAACTTAACAAATCTCTAGTTTGCCATGATTTTTGCATATTTTATACCCTTTCTTGCTTCTAACAAAACTACACTTCTTTTTATTCCACTTGTTTTGGGTCTGTTACCCGTATAATATTTGATCTACAGCTAAAACGAAAGCCAACAAAGGGTAAAAAACGGTTCAGCAATAATTATAATAATAATAATGATAGGTAAGTAGTATGTACCATTGTTATCTTAAATACCTAAAAGCTGTCAGTCTGCATTTATTCATAGTTGAAACACCAAATTGTACAAGTATAGTATAATGTGATAGAATGTGAACTAGTTACGTTACAATATTGCGAACTTGTATTCCCGTTGGGGTCACAGTAGAACTATTATAAACTTATAGTAAAAATAAGCTAACTTACCGTACTATACTCTCAGTAATCCTTATTCCGGACTTGTACGATTCGTATACCTAATCCTACTTCTATTCTGTCTTAGATGCAATTTTCATAATCTGAGCAAATTATTTACCAATCTGTAATTAATCGACAAAACTCAGCATGTTGCTATTCTGCAGTTCATAGTATATTTTAATATTAATAAATAGGCACAAATCGGTAGATCCTTTAGCGATTGCGAGAAGGCAATACGTACATGATCAAAATGAGAAAAGGAAGCACAAGGAGGTAATTAATCTGCTCAGCAGGTTATGTCATCATAACTTCGTTCATATTATCAGTTTTGGTATTGATTTGTACTGTAGTATAGGATGACAAATTAATAGGATTTGATGTCATCATGGCTTCGTTCGCATCAGTTTTTGCATTGATTTGTGTTTAATGTATGAAAACAAATGACACTTTATCATAGTATTAATGTATTTAACCCAATCTTATCATATAATTACCAATAGTATAGATAGCTTACTATTAAATTGCGTCAATATTGTTGAACAAGACGTACTATAAAGGTTAAGTATGTTAGTTTCACCTTTGTCAACGGATCGATTGGCGTGCGCATAGAACAGTTTTACATGATTTTACATTATACCTTGATATCGCATGTATTCACACACTTACAGCTTTCTACTGATCTGCAATAAAATTTACGTATGTGTATGAAGGCGTTGCCTTGTGAGTTTATAGTTATTGTAATGGGATTAATGCTGTAGCTACTATCCAAAAACCTAACGTTCAATGATTGATCTAATACAGGAACTAAATCGACAACGCCAACTGAAGGAAGCTGAGATTAAGAAAAAACAAAAAGAAAGACGTAGAACCAGTAGGTTATTAAGAATGAAGACAAAATCTGGTCAGCCAGTGATGGCTCATAAGATTAATTATTTATTAAATAAACTACAAAAAACTGCCACATAGATCAGATTTTCGAAATTTTGATTTCACTATAAAATAAGAATGTATCAATGGCGCTATTTGGAAAACTTTCCGATAAGCTGTAATAAAACGATATATATTTTAATTAATATCTGTCTTGATTTGTAAGCAGCGACAATTCTGTCTCTCATACGACCTATCACATGCTAATGCTATGAAATCTAGATAATAAATTGAAGTTATCAATTGATTGTAGAATCATCACGCAAAGAAGATCTTTATTCAAATCACTACCTCTTATTATGAAGGGATACTGAAGATAATCATTAAAATATCAATTCATCTTGTGCTGTACGATGAAATCACGACAACGCCCTATAATTCGATATCTTTTATACCTATGTGGCAATACCCAAACGAAAAATTGTAATAAATATTGCACATACTGTATACGAATATCCAGGAATTTCTGATTAGTAATAATTTTACGGATTCGCATAGTAACGCAAAATACTGCTCGGTGAAATACCTTCAGATTAGTTTATAAGCAAAACGAAGCGGTTGCGCTCACTTACGAAGTGATTATAATTATCAGTTGGCATGTATTCAATGCGATACATCAATGACACACATAATAAATGTAATTAAAAATCGTTAAAGAGTTCAAGAAATAAAAGCAATAACAGAAAGAAGTTATTTATCAAGATCATCTCGCTCATTTCATGACTATTCGGTCAAAGGCTTTCGATGATGCTTCAAGCATCTCCATGTAATTAAGTAAACCATTTCTTATAATGCGACTTTAAGAACAAGAAGGCATTATTGTTCTAGCAAATTAATCTAAATTATATTACAATCTAAACGGTGTCCAAGAACCGTAATTAATTTTATTTTAAAGTCGGTAAACTCGTACTTGTCCCTTGGAATGCTAGTCCCATCTTCGAAAGCGGTGTGTAACGATAGATTTTAATTATTTATTGGTAGCAGCTGGGTCGCCTTTCAGTTCTTCATTAGCCTAATTTTTTTTGTTAATAGCTGTAAGTGCTTGCAAATACTACAGCAGATACCATCCTAAAGAAAATACTAACCCCAGTATCTTCATCGCTAAGTAATAGAAATGCCTCCGGATGCTTCTTTCTGAGAGCTTGATAGCGAGCTTTCTTGTAGTACTATAAGATACATTGAAGACAAGTTGTTTCATTTCCGTCAGAGTAAATTTATACCAACACAATTAACTTACAATTCCGAGACTTTTCCAATCAAGCATATCACTTAAACGTTCAGTACGATTTCTTTGGATTATGCGTTGTCTCCTCGACATTTTACAGAAATCGAATAGTATCTATAAAAATATTTTAGTTTTACATAACATCAGTTTTTAAGAATGAATATCTAACATTGTTGATTGTTAAAGTTCTAAACTTACATCAGCCAGTTCCTGAATAGACTCATCGACGCCTTTATACCGACGATCCACAATATAAATCCCGTAAGAGGAAGGATCTCTTAAATGTTCTCCCATAAAGCTACCAAAACCTGACAAGTTCGTGGTTACTGAAGGAATGCCCATCACGGTACATTCAGCTAAATAAAATATACGTAAACGGAAGAATTAAGATACTAATAAGTACCGTAACAAAATATTAGCAAATTCTATTTCACATTTATACTACACATATTTGTAGTCATTTTCGTAGTAACATGCGTATACATTAAATTGTGAACTATTAGTGATTGAATAGAAAAAACACGATAAATGATCCTACACTATCAGCATAAATTAAACCTGGTGTATAACCCCACGGCTCATAGTAGGAAGGGAAAACACCAAGATGGCAGCCTCGTATAAATTCTTCGTAGTCAATGGAAAATAATGCATTTGTTGGTGACAGGAATTCAGGATGGAAAATAACCTGATAAAGATTTAGAAATAATGAAGTGGTTCTAAGCTTATTAGATAGCAAATAAATAAAAAATATTAATTACATACCTTTACTCTATCATTGTGATCGTTGAATAATCTAACTCTTCTAATATGGTTTAATACCAAGTCACCATCACTATCGACTACATTGTGCGTTACAACAGGTGGTAGTTGTGGCCTCTGTTTTATGAAATTGATAAAATAAACTTCTTTATTAACTTCGATTTTATAGCAATTTCTAGACTACATCATTAATGCTTCTTACTTGCGCAGCATAAATACATCGCTTTAATTGTAAAAAGTCGTCTTTATCAAGTAAATCTTTCCCATCTATAATTTCGCCCCTAAATTTTAAAGTCGTAGTTAGAATAGCTTCACCTTTTTTATCTTGAGTATAATCTAAAACGAAAACTTACATTAAAGCTTTCTCAAACAATTTTGCTCCCATCTTGCCTTGTATATGATTAACAATTTCTCTATAAGCAAATTTAAAGTTAAGAAATATCATAAATAGTTAATTGAAAAAGTAATAAAAATCATAGTCACTTGTTGCAGTGTAACTGTCAAACAATAGATGATCGTTACCTTAACTGCTTGGTAGAAGCCTGACTTTTAAGGGAATCAACGTTGAAATTATTTGTTTTAGTAGGCATGATGATGAATGCAACAACAGTGTAATCACTTCCAGATGACTATTAATATTAAAATAACATTCATTTTATTGATGAGACCAAATTAAAGCTATCAACAATATTTAAAAAAAAATAATGCAATATCAATGATTAAAAAAGATATCCTACCTGCAACATGTAATTTAATCGAGCAAGCGATTCAATGAACATGTCAGCACCTTTATTGAAATATTCGTATCTAGGATAAGAAATAAAAATATTTATTATAGATAGTGATTTACAATACGTAGAGAAAACTAGGCTAAAGTGAAAATCATACCTTCCAGCAATAAAGAAATACAGAGTCTTGTCTAATTTAAAATTGAAATGCCTAACCGAAACATCAGTTTAGATATATGTTTAAGAATGACCTCACAATTTGGAATATAAGGCATAAACTCAGAATATAGAAATCGTTAGCTACCCGTGAAAGTGACCACGAATAAATTCATGAATCTTATCTTTAGATTTTGCATGAAGGTTTTGGAATTCGTGTAGCGCACTAAAGAGTAAAAGCATAGCGAAAATTATCACGAAAGTGTACATTGCTTCAACACCTACACTCTACATAATATAAAATTATGAACCTGAATTGCACAACATTAAGTCCATTTGGAGTGACGACATCTAGCAAAATTTGATATATGTAAGCACGATCAATCTTTTGGTAATTATTATAAGTAACTCTACTAATTCAGTGATAGCTTAGAAACTAATAACAGTAATTATTCAACCTGGTTTCTTTTTCAGTAAATGTTCCGCTTCTACAGCCGTAATCTGTGATACGGTGGTGAAAATGTCAGCTAATGATACTCCAGCACGTTCTAAGCAGTAACGATGATAAATACCACGATCGCCAGCTTCCTGCATTTTACGTAATTGATTAATCATAATTATTAAATTAATCATTTATGCAATGCAAACAGTATTTATATTAAAAAGAATAAATATGTCTATATTTCAAGGATTACACCTCGACACCACAATAGGGAGTAATTTTAACGATAATATGAATTCATAATGAGAAATACATTACCTTATCAACGTCAAACTAGGAAGGTGTGTCAAGGGGTCCCCAAAATTTTAAGACGTAGGCCAGTATAATGGTTAGTATTCATTGTGGTGGTAATCAATAACAACGTAAAATAATTATCAGTATTACAGATTAGAAGTAATAGCGTATCCAGAGTTTGTTAAACGCTATCTTTGATTAACTTGATGCAGTTATTAAACAAGATTCATTCAGATGTAGGCAGTATTTTGTAGGACACTTACATGAGGTAGATTATTATAGAAATCAACCTGGCCGGCGCACAAGTAACGCCCAAGTAAAGTTGCATGAGTAGTAAACAATGTGGCTACATCCAGAGATTTCATTTTGGTCATTATCAAACCAACTGCCGACAACCATTCATGAAAATGTGCAATAACCAAAGCATCCTCAGCTACGCGCTGGCGAAACTAAAGAATCCATTCAAAGCAATGAGATTATATGCATATTTCCAATGTAAATCATTTACAAGTCACATCTGATCTGTCATCAGTTCATCTTAAAGTAATAGGCGTTATTTACTTGTCACAGCTTTCTGCGAGGAAACAACTACGAGTGTAATTTTTGAATGCACAATAACTTACCTCACTAAGAAACCAGGTTACTATAAAACCAAATAGTATTGCATTATCAGTTTCTGAGTCAACAACGTTGGTACTGATATGTGTTTTATCCCATAATTCCTTCTTCCAGGCTTCTAAGGCATGGCGATGAGAATTGATATCAAATAGGATTACCTGAGGATAACCATCTATAAGCCATCTGCCAACGATCACCTAAATTGCAACCAATAATTTATTTATTTGACTGCAAGAAAAATTCAGTCTTGTAATTCAAGAGATTTAAAATTGAAATTCTATGCATATACTGTTTATGCGAACGTACGAAGTACCTTAACACCTTTTTCACGCATAGAAGCAACCACATCAGCGATTACTTTATTTTCTGGCTGAATAACTTCTACCTCAGTTCGTACACTCTGTTCATTATAAGGGCCAAGCAAGTAGTAGTGATCGCCCAGTTCTTCCACTGTCACACCGGCTTTAGTCTTAATTACCGTATAAATGCCACCAACTGCAAGGCAGTAGAAGATATTCTAGTTAGTTATAGTACCCATCAGCAGATTTTAATCATATCATTTATTGTTTAGCTGCAAACAAATACAGCATGCTACCGATTAAAGTAGCTGTAAATAACTTTGTAGGTTTTATTGCAGTTTTGTAATAACATCTTATTCTGTATTCAAAATCATTTTTATCATGAAAATGATACTATTTCTCTTTCACTGTAGGCATAACCTTTGGATAAGCTTGCATTATAATCATCATTATAATCAATCAACCGATCATTATTGCCATTTTTAATCCTGACTAAGTAAGGAACGTTTTATTTCAGAATAGAACATTTCAAGTATTGTAGAAGTTATCGTTTGCGGTCAATGATTGCGAATAGCCGTGGTTATAACAAGCTGATCGATTTATTCTAGTACAAGTCTGTAGCACGCTATCCTGGCTACTAAGATACGAATAATATGACCAATAAGGCTTATCAAGAGACATGCACGTACAGAGCATGAATGCCATCGTGGTTTATTGGCAAGTCGAAATTTATCTGGACTAAAATAGTGCAAGGTAAACTCTTTTAGGTTACGAATGAACGCCAAGACGACTATCCTATTGCACTATTTGTTAAGTTCATGTACAGAAGCATTGGATAAGCTTTTGATCAAGTCTTGCTATCATGATTGTTGGGTAGCAAGTGACTGAAGTGAATTGAGTGGAGGTGCAGGTTCCGACTTAGCATCGGTCTGATAACGGCGATGCCATTCTGTTGAATTGTGATCTTGTATCATCTGTCTTATTGTAAGGCGATTTTACTACAGCAATAAAATGTTGTAGTGCAAATATCGTATACGGATGCAATTCATTGACTGGGTGCTAATCTCCTTTTACGTGTATCAAACTACATTACCTTTATTAACAACTTCCCAAGCGGTTTCAAAAACATACGGACGTAGACCAGAAACGTCGCCTCCAGTTAACTGTAGTTTCATTCCTCCAATATTGGCAGAATTAGCACGGATTAGCTCGCTTTGCTTATTCTCCATCTTGAATGAATTATTACTGTATTAATGATGAAAAATCGTCGATGATCTGCAATTCCTCCTGCTGCTTCGCCCTCTCAGCCGGAATGACGATGAACTTGTGTCTACGTGACGTAGCTGACACTTGGGGTGAGATTGACTGCATGGTCAACGACTCACGGGCTCGCCTTCAATTGTCGCTATTGTCATACACAGTATGATACATTGGAGTTGAAGTATAGTACTGTAGACAGTATTTCTGATTGTCCTAGTGTACACAGTGCAACAGCAGAGGGTTTATTTTTTTTTTTTTTACCTTTAAACTTTCAACTACAGTAATACTGTACAGTACAGTACATCAACATGGTTTTAATCCATTCAATACAAGTTACTAAAGTACAGTAGTTAGGACATAACAGAAAAACTTTTACCAAGATGATTGACTGCTAAAGAATGGTCTGAACCCACGCGTCTCCAGTACAGTACAGTACAGTACAGTACAGTACTTACTCTTCACAGTACATAGTACGGTCGAGCCATTGTACCTTACAGTACTGTACAGCCAATCACGCACTCTTGCACGTTCAGTTCACGCCGTACTAGTGGGACCTTCGGTAGAGAGCAATTGACGGGTTCAACCGTAGGAGTACAGTACAGTAGAAAGGTTTGATAGTGTTCCCTATGGATCAGCAGCGTTGGCGATGCAAAACTGTTTGTGCCCTCGACACTCCTTTTCAGCTATCAAAAGAGCTTCCAATTTATTATTAATTTAATTAATATTCGCTCTTAACCCATCAATAAATGTCATAAACAAGCTTTGACAAATGGGATTCGGATAAGTTTTTGTCAAGTCTTCCCCTTGACAGTAATTCCTCAGGTAGAGAGGGATTGACGGCTTCAACTGTACGAGTACAGTAGAACAGTGCTCCCCATGGATCCGCGTTCGCGGTGCAAATCAGATTGTGCCCTCGACACACCTTTTCAGCTATCAAAAGAGCTTCCAATTTTCCGCTGCTCGTATTCGCTCTCAACCGATCAATAAAAATCATAAACAAGCTTTGACAAATGGGATTCGGATAAGTTTTTGCCAAGTCTTCCCCTTGACAGTAATTCCTCAGGTAGAGAGGGATTGACGGCTTCAACTGTACGAGTACAGTAGAACAGTGCTCCCATGGATCCTCGTTCGCGGTGCAAATCAGATTGTGCCCTCGACACACCTTTTCAGCTATCAAAAGAGCTTCCAATTTTCCGCTGCTCGTATTCGCTCTCAACCGATCAATAAAAATCATAAACAAACCTTGACAAATGGGATTCGGACAAGTTTTTGTCAAGTCTTCCCCTTGGTAGTAACTCCTTAGGTAGAGAGGGATTGACAGGTTCAACTGTACGAGTACAAGGTTGGATAGTGTTCCCTAGTGCTCCCCATGCATCCTCGTTCGCGGTGCAAATCAGATTGTGCCCTCGACATACCTTTTCAGCTATCAAAAAGGTCTTCCAATTTTCCGCTGCTCGTATTGGCTCTCAAACGATCAATAAAAATTAGAAACGAGCCTTGACAAATGGGATTCGGACAAGTTTTTGTCAAGTCTTCCCCTTGACAGTAACTCCTTAGGTAGAGAGGGATGGACGGCTTCAACCGTACGAGAATACAGTACTGTAGTATAAGGTTGGATAGTGTTCCCTAGTATTCCACATAGATCCGCGTTCGCGGTGCAAAACAGATTGTGCCCTCGACACACCTTTTCAGCTATCAAAAGAGCTGCCAATTTTCCGCTGTACTTATTTGCTCTCAAACGATCAATAAAAATTATAAACAAACCTTGACAAATGGAATCTATTGGATTCGGACAAGTTTATGTCAAGTCTTCCCCTTAACAGTAACTCATTCCTAATTACGGTGGAATGTGAAGCCACAATACAGTAGATGCAAATTTGGGTTTGCTCGCGCTCTGAAATCTGCTTGAGATCGATCTCATTAAGCTGGTTGGTTTTCCGCAGTTTGCGCATTTAAAAATTATCAATAAAAATGGCAAACTTGCCGTGATCACCGCATATAAATTCCTCCTACTCTAACAGTAAATAATACTAGCAATGCATACTGCTTAAAACTACACTTGCAACAGTACCGCAAATATCATTGTAAAAGCAGAATGTACTGGCACTATCAGATATCAAATGGCTTTTTATCAATAAGTTTTGCAGTTGTCGACTGATAATAATGCTTCTCGCAATGGTAGCATTTTGCAGTATCCTAATCCAACAGGTTTTCAGCAAGATGGTTTTAGTCCTATTAATAGTATCTGCAGTGCTGTAAGTCATGTTAACCACTGCGAGAGCATCTGGCTTACTTATACAGAACTCATCAATGTTATCAAGTCTAAAGCACCGCCGAGTGGGCTTTGCGTGAATTTGCTCAGTAATTTCGAGAATTGACGAGCTAGTGCAGTACATGCAGTCCTGCCACAAAGACCATAAATTGACAACCATTTAAAAATAATAAATACCCTAAACAATTTTCTGTTAGTGGTCCATGATTTTATACTTGAAAATAAAAAAATTGGCTATACCTGTATTTAGATTATACGATATAGAAACTCCATAAATATGCTGATGCCATTCATTAATAATGTCAATAACTTATATAACCATGTATTGTTTTAGAAACTTTTTCAGCAAATGAGCTCAATACTCTATGAAGATAGAAGACCAAATTGAACCTCACCAAAATACTTTAATACACTCATACATTATCCATTAACTAGGTATCAACCCTAAGCAATAGACAGGAGAGATTAATATTAACAGTAAATAAAATGTAGCGTGGATAGTGTTGACTGTATTTTACGGTAGTTACGGCACTGTTACTGAATCGATTTGACGCCAATTAATCTTATAGTAATCACGAGCAGCGTTGATATGTTGATATCTTATCATTGTGTTGCCTCTTGAATTTAACCATTATGAAATGTAATTTTAAAAATGGCATGCATTAATTTGAATTCCGAGTCCGTATAAACGAACTAACTGCTAATGTTCTATATACGAGATAGACAATCTGCAATGGTTAATGGCTCCGAGACGAATCCTTGAACTATTCACCAACGATCTGCTTATTGATGAAAAGAGACTAACTTAGATATTTTGCTTACAAGATTTATGTACCAGTTTAATTGTCTGTAACTACTACTTAGAGATATAGTTAAATATATATTAGTAACAAGGCGGTAAAGATATACATTCAAGATTATATTATTAGAGAAATTAAATCTTGTAATGATACTACCATTCATGGACTAGTTCTAAATTGCGACAGATATTATAGGATCCTCTTTTGATACACGCTATAGCGTCCATGATGATACTTCTATTATTGTGCTGATAATTTTATTTGCCAGATGTTATCATAATCACCACGAATTAATGCATGCTTACCCAGTTTCAAGTGTAGTGCTTACGTAATTAGCGATCACAACAGCAATGTCAATAAAATCATCATTATACAACATAATACATATCTAGAATACGAATGATATATTATACCTTATAGGCCTGAATTTTAATTTAAATTTCTCATTATCATGATAATGTAAAACACCTTAGCAACTGCCAGCAAGCAGCTATTGGATATCCAATCAAGTTGATCAGTTCAAAATAACAATACAGTTCTATCTCTGTTATTCTTGAACGCAAACTGGATCAATACACATTACAATATAATCCACACTATCCTTTCTCTTTATTGAAATAGTTATCCTATGATTTCTCTGTGTAACGCTAACAACTGTTTTGACAGCGAATTGTCTACTGTTCCGGTTATGCTTGCTAACAAACTTCTTCACTTTGTGACTGAGCAACAGATTTTTCAGATTGGAAACAACCGCTGGTAGCGATTTTGCAGGGCTTTGGTATAGACCGTCTGTCAATCTTTAGCGAATTTTCAAACTCTTAAATTAAAAATAATATCGCCATTGAAAGGAAGTAAGTCAATTCATTGTTTAAGACCTGCAGCATCAGTTACAATCTATGCTATTTCGTCAAAATTGAGTAATTCAAGATTTGAACTTTCCTATCATTTTTAGTAGTGGTATTTTAAAAATTGTTTATCATAGTTATTAGCTGTATGGAACTGGAGTACATTTGAGGATATAGTAAATATGTTAGGTGCACACAATTCAACAAACACTATCAACTGTACTTACAATGATGGTAAATAGTTTTACTACTAATGGCTGACTTACAAGTGCAGTACAATAATCCACGCATATGTTCACATAGAGTCCATGTTACGGACGAAACGGAAACTAACGATCATTTTTAAACCAAACTGACGATATATCGAAATTGCTTAATTATTTACAATTATCACAGGCTACTATTAACGCTAGTTGCATATGGGTCTATCAATACTTGGCATGGATCTTATCTTACACTCTAATCATTTCCTTGCATACTATTACAAGCATGAAATGAGTCCAATAGGCATACTTTTCCTTGAAAACTTATTTGCGTGCAATCATTAGTGATAACTATCTCTAATTAAATAGGTATCTATTAAAGAAGTGACAGATATGATTTTTATCCGTGTAATAATGATACCTTCTCTGAAAATATTTCATCAAATGGTACATTAACTTTGCTTTACTGGTATCTAAATCTTTGTTTAGTGAATCTTTAACATGAAAACCATCTTCATAGTTTTTATGTTTCCTTTATTTTATAAGCAATCTACAATAATTTTCTCTATTATCAACTGAGTGTTGTGAGACAATTTTCAAAAGTGAAAGACAAATTTCAAGATTAAATGGTTAGAATATGCTAAAATACTGATATCGATAATATAGAACACACTAGTGATCAGATCTAAGTCCGTGTTTTATCATCAGTCCAAATCAAAGCACATAACCATTGATGTAATCGCCGAAATTGAAGCAGCACTGCACAACATAACTACTGCATCATCGCAATAACACTTAATGTACGTCTAAAATCCTCAGCAAAGATGGCAGAAATTTGTAAAAATAGCGCGCATTTCTTATCATAAATATAAATAGAATAATATAAGTGTATTAGAACTGTATTCTCTCATCATGAAATGGAATACAAGCTAAGCTGTTTCCTGCCTAATTCTTGTAAAGTTAACTTTCTAGAATCTTTCTTTGGCCCTAAACTACATCACTATTAGATCAGCAAGTCAAAAATTAGTATAGCAACTAATAAATTAATATCTTGCTGATTACATTAATAACATAGCGCATTCCAAGATTGCTCATATCGTAAATTGGCTCAAGCTTTTCTACATCCATTTTATAACGACGTCATAAAGTCTTGCTTACTATGATATGAAATGATCTAATTTAATCCTAATCTGCGTACTAACTGCAGAGTTTACTTTGAATACTACTTCTCAGAAGTCTGATATGTAATACTAAATAGTGCTAAGGTAATATATTAATGACATTAGCATTAATTAGAAAATCTCTATTATGCTTGATCTTGTGTGCTTACTGCCTACAAGTTTCAATTTGAGCTATGGTAGGAAAAGCATTATGTCTTCAGCTTCCAGCACAGTGAAGTGGACATGTTATATTTATCATTGTAACACATATAACCACTCAACAAAACTTGCAAAATTATCTTGTAAAGCTGAAAATAAATATCTAGTAGTATATCGACGCCTGCCTATTCTCAACATCCTCTAAACCTTTCCGAAATTTTAAAAATAAAGAGGAAGCAAATAACAATATCCTGTCCTTAGCTTAGAGTAATATGCGTGGATGCTTTTACAGGTAATTTTGGTAGCCGACTCGAGGGTGGTGTAGGTTTTGCGTAGATTTAGGCCGTAATATCCAAAATTTCCATAATATTATCAGTAGTATGACGAGAATCCTGACTGTTGCTTCATATCAATGCAGTTCAAATGCTTATCGATTACGTATACTTTGATTAAGCCAGTTCTTTAACTTCTATCATCCCTCAAGGGTATAATATTAGTCTATTATGCTACTTACGACGCCCGGAGTAACTCCAATTATGCCGCTATAAAATTGTGAATACATTGGTCATTGGTCGAGCTAATATTGCACAAATTGAATTCAATCCTGAAATAACCCTTATTTTACTGTATTAAGTCTCGATTCCTAGAGCTATCAATATTCACTACCAGTAGTATGATTTAAAAATCCACACAGCTGCTAAGAATCTTTCGATATTACCCTTAGCACTCGTATCTGGGAGTCAATATGCACTGTGAGATCCCAATTTCACTGCTATTACCATTGCGTTAAATTTTATGTAATTTTAAGCCTTTCTATCTGTTGTTACCTTATTTTCATGGAGTAAAAAGAATTCCGTATCTGATAATGTTTCTTTCCTGCTCTTTAATATTTAAATTATCATTATAAACTTAAAGATTCAAATAGATAACATAATTCGATCGTTGTCTTCATTTTTTATTGTAAACAAACAAGCTATTACTACCCAAGCTTAAGCTGTCAAAAAATTGTTTTGCTGTTTCATACATAACTGAATTGTGAAGAATAATATTGCAAAGGGATTGAACAATAAATAGGCGAAACCATCGGCTAATGAACAAATTCTATACAATCAACTCGTATAGATCTTTCACATAAGCAGCTTTTAAAAGTAGTGGTTATGAATTAATTACTATGCAACTTTTATTTGTAAAAATCGATCAAGATACCAATAATTGTTATTATCACAATAATTATTATGTGCGAAACACTATATCGCTACTCACAGTTAGCTTTATACAGTACATATTTGATGATGTTAACAATAGCATTATTTTCCCTTTAGTGACAGAGCTAGATGAAATGAAGTCTAACGAAACAAGCCAAGGCCTATCTGAAGAAACTTTACAAAGAATTAATAAACTGATTAAAGAACGAGTCGAAACATATTTCGAAGAATTAGATCAAAAGCTGAAAAATGGAGAAAAAATAAACGCCGATTTGAAAGATATTGAACCAAGGGATGAGATTAAAGAATATTTTAGGACCATGACAGAAGGTCTAAAACAGAAAATAGCGCAACCAGAAATGGAATACGAAGGTGAATTGGTTGACCAACATGTAACCGATGGAGAGGAATATGACGAAACTTATGATGAAAACATGGTGGAAGGTAATGAAGACGAAGAAGAATTTTATTAAATAAATACACAAATTTGTTCAGAATTTTTTCACGAACGCTACCAAACATGGGATAGCTTCTTTGAAAGTCAATCTCAAGAAGTGTATCATAACATAATTAATAATTAATTAACATCAAGGTGATGGCTTTTCAAATGACTAACCAACAATAATACCATTCTTTGCTAAAATATTCCTTCTACTAGTTGTAGTACTCTGAATATAGTACAATTAATACCAGATTTTGCCATGACGTCTCTCTCGGAGACATCTTTAAATGCCAATAGTCTTGTTAACGGATTTTTTTTGGCAGTATACGAGTATATTAACCAGTCAATAAAACATTCACGGAGAAAATTAATTTCTATGTAATCTAGCATTGTACGTACATTCTCTATTACTCGTCTGATATTACATGACTTGTAACTATCGATCTTTCCGCGGGTATATGATCCTGTAAAGTATACATAGTGATAAAAATTGTATCTAAACAAGAAAAATTTTGATGGCCTAGTAAGTGGCTTATCCTCTCATATATCATAGAAATTTCTCTACAAGATTAAAAATTAATGACGTGATTCTGTCTCGGTACGTAAAATATCGAATAGTATTCATATGTCAATCTGTAATTGTTACTTTAACGCTATTTTGATTTACCTTAATTCAGCATCATCATTTCTTAGGCTATGCTTCTTTATCAAGATTCGATACTATTCTGTACTTGTTAACATAATTCCGTACTATGATATTACAGTATTTCGAAAATAGGTAAAATAAAGTATTTTTACTACATACACTCTCCAGATAATTTGCTTGTGTACTTGCTTCAAGAGATATACAGTATTATGCTGCTTAAGCTTAGCAGTACATTTAAATATTCCACATTTAAAACACTACAAGCTTTGCAGCAATGATTAAAGATGACAATAAGTACGACCACAACATCTGATTGCTTCATCTGAACAAAATTTCTTCTTCATAAATCTTGTATTGTTAATAATAGATTTTCTGGCTAACTTATTTAATATTTACAAGACTTGCTTAAATAATTATAATCTAAGACGCAAAAAAGAAATATGCATTGTTACTAAAAGACTTTCTAATTAATTTATTAAATATTTATATGTTTAAGTAATTATAATTCAAGATGCACCCAAGTAACACTTATTAATGCCTTCTCCGCTCCGTACCTCTGCTTGTTAATCTCCCTATTACGAAAATAGATATTCAATAATGATAAAAAAATCCATGATGCTTCAATCCTCTATCTAAAAAGCAATTATTTTAATATTTCATGGATAAAACATTCCGAACTATAATGGTAACTGAAGATTCTCACTTGCTTTATATCATTAGCAAACTAAATCATGGTTTAGTTCTTCAGATTTGAGCACCATATTCTATTTCAGGACAACATACCGTATCGATGTGCTGCTTAAATTATTAAGAGATCGAAATATTTTTAAATCCTAATACATGATATACACGTTACTTATAAATAACTAAAAATATATAAATATACTAAAATGCTGCTCGAGATTATAGCACAAACCCAATTTTCAATAATGTGACCTATTTTCCTTTATGCAGTGTAAATCTTTTTTCCATATACGTATATACATAATGCGTAAAACGTAAACTAGCTGTAAATACAACCATTTGCAACATTTACTATACAGTTTGCGAAGAAATAATTATTATAGGTAATTAACTTCCATTAAATCTAATATAGCCAAAATTATGCCATTCTTTTTTTGTTCTATCGCCAATCATCAACTTGGTAGCGAAGTAATGGCGTATCAATCACGTTTTGCTTTTGACAATCAAACATTAGTAATAAACAATTATATTTATTATGTTATTAACAAATATCGTCTTAATTAAAAGTCTACTGGTACGTTGGCTGTTTATGACTTGATACATCCTGTTACTTCATTTCCGTGAAAGATTTAATTTACACCAGCTGCATGAAAAATGAAAGGAGTGGTTAGTCTACCAAGTGACAAATTTAAAGCAATTTATTCTATGAAATATACATGCAATTTAAAATTACATCTATAAAAGTTAAATGAAAAAGGGCTTATATTAAAAACTATTATGCAATTATGAAATGCTTAAAAAGAAATATATAGTTGCAAGATTAGACGAGACTTGTTCAGTATAGACCAAATCAATAGTAATAAATTTAGGAAGTTCTAAACACAGTGTGGGCTTCTATACATCAAAGATTAAATTGGTTAACAGACAATTCAGAATAAGCTTATAGATCATAAAATAGATGGGATAAAACAATAAAATAAAAATGATTGTAGCCGATAATGCGGTATCAACTTGTATAGATAAAGGAATACTGAAATATTCATCCAAATAACAATTATGTCTAAAGGAAGGAAGGAGAAAATGATATCGAAATTTTTAGAGTTCAAAGGGCAATAAATTCCTTAAAGTAGAACCCTGACATCCTTTTTCACAAAATTTTGATAGTGATACATTGACATAGGATAATACTGTATGGTTAATTACGGGAAAATGTTTAGATATTACTGTCACAAGGTAAGTTAATCTGAATTGAGAAATTAAAACCTTTTCTTTTACTTATTACGAACAAACATAGAATTCTATACTGATGTGAGAACATTATAGTAAGAACTAAGGAGTATAGACAAGAGTGATACTGCTCTATAAAAGATTAATCCGATTTTTAAAATAGTTAAAAATCGAGTAGCTAAAATAATGTTTAAAATCTTAACTGATATATTATCAGTAGAGTTGTTAGGATTATCTATTTCGGTTATACCACTAGCCAAATAGTACTAAGAAATTATCGTCAATCAAATAAAATCTCATTAGAAATTAGGTTACTTCTTTATATTATAAATTGGCTGATTAATTAGCAAGTTGACACGAGAATTAGCTTAACAAATTAAATGACTTCTATTCAATTATGAAATTGCGTTTTTATTTTTATTTTTCATTTAACAGAATTACACATAAGGAGTAGGTTTTTGTTAGTACGCAATCACATAGAATCAGTAATCAAGCATGATGATAATCGTGTAGAAATTATCATGTTACACAATTACAGTTTTTTATGATATTAACCAATTATAAGGTATCTATTTCGTATGTTCTATGAAGCTGTATATGAAGAAATAAGTGCAATATGGTGAGATGAAGACTGGATTTTAGCTGTAAACTGCTATCAATATAAATTACTAGTTAAAAGTATAGTGATATTCATTATAATTGTCTAAAACATCGTCATTATAAATATGATATCCTAAAGCTCTAGCTCCATTAGAGCAAAAGGTTCAAAATTCAATCGTAGCCTTGTGACTTAAATACTATTAATTAAGTAAAGCTGAAAACAATATGAGATTCAGCAAAGCACTTCATTATTATTTTCAAGACTTAATTTGCTAGCCTTGTATGCAACCAAACAAGAAAGGAATTTCACCCTTATTCTCATCGCAAATGATTGGAGCTGCTTGAGTGGTAGTAAGTTCTTGCAAAACGTCTTCATCATCCAATAGTTTGCTATCAAGTCCTAGATTTTCTAATTCTTCTTTCAATTCTGTGATTGAGGGCAAAATTTAGAATATTCAAAGTATTGTCATCATACAATAAAACAGCTGAAAATGGATTGAATTTTTCTATATAAATGGAAAGTCTTCAGGGCTCTTTAATCGTTACATTACTAAAGAAAGAGTTGATTCTTACTTTCCACGTAGTCATGTTCTAACATTCTCTTCGTGTTAAAATCTCGAGAGCTCGGATCGTTCCAAGCTTCAGACGTTTTCTGTTTAGAGTTTATCAAGTAATCAACATTATTCAACTGTTTAGAATGTCTGGAAAGCGGATACCCATTGATGGATATCGATGATATCGTCAGGATCAAAGCGAAAGCAACAACTGCAATTTTCATCATTTCTGCTTAGAATTCGATAAATGTGTGAAGCCTATAAATTAAAAGTAAACTTTTTTTATTTCTGAATATGAAATAATATACAAAAATAATTTTAAGCATGCTGTGAAATATTTATAGGATTATGAAAGGATGAACTAAGAAGTATCATTTTTGCTGCATTTCATAATAGCTAATATAAGCTGCATCACAGACTTGAATAATCACAATTTTAATGCATCTACTTAGGTAATTTTCAAGTGGTACCGTACTATAGCTGACTATACAAACTGGTATACTAGTTGCGTATACTTGCATGCTCTTTCCTTTAGATGTATTCAAGACTGATCATAGCATATGAATCTAGTTCTATGAAAAATTCGTGAATTACAATTTACACCATCTTTTTAGTTCAAAGCTTGGGAAGGAAAGATTAAAAATTAAACAGTAGAGCTTAATTGATAAATTCTCTCATTACAATTCATAATTTTGTTATACAGATTTTAGATATATACTAAATTAATGAAGTCGATAATTAGATTACATAGAAGAATGAATATCGTAAAATACAGGATGATATTTCAACTAGAATCGTTATAATAAGTTCTGGTAATAATTAAAAATTCACTACTTACACTAAGAATGCTGTACTGCTTTTCAGAAAAGCCTAAAATGCAAAGTTTATAAGTAGTTATTGCTTGATGGTTTCTGCTCAAAGCCAGAGAGGTTGAAGGCAAGTGAGAAGAATAAGTTATAACCTACGATTAATATATTAGAAATTCTTTCAATTATCTATTTTTTCGACAATATCAAATCGTATTTATGCTAACGGGAATACAAAGTGGGTTGTCGCTGAGATTTCGAAAGACCACCGGAATGAAGGCGGTAAAGATACTTTACCAAAGATTGATACTGATTGTTTAGCAATTCAATATTTACTTCAGTTGCTAATATCAATCAAAAGTATGATAAAGTATAATTAGATCATATCTCAAATTAGACGAAAGGAACAATCAACAAGCATAGATAATAAAACATCGACTAAAGAGACATCCTGATCTTTACAAGATAAAAAGACATTTAACTTTTGCTTGGATCAACCTACATATTGTCATTTTCTAAGCATTGTTACGCAAATATCAATTTTAAACAATTAGAATTTTATAAATGGCGTAATTCCGAGACACCGTAAAATGATTGTAGAGGTTAGCAACAAGAACGAAATTCAAATTCAAGAAGAGGGCTGTAACTGTCTCTATACAATCAGAAAATCGAAACAAAAAGAATAGATAAATTTGCCTTGATGACATGTATTTATTTCAACACACAGACATACAGTAATTGAATTATGCCTAAGGCAAATTTTTTTCTAGTAATAGTTGTAACACCTTTCATTTTCAATTGATTATCTATCATGCCATCTTCTTAGTAGCTGCCACGATAGCTATGATACTATAGCGTCTGGTGAGACTAAAGCTTACTCTCCTATCGATGGTGCGATAATTGAGGAGGGATATTTTGGAATTAATAATACGGTTTAACCTTAGCATACTTAGTACTGAACCACATGCTGCATAATGGATATGTTAACAATGTAAAACTTTAAATTATGCAAATCATCAATGCCGATTACATCATTCGGTCGTAACTAATTCGGTAAATTCTGAATAGGAAGTATAGTTGCAATAAATTTTCAGTTCTTGAAAAATGCAGTGATAACTAATCGTGATGATATCAAATAAACTGGAAATCATTGCAGTTGCACATAGGGATACGTTTAGGTAAAAAATTGATTCAACTAATGACTTTATATCCGAAACTAATTCAACTGTGATTATGAAATCAATTAATCAACGTAACTTTAGTTGTATTATCGTTGTTAAATTAGAAATACAGTCATATGCCGCGCACTTGATGTCTGCTTTAATAAACAATGGCGCAGTTTTATATCTCATTTCAGTACTTGAAATAATAGCTTGACTTTTTCAACTTTGACATATGCAGTGATCTAGTGACTATTTTTATATTTTCTAGCAAAATCAAATTGTTAGAAATTGGGCACATTCTTTCGTTTAGTAAAATGCTTTATTTTACTTTCTGCTATAGGGCAAATTAAATTAAAACAAATACATTGTAATACTTGATATAGATAATGCGAAGTTTATTCTTCATGTATGAATTAATTATAAAAGTACCAGTGCAGAAGATTACGAAATAGCTTCGATTTGATCAAGCACAACCATATTTAGCATCAACTGGGAAATCGCATTCAAGCGAGTAATTGTTTTATTACTGTATTGAACTATCTGGTGAAATACATCCTCATCTTTATACATTCCTACATCGACCAAATTTACTTATTTAGACATTCGCTATTGAAGTACTATTACAAATGAAATATTTACTAGCTTACTTTCGATTTTTACCCTGTTTATTTACGTTATAGAATTGAAAATCTTTTCAGCAAAGATCAACAATTACTGCGTGCACAGCAAACCCTTCCTTAAAGTATAATTTTAGGCCTTCTATACATTGTATAGGAAGTATTATTTATGAATGACTGTAGGACTAAGTTATGCTATTTTTAATGCTAACTGTAGCCGATGAGAAATTAAAAATGACGTGACCTTTATGGAAGCTACATCCTCTTTTTACGGTAGCATTTTCATCAGAATTTCTTTCGTGTGCGTTCTATGTTATAGGTAGGATAAGAAATAATTATAAATAACTAGTCATTGCGATATCTATTTTATTCATTTTCGATTTATAAATTATGCCCTAAGCTACATCATACCATATAATAATGTATAAGGACGGTCATTTGTAAAGTATATCAAAATGAAGTAGTTTTGTTGTAAGGGAATAGAATATCATCTCTAAATCAAATAACTTAAGGCTATCGCGCCATCAAAGGGCCTCTGAATTTTCTTAACAAAAGCATTGTCTGAATATGGAACTATTTTGATTTGAGATTATATAATTTTTTTATATGAATCTTACTGACTAAAGTCGTTCTGATTGTTTTATAGTAGTTACCTCAGGCTAAAACTATTATATCAAGAGATATATTTTTATGCTTTTACTTTCAAATTTTCCGTTTCAACCTCAGAGCTACATTACGAATGAACTACAGCTGCTATATACAGTAATACTCACATGTTACCGTATAAATAATATTCGCTAGGCTTTTATATCACTGTAGGCAAATTTGCTATCATGCTTTTCATTAGATAACTGCTAAGAGTAGTTATATTAAATCGAGGGATACTACACATATTTAATATAGAAGTTAGCCGAAATCTTATTATAGATAAGTTTACGTCCCTGTGTTTGAGAACGCTCACATTTTAACATCTAAAAGTGAGTAAAACTAAGACGGCCAAATTATTTAATACAGCGGGTAGTAGACATTAAGCTAAACTTTTGTCTACATCATTGTCGAACGTAATGCATCCAGTTAAAGCTTTCAATAATCTAGAATGTATAAGTTGTAAAGCTAGCAGGCAAATTTAAAATGATGGAGCTTCCAACTCGGCTTAATAGACATGGAAGCAAGTCCTTTAGTTAAAATCCGTAACTTACTGCCTTTACTATTAAGAAATTTAAATATAACTAATTGCGATGATGAATAAGTTTGAGTGTTTTTAAAAACCTATTTTCTAGATGAAAAAAATCATATTAGTAATGAATTACCTTATCTACATGATATTTTATTGAGCAGCTATGCAAGGCTAGTATAAGTATGGGCTACAAAAGTTGCTTTAGGTATACACCCATTATCGAAAAATTGTAGATTAGATAGTCATTTTAGGCACTGGTATCGATAAGTTTGACGTTGTCTGGGATTCTATCATGTTAGCGTATGAAGATTATTGATTTATAGATATTACTGTACTGTTTCTATTGAATAGTTTGAAAATGATTCAGATTTCCATAAATATGGAATGATACGGCGGTTTTCACATTCAAAGGTTATGCTTCAATAAATATCTAAGTTATATCCTTCTCGAGGGCAGCTAACTTAAAAAATGATTCAACATGCTAATTCATTGATAAAATTTTCTGCTTTTTTAAGAAATATTATCATAAGACACCATACTTAAATGTATGGATGAATTTATTTATACTATAAGAGTTAATTTATTAAAGTCTTATATTAAATTACTAGAAATAAGAGTAGATAGGAATATAATTTTGAGAAAATTATACTACATCCATTCTTAATTTATACCAGTTATTTGTCAGAGAGCATTAGTCTACAATTTCCTGTAAGCGTATAAGTAGACAGCCTCCACGGATGCACATTGCACAGGCAACCACTATATAAATCAACCTTTACCACAGCTTAAAATCCTGTATACATTTTTTCTGTCACTGAAGGACACTAATACATTAATATATGTAACGAAATACAAGGATTGAACGATAAATATATAGCTATTAGCGAAAAATAACTTTGCATGATATTTGTCAATTGTAAATATTTAATTAAGACAACAACTATTCAAATGGAATCACAGCTACAAGTAAATTTAAATCCAATTTCAGCTAGATGTTTATACTTTTTTCATGCCATTTAAGGTAATTACTGTGTTGAAGATTGGCTTTTTATTGTTATTACCGCATTTTCTATATTCTCCATCAACGACCGGATAAAGATTTATCATTTCCGTTACCTTAAATAAAGCTATATTCTCTACATTTTCAGTTATTTATTGCTGCTGATAGCATTAATCTGATTAATCACTCTCATTTTATTGAATAAATCCAAGATGTTAACCTAGGGCGATGTGAATATTGTCTCACTTTTCTGGTCAGCATTTACTTTCGTTAAGGATGCTGTTTGAGTTGATCTTTCACTTCACTCTATGTAGCAAGTAAATTATCGCATACTTTGAATCACTACAATACAGTAAATTTCTATTTGCAAGTGTAATTACCTGCAACATAATTTGATATTATGCAAGTACCCTTATTTCCATTAATATAGCGTTTTTTATCCAAATAGATATCAATATTATTCGAACCTTACGTATCACGTCAATGCAATACTCTAGGTATCATATACAAGATATCTTGTTTGATTAATTATACATTATAAATCTGAAATTTTACATAAACAGTTACATTACTCTACATGCATCAAATTATCGATCTTGTTATGCTGTTACGACACAGTAAATAAATGTTACCATCAATTAAGATGAATGGATGTTAGAGATCGCTTATTATAGGAAATATAATACTTTCAGAGGCACAAGTGGGAATCTTTATAATATTCTATGTAACCAATAACTATCCGTGTATATATATATATGCACATTGCGTACAATAATCTGGTACGATGTAACAACGTAACCCGGTGGTGCCGGTAACATAACACGTATATACGTTTGCAGGCATTTAGGAAATTTACGAAATCCTGATACTGATAAATGTTCGCTAAAGCATATGCAGTACTATATACAGTATAAACTCACATAACATGAAAGGTAGGATATGGATGATTTTTGAAGTTAGTCCGAAGAATTGTTTGAATTTTACGAATTTATTGCCTTTAAATTAATATATAGTTATTACCTTAATTTCTCGGCGCGATACAAAATTCATTGCAATATCATCGCTATCCATTTTTTTCGTAAAACTGATTCAATTAAGTTAAATTTTAATTTTTTATCTTATACAGTACATTCATCATATGCAGCGCAATAAGTAATTGGCTGACAAGAAATTTGAACAAATTTTTTCGAGGTACGAATTGTCATGTGAATTTTATCTACGATGGCAAAAAAATATCTACTTTTAATGACGCCCATGCAGACTTTAAAGCTGAAAGTTAAATCGTAGGAATCATCATTTTCCACCATATAGCTTACACGTAATCGGCCTTTTTATATGTTTTGACAATATGGTAGCATTTCATATCAAGATAACAACATTAGCGATGCTGTCGCAAATCAGTTATAACAGATTAAATGCAACATCTAGTAATTTTACTAGCAGAAATCGACTATTAACATAACGTATTGTCAGAAATTGCCTATTAGATCTGCTAACATACAATAAAACTTATAATATGGGTAAGAACTAGAGCACAAAACAAAGTGTTCTCAGAAAGGCACATATAGCACCGTATGATAACTGGTTCGATAGATTGTAGGGAACTGATTTTCAATTGCACTCAACCCTCTTTCAATAAACAATTGTGGTAAAGTCTACACTTTACAGGGTTCTACAAGTTAAAATAAATAGTTTAATGTATTCTAGGAGATATTAGGTCTCTAATGAAGGCCTTGCTGTCCAAAAAGTAGGCAATAGAGGCAAAATTCTACTTGGAAATCGATCTAATTACTAGGTTTGGGAATAGAGTGCAGATAGACATGCTAGGCAGTATGGCAGTATACTGAAATGTTCATATGTATTTCTATTTGACTCATGCAGAACTGCATACTAGTATTTCACAGAAATAAATTTACTGTCATGCACATATAGTATTAACTTAAGTGTAATTTTGATATTTCAAGGCTAGTTTTATTGAATTTATAGAGCCTAAGGAACCGATGGTAATATACGTACACACATTATATCCTATTAAAGCGCAACTACAAGATATACATTTACCGATAATCAAGAGCACTATGTGCCCTTACTGCAGCAAGTATCGGTGAGCTGGTTTACCATTTACCGTATTCTCATGAAAGCCAGCAGCAATCCTTGATCATTTAAATTCGTGGCTTCGCGTCTGGTTTCTATCGTACGATACTTTAAATGACTAGAATAATACAGTTTTATGGTCGATAATACTTTAATGTGAGATCAGTGTGCTTGGCACCTGGTAGTATAAGTTAACGATTATATCATGCTTTACCAGAAGTAAATATTAAAAACAAGATGCCGGTAAATTACCGATTTTTCGTTTCTAGACGGTCTATAATCTTTGAGTATCATGCTTAGAGATATTATCGTCATTTTTTCTGCTTTAGTATCATAATTTTGGCCGACTCCGACGAGATATCTTGATTTTAATTAACCAAATCCTCATATAATTAATTTATCGTACTGCATTTAATTTATAAACCACAAATTTTTTATCAAGTACCGTATTAATTTTAAAATTAAATTTCAAACTTTCGATAACTGTTTTAAATCTGAGAGGATTCATTTAATTGATATTATCGTTTCCTGTTTTAACAATTTGAATTTGAATTTTTGATCTCATAGTTTATCGTTAGGTAATGTAATAACCATAAATGCTCATGAATTCATTATTTTTTAATGTTTGGCGCTTTAAATACTATAACCTCAGTCAATTAATACCTACAAAGTCACTGGAATTGGCAGAAAATTTTACTTTATTTTCTTTTAATTTTCATCCAGTAATAGCAGAGAGAACAGCCCAAAAGTAAGTGAACTAAGATGGTTTCAGTGATTGTTCAAGGCCAGAGGGGACGAAAGCTAGTAAGTAATATGCTTGAAGAAGGCCGTGAGGACTATAAGAGTCGATCCTACTCCTGAAAATACAGTCTGTTTGGATCTGTAAATTATAGATTATTTAACTTTCACGGCTAGTCTCTGAAGTAGCGCTATTCTTATGGCCATACTATACTGCATATCTACATTCTCTTCAAGATGATAAACCACTTTTGTGGCTAGTTTGACCTCTTACAATAGTTTACAATTGTGATTATGCTAAGCACTGGGCTGTGAATGGGTTCTATAATCATTCTGGTTCGTAGTCACTAACACAATTTAAGTGATTAAATTTGAGTAAATCTCTAACGTGATATAGCGCTATCGTACTTCATATGACTTCTATTATTAGCTGAAATTGCCACACACCGATTCCACTATATTGTACAGTATGTCAGTGTTGCTTATATTTGTGTTATTGTACCCAAAATCAGAGTAAAATTGCACATCTTTAACTAATATAAAAAATTACTTATGTGATAACATTGCACTTATTTTGAATTTATAACAAGATAAAGACTCTGACAGCTTTTAAAATTAGTATTTTGGTTATAAATATCTGTTTCGTAGCTTACTATGATCATAAAAAACAAAATCTCCCCGCTGTAATCTACAGCTTTGGCAAAGCGATGATTTTGGCTTTTCATTCAACTACCGGTCATCGCATTTATAGGTTCCTACGATATGGCTTTGCAAATTTGATCTAACTGGAATTGTTCATGGCTTAAAATTATCAAATCATTGCATTATACCACAAAATGACTACAAAGGTCAGTCTTTAAGCTAAAATTTCTTTACAGAATTACATTTACTATAAGTTAGATACCTTAATTTTATTTTTAACGCTTTAATCTTCGTGGATTTTATTGCAATCTTACCTTAATACAATGAATCATAATTTATATTTTATAAGGCTAAAAAGGAGAATATTAGCATTATTATCACTTACAATTTATTATCACGAAGATGTTTTAAGTCATCTCTTAAAGTAGTCTCGTAACAATTTTTAGATCAGATAACCAATAAAAGAAATAACAATATGTCGAAATGTATTTCAAATTTTCGAAACTATCACTAGGTTCGATGTAAATGGTAAATTCGAGCAATATATTTACTGAATTGGAATATCTATGATACAAACAAAAATATATATTTCAGACTTTATTAAGTGAGTACTACGGTACTACAAATTTTAATGTCAATATGACGGCTCTAGATAGAGACAAAGAATAATTTTCCATATCGGTGTCATAGTATAATTGATTGAATTAATACCCGTCCGAAAACAATTGCAAATAATATCGCTTTGGTAAACTTTATATAATGTTTTCCAATGCATCCGGAGGTTATGGCTTCCAATGTTTTGTTATCATCAGACAAATATAATCTTATTAATCGTTCAATAGGTCTCCTATTATTTATAGGATCAATTCTTTAGTTTACTGATGTTGTGTGACTATTAAGAGATAACAAACCAGGGATTATTTTCGAGATGACTATTAACGGGAAATTTAATAATATCACCAAGTAAAAGAAATTTAATACATCATTTTAAGGCTAGTATAAAAGCGAAAATGATATAGCAACCATGAGTATTTTAACGATCAATATCAACATAGATGAATTTTTACTACGCCTTTTTTCTCTAATATTTCATCAATGTTCACAAGGATTATTAAAGTTTAATCTTAATTAATTTTAATCCCTTCTTGGTTGAGTTGATTTCAACTGATTTAACGTTCGAAGATTCAATTAAATTCATAGTTTAGTGATTATCATTCATATAAATTTGCGCCTATTGTTTTCTTCGTTGGCTCAATGTTCTTTATTGGATTGTTGGTTAAGAATTCTCGTCAAGGAAAATTTTAAAATTTGACATTGATAGTATAAGTTACATATTATAATTGTAAAGCTTTAACTACTTTATAGCCTTGCTATAAGTGCATTAACATCGACAAAATGGCTCAGATATCGTGGTTATCGAATTATTTAAATAACAGTAGACTATCAAACTGGAGTTCTGTAAAGGACCAGAATCCGCCAACGATTTATCAAGTTGTCATTTTAATAACTTTAGAGATTGCTGGCATAGCAGGAAATACATTGGCTATCGTTATGACTGTCAAAATGTTAAGATATAAAGGGAATTTACCACAAGTTCTTATTTTATACTTAAGCCTTGCCGATTTATTGACGGTTTTATGCAGCTATACACCGTCAATTATTGCTCAATTCATTCTAATACCTCACTCATTCTTTTATCCAAGCCATTGGCTATGCCAATTTCAAGCATTTACAATGATGACGTTGCTGTACTATTCTAGCGGAATGATCGTCATTATGAGCATAGAGCGTCTATTAGCTATCAAAATGCCAGTATGGTATAAAGTCAATTTCAAGCGTAAGACTGTCTACATATTCATGGCGATTACATTGATTTGTTGTGTGATGTTTAACCTTTTACCTTTATTTGGTGTATGCCAGTTATCGATTCATTTCAATTCCACTTGCTTTTGGGACTGGGATTTAACGAACCCTGGAACAAAGCTTTACTCTTATACCGTAGTATTTCTGTCCATAATTTTAGTAGTTGCAATATTTATTATCAATATTATAACAATTACAATTGTTAAACGTAAGAACAAGATAGCAGATAGTCAAGGGAGGCGGCCAATTACGGAAAGCCGAGCCACTGGGGTTCTAGTTAGCACTGGTTTTCTTTTTATAATTTCTTGGCTGCCATTCTCGGTAAGTCTATATAGATTGTACTCTATATTTCGCTTTGTCTTCATAATGTTAAATAGCTTTATCAAAACTAGCCCATAGAAAGGCAATACACCAACCGAATAATCATAAACGACAAAAATTAATATATGCAAGTATCATAGACTTTAGTGGTTATGCTCCTTTATGTACGTTTTATAGTAAGTTAATAAAAGTCCGTTTAATGCGTATTGATCAGTATTAAAAGCCTATGATGAAATGATGGAGGTATAGCTATGTGTAATCTAATACAATTTTAACACATCATATTATTAAAGTGGTCGACTCAGTAGTTATTTATAATTATCAGGACATTTTCATAGCTCTGATTTTCTGATCCAAGTATAGCCTTCCAATCACAGTTTCTGAGAAGAAATCTATAGCTTTCGGATTTAGAAAAAATAAATATATGTTATACCCGATTAAAATATTCTTCTCGTAAAAAAATCATAATTGCGTTAAATTTATGGTAATCAAATGCAATATTCGCTTCATTTCTAATTATACATAGTATATACTATCAGCTAGAACATCAATGGCATTAATTCGTACAACTAACAATTCATATTATCCGTTATAAAGTAATCTATCCTTTATATTTGACTTTGTCCTTTTTGTTAAAAATCTTAAAATGCAAGTTAACGAAACGCAGTCTAAACAGGGCTGGAAGGGTCCTTTATTATACTGTAATCTTGAGTAGCTTACCAAATTTTTCAGAAACTGTGGTCTATCAACATGCTAATGACTAAAAATTAAAGCTAACACGCAATAAAACAAATTAGAAGTTAAGATAATATCCATAAATTTACTCAAGATACCTTTTATGACTTTTAAAGCCGTAATTACTTGATGCTCACCGTATCAAATGTCCACAGCATTATAAGGAAATTGTTTCCAAAATAATTTAAGATTGAAGCGGAAAATGCACATTCTAAAAATCAATCATTCATACTTTACGTGTACGAGAAAAAATACAACCAATGCAGACAGGTATATTTAATCTAGTAATTTCCTCGAAGTGAATAACGAAATAAGTACTGCAGGCAAATTTATGCAATCTTATAAATTGCTTTAGATATTTCACTTCATTCTTTAACATTTTGCACCAAAGCAAGAGGAATGACTGATCTTCAAAAATTATTTTGTAACTTTATTTCGTATATACCAATTACAAGATTTTAAAATTGATCACTACTGCAAATTATTCGTGATTATTAATAAGTTATAAATTTAAATGAATTATGGCATCTAAATAAATATTTTAAAATACGTAGTATAACCTATAATTTTCCTGAATTTTTTTACGTAAAATATTTCATAAATTAAACGGCAATTTTACTTAGATAATTTTTTTTCTTTCCATTCATTTTATTCAATTTGAATACAAATGCTTTATGTAAGCTTATACGCATAATTGAAGGTATCAAACAAATATGCTTCATAAGAGTTCATTTTACCCGAACTAAGTCACCTTTGAATCCTATGAAATGTTGCCATTCAAAGTTTTCATCGGAGCTCAAGATTATTGTTAATGTTTTATATTAATATTGACATAAATCCCATAAATTTTGCTCGTGTCTAGACCGTCTAACATCCTATGATTCAGTTATTTATCAAAGGATGGTCATAAATGTTTTGTAATTACCTGGCAACAGCTAGCTAACATCATGATTTGCTATTCCAATTGTTTTGTTACAGTACCGTATTTTAATAGTAAAAATTTCGAAAATTAAGACATTACGCATATTATTCACAGATAAATAACTTTATCGATGGGTATACGTAGAAGTGACACTCGCATATAGAACCAGTAATAGCAGAAATCAGTCATGTTCGCTTACAGCATGCTTGTATATTTGTCTATAATACATTGCATCAATAATATGAGACGATGACTGATATTGAATAGCTTTTAACTAGTTAAACGTTGTTCTCCTATGAATATTATCCAAGATTTTAATTTAAAATTTTGACCCTAAATTAAATTTGCATTGGTTCAACACTAGAATAATTTGCTACCACTAGATAGAAAGTAATCATGGTTATTGCATAATAATAAGATAGTTTACATATATAATGAGTCTGATCGCAGATAATTATAATTGCAGGAAATTAGCACAGACCTCTAACTCACGAATTAACTACCGGTTCTTTTCTTTACAAATATAGCGGAAGGTTTAATTTTTTTTGGATACTTGGTGAAAGTATTAAGATTTTTTAAAATAAATCAATCAGTGATATCCAAACAAGATTTACATGTATTTTATTGCTCAAAATATATTACAAATTATTTATACTTCACTATCAGAACATCACTGTACCAAAAATAATATTGATTTCTCATTGATGATTACCTAACTGTAACTAAGGATTCTCTCTTACTGTTATCATTTAGAGCTTTAAAGATATCTGTAATTTAGTTTCTTGCCTATTTTAAATTTAGGTAGTAATTCTTCTTCATCAAACTGGAAATACTAAAAGCATGGATCCACAACAAGTAGAATTAATGGACTACGTTACTTTTCGCCTGACATGTTTAAATTGTTGCATAAACTGCTTTGTCTATGGCTTAATTAATAACGAGCATCGTCATCGATATTTAATGCTCATTAAAAGGCCATTTCGTACCTGTAACAATATCACTACTGAGGAATACGGTGAGTTTTAGTCGCAGTATTCTGAATTATTATAATAGGTTACTAATCTGATGTTGTAGCGCCAATATTCATACAATTACTACCGAAAATTTGTAACAAGATCTATAGAAAGTAAACTTTCTTTCACAATTTCACTTTTTATGTCAAGTTTATTGTTGAACTGCAACATTACATTTTACCGTGAATTGATATCCATGTAATAATTCTAATAGTTATTCTGTTAGTACTGCTATGGTACAGACATAAGTGAGAGCTAACTTTAAAAAATTTTATGAAATGCATTATGAAACGTGCCATTAAATAGCCGTGACAATTATTTATCACCATTATTAATTTAAAAGCATTCGCCTAATAGAACATTTCGACATAAAATTATTTCCATTGAATTCATTATCGCCTTATAATAAGTTTATAAGATTTTTTTGTACTATTTTGTAACTAATTATATACTCTATATTTTCTGATTTTATAAAATAGAAAGTGCTTTTAAACCCAACGCCTATAAACAATCTGGTCAGTTGTCTACAAGAGTACAGATGTTTCAAGCTACAGCAATTGTGTTGGCTACCAGTCATACTTGTATCGATAAAGCAGCAAATAAATATCGCCATAATAAGATATATAGCACTTCTGAATGATACATACTTAAAAATGAAATTAATTACAGAAAATAAGCATGATGAAATTAAGACTTCTAGGAGTAGCAGTATATGTATTATATTTATTAGTAAGCAGTGATCTTTGGCAAATTCTAAAAACTACCAGTACTTTATTCTTATAAATGAGCTCGATTTAGTAATTTATGCTGTATTAACATTTCCTGAAACAGAATATGAGCTAATCATGAACTTTATATAAGATGAAGTGTGTTTGTATATGTTCTATATTAAAGTAGTTTTGGATATATTGTAGAATTTTCAACACTTGAAATTGTACTATCAAAGATATCCATAATTATTATACTCGTATAACTAGGCGTCATTAATTGTATTTTCATCGCTATGAATAACTAATGTAAATGGTATGCATATATGAATCTGGAATTTAACCGGCGTCTTTCTACCTATAAAGTAGGAAATTTCGTGGTATGTAGCAAAACTGGTGTGAAAAAGCGATTTCATAAATTACTCGAAGTAAAGCCTCTATTTAAATTTGTTGTTGGATTTAGTAAAATAGAACTATTTTTCGAAACTTATGCGATTTTATTGATCTTAAAATTCTGTATATGTATTACTCAAGAATGATATAACATTTTGCGGCTTTCTTACATCATGTAGCTGATTTGAATCCTCATAATTTAAATTTAAATTTTCATTTTTTATTCCAAGAACTATAAAAATCAGTACCGATAGATCTAGCCGGTAATTGTTAAAATCTAAGATCTAAAATAGGCTAAAAACATGAATTAACAGACTATCATGCACTTTTTGGAACATTTACTGCTAAAAATAATGGCAATCTTCTTGAGGGGAAACTGTAGATTTAAACATCCCTGAATACTGGTACGAAGTAATATAATTTATTTATTACTACTTAACAGCATTGAGAAATAGTGAATGATTTCAGTATCCATAAATATCATGAACCGACTTCATCTCAGGAAAAATGACATTATGACACTGAATAATGTCATTACGTACGAGTAATATTCTTACATTCGATTAATGAATAAAGTAACCGGGCCCAATATTGAACTACTCTGTACACAATTGCTTTAGGAAATAGGCGATATCAAAAGTGCATCGTATAATTATTCGCTTTGTTGATAGTCTTGCTCATTTTATTAATCTATATTTGTTACAAATCTCCTTTGTAACAAGAAACCGGGTCTTAAACACTAACTTCACTAGTACTCGTGTTCCCAACTAACTTAGGGACCTATCGTAGTTAAACTAACTCTCAGCTACACAAATAAGCTACTAATGAGTAATAGGTTTAAATATTTCACTTTATTAACCTTAGTCGTAAAATGTACTAAAGAAAAACGTAAGAATATCCTTAGCAACTATAGTCAAAAGATCCTGTAAATGACTAACTGGAACTGAGAAGCTAAGCTAGTGCTCCGCTTTTTATAGTCTCGCCGATGGTACACTTGTGAATATTCTTGAAATAGCGGCTTACACTGTACAGTATACATATCCTAGTATAGCAACTAGAGTCTCAAGGCTCTGCAAAGTAATTGATCTTACACTTAAGGTGTTATTAATTAACGTTTACAGACTAAGCGTGTTAGCTCCAACACGTCAACAATATTTAACTTTCTGATACCTTGGCAATAATAAATGCTTATTAATAAACATTAATATCTAATAAGCTACTGGAGCAAACAATAATTTAAATGAGATATTTTAATTAACGTAACAATTAATATTTTGGAGCATGGCTCCGTAACAATATTATATAAGTTCATTATCCAATGTTTCTGATATAACTATAGCCCAACGTGAATATGTGGTAGTTTTATTTGTGTAGTAGCATGCAAGTATACGTATTTTAATTTTTAGATCTAAGCAGTCGATCCTTGTACTGGCCTAAGTTTATAACAAAGGTGCTTCAAACTGTACCATTTATCTTAAATTTAACCGTAAGCAATAGCTTCTTGATCTTTATTATAATTCTAGCCTCGAACTACGTGCATACTATATTATGATGCTAAGAATTTAGATTTCGGATTTATAGATTTACTTGTGATTCTAGTGGGAATACGATGAACTATAAAAATCTTTTTTGGCAATATACTGCCACTGCAACTTCAAAGCAAGCGATCGCTAAAATAAAAACTACAGAAAATATTCATTTTTGCCTCAATGTGATACAGTAATGATTATCATAGAATTCGATCATTACTCAAGGTAAACCAAAATCTTGTCTCTATCGACATGTATCTATAATTACCAGTGTGCTTGTAGGGATAAAGTAATCTTTGTAATGCAGTAAATAATTTTTTATTTCTTTGTAATAGCATAATTATCTTACAGAATTGTATTACGTGTTCAAACTTCAAAGTATTTAATTTTCCAATCTGAGCCTGCAGTAGAGAAAGGAAATATCACTGTTTCCATCTATCGGTATTAGTCAGCTACGATGCAATTACAATGC